CAGGGAACCCTATGGAATGACGAGGATTGAACCCCCATTGGCCACATTCAAGACCAGCGACCTCCCCCTTGTGCTGTCTCTTCGACCCCACCCCCATCTCTGGGAGATGCTAGTCTCCCATCCAAGCGGCTGACCTCTGTGACCTCATTTTCCAGAAGGGGGAACCCACGCTACAAGAATTTCCAGAGGTCCGGAGCCGGCTGACCAGAGAGTGCCCCGTCCTCATTTGGGGGAGATATGCCAGTTGTAATTATTAATCCTGGTGGCCCAGGCGCCGGTCACTCATTCACGGGGGTGAGGCCAAAGTCTGGAAGCAAAAGAGCTGAGGCTGCTTGGGGGCTTTTTTTAGCACTCTCCTGGCACCCAGCCCCCTTCCCCCAGCCCCTCAGCCTCTGCCCTTCCTGCGTCTCAGGGACCAGGGTCAGGGCGAGAGGCAGTAGCGACTTGTTTACGGCCATCCTGAGCTCCTAAGCCATTTATTTATTTATTTATTTATTTGCTTTTTGGATCACACCTGGCAATGCATAGGGGTTACTCCTGGCTCATGCACTCAGGAACTACTCCTGGCGGTGCTCAGGGGACCAGATGGGATGCTGGGAATCGAACCCGGGTTGGCTGTGTGCAAGGCAAACGGCCTACCTGCTTGCTATCACTCCAGCCCCTATTTATTTTATTTTTTTAACTTGGGGGCCACATCCCATTGTACCCAGGGCTTCTTTTTGTCTCTGCACTCCAGGATCACTCCTGGTGACCTGGGTAGATCCCTCAGCCGCGTGCAAGGCAAGTGCTGGGCTAGAACTCCCTGCTATTCTATGCTCCAGTCTGAGTACCTAAATTTTTTGTTTGTTTGTGTTTGGGTGGGAGGGTACACCCTTCAGTGCTCAGGGGGTTGACTCTTGTCTCTGCACTCTGAAATTAGTCCCAGCAGTGCCTTGGGGATCATAGGAGATGCTGGGGATCGAACCAGCCTGCTGCAACCTCCTGAATGTCTTTCTTTTGGGGGGTGGGGGGCACACCCAGTGGTGTTCAAGGGTAACTCCTGGCTGTTCACTCAAAAATTACTTCTGGTGGTACTTGGGGGACCCTGTGGGATGCTGGGGATCAATCCCAATCGGCCACGTGTGAGGCAAAGTCCCTACCCACTGAACTCCTAAAGTTCTTTTTTTTTTCTTTTTGAGTCACACCCAATGATGCATAAGGGTTACTCTTGGCTTTGCATTCCGGAATTACTCCTGGTGGTGCTCAGGGGACCATATGGAATGCTGGGAATCAAACCTGGGTCGGCCGCGTGCAAAGCAAACACCCTCCCCGCTGTATTATCACTCCAGCCCCTGTCCTTGACTTATTGCCTCTGCTCTGCCCTCTCCCCAGTTCCCTGGAGATAGACGTGGAGCTGGTAACCCCTGATCCTTCCTTTGGCTTTGCTGTAACTTCAGGGGCCGAGAGTCTGTGATGCAGGCCACTGCTCTGGGTTCTGGAACCAGAACAATAGCACAGTGAGTTGGGCATTTGCCTTGCACGAGGCCAATCTCAGCATCCTACAGGGTCCCCTGAGCCCCACCAGAAGTGATCCCTGAGTGAAGAGCCAGGAGTCAGCCCTGAGCACCATTAGGCTTCTGGGTGTGGCAAGACATAACTGTCACTGTCCTGTTTGCTCGAGCGGGCCCAGTAGCATCTCATTTTTTGAGACTTGTTGTTACTGTGTTTGGCATATCAAATATGCCATGGGGAGCTTGCCAGGCTTTGCCGTGTGGGTGAGATACTCTTGGTAGCTTGCCGGGCTCTCCGAGAGGGGTAGAGGAATCGAACCTGGCTTGGCTGGGCTGGCTGCGCACAAGGCAAACGCCCTACCACTGTGCTATTGCTCCAGCCCATAAGACACATAACAAACACAACAATTAAAAATAGCCCTGGGTTCCAGCCCTGGCAGTGCCTGTCTCCAGAGCTCTGCAGGGAACAGCCCCTGAGCACGGCCCGGTGTGCTCCAAGATAAAAATAAATGTAGGGGTCGGCGTAACTGAACAGCTGAAGGGTGTTTGCCTTGCACACGGCTGACCTGGGTTCCATCTTTGGCATCCCATAGGATTCCCTGAGCACTGCCAGGAGTAATTCCTGAGTGCAGAACTAGGAGTAACCTCTGAGCATCGCCAGTTGAGACCCCCCAAAAAGCAAAATAAATAAATAATTTTTAAAAATATACAGGGACGCTACTGAAGTGATAGTACAGCGGGTAGTGTGTTTGCCTTGCATGTGGCCGACCTGGGTTCGATTCCCAGCAATCCCATACAATCCCCCAGGCACCACCAGGAGTAATTTCTGAGTGCATGAGCCAGGAGTAACCCCTATGCATCGCCGGGTGTGACCCAAAAAGCAAAAAAAAAAAAAAATGTACAGGGACCTGAGAGCTAATATGGCAGAAAAGGTGCTGGCCTTGCACACAGTCGACCCAAATTCTATCCCCAGCCACCCATAGGGTCAATCCTATTACCAGCAGTGATTCTTGAGCACAGAACCAGGAGTAAGCCCACACCTGAGCATGGCTGGGTGTGGCCCCATTAGTGTGCACATTCCCAGCTTTAAAAAAAATTTTTTTTTTGCCTTTTTCCCTCTGGAAAGAAAGATGGTGGCTGCCTCAGAGCTTTATGGAAAGCCAGGTATGAGCTGGTCATGACAGGGCGACTGAAACCTCACGTCCTTCATGCCCTACCGAGGTCGCGAGTTGCCCCCCACGAGTGGCTCTCCAGCACAGCCATGGCTCCAGAGCACAGAAAACAATCTCATAATTATCTGACTCTCAGCAGAAATACTTCCAGGCTTAATAAGTAAAATACCAGAAATCCAAAATCGCGTGGCCGCTATTGTGGCCGCACAACATCATTTGATTCTTGTGACCAGCTGTAGAAAACAAATTATATCACAATGCTTTTTCAGCATGTCTGATTTGGGGGCGTAAACTCTAAATAATAATGGTGCATCTTTGTCGAAACAATGAATCTAATCAAAGTAGATAGAGTGTTAACTAGAATTCATCTGCCTCACAGGCATTGGGGGGGCGGTTATTGGGGTTCTTGGTGGTGAAAAATAAGTATTGGTGAAGGGAAATGTGTTTGATGATTGCACGACCGAGACTTAAACCTGAAAGCTTTGTAACTTTTCCCACAGTGATTCAATAAATAAAAAAATAAATAAAAAACAAAAATAAAAAAATTTTTGGATCCCTCTGAACTACTGCTAGCCCAGATAGCTTTCTCCTGAGGCTGTATAGCTGGGTGGGTTCTACCCAATGGGGCTGCATATGATTCAATGTCTTCTAAATCTGTATTTGTGTGTGTGTGTGTGTGTGCACACGCATGCATGCACGTGTCCTTCCCACTAGGACCTTGTCTCCCTCTGACAGCTGAATTCCAGCCCCTAATCCCTGACATCAGTCTTTTCAGCCCTTGTTGGAGATGAAGGAGGTTTTTTCCCCTGGTGCCTTTGCTCGCCACCGCTGACTTAGCTCTTCCTGCTGAGTTCCAGGTAATGCAGGCGTCTACCACTGCTCCCTGCCCTCCCGGGGCTCCGAGCCAAGGTCCAGGATGCCTTGGCCTCACCCTAGGCCCAAGCCACATTACCGAGTTCTCCAGCCTGAGTGGCCTGAGGGAACAAGATGAATTTTGTTTTGTTGGCACCATCTGGGGTACTGGGGTACAAGATTAGCACCCTCCCTGCTGCACTATCTCCCTCTGGCCCGAGAGAGAATCTTTCATACAGAAGTCAGGGGCTTGGGGACTGGAGTGATAGCACAGCGGGTAGGGCACTTGCTTTGTATGCGGCCAACCCAGGTTCGATTCCCAGCATCCCATATGGTCCCCTGAGAACCGCCAGGAGTAACTCCTGAGTGCAGAGCCAGGAGTAACCCCTGTGCATCGCCAGGTGTGACCCAAAAAGAAAAAAAAAAAAGAAGTCAGGGGCTAGCATGATAGCATAGTGGATAAGACACTCGCCTTGCACGTGACTGACCTGGGTTCGATCCCCATATGGTCCCAAGCCCCACCAGGAATGACCATAGAGCCAGGAGGAAGCCCCTGAGCACTGCTGGTTGTGGCTCAAAAAACAAAAAAAGAAAAAAAAATTCTGGAGAAAGACACAGAGATTCCGGCCAAATGTCAAGGACTGGAACCATTTGTTACCTGCTACATGACAAGGAGATCAGGGGTGCGTATGGTGGGGACTTATGGGGGACGGCGACAGCAATCACAATCCTGCCCAAGGCACCCATGTCCCGTCTGTCCCCTCACAAGTCTGAATGTTGCTTCTCTCTCCACAGGCCATCTTGCTTCACCCACAGGGTGGGCTGGGTTCTTCCCCAGCCGTGAGGGGTGGGGGACAGGCAAGAACCCCCCAAACCAAAGTGTCTCCACCAGTTCCCTCCAACCTCCCCTCATGAAGGTCTCTGGCGAACCCGAGTCAAGATGTGCACAGCTATAGGGGCCCACACACTGGGTACCCCCCTTCAAGGGGCTGGGCTAGGTGCTGGACTTGGTTTCCAGACATGGCATCAGGGCCAGGACCCGCCCTCCCCTCCCCTCTCCTCTCCTCTCCCTCCTCCTCCCTCTGACTGCCTCTCTTCCCCCCTGCCCCCCACTTCTCTGTGCGGTACGGACACAGAGGTTCGACAACAGGAAGTCAGTGGGGCACATCCTGAGGTCCCCAAGAACTTCCTGGCACTGACCCTGGTTACAGAGGCCTGTGGTTTTGGGGAGGGGGATAACACAAGAACACAACGCGAGGCAGAAGAGGAATAATTATTAGAGTCACCCATGTCGGTGGTTGACTGCGAACGCAAACGCTCAGTCTGCAGGGCCAGGGAAGGGGCTCCCCCACCTGCCCCTCCTGCTCACACTTGCTCCCAGGGGGAGGGGCCGGCCCCCCCAGCCTGCTCCCTTGGAGGCCTGGCGGGAGGAGGGGGCTGGCACTGCCAACGCCACCCCTTGCTGCCAGACACCTGCTCCGGGAGGGGCCTGGCCCCCCCCCTCCCGCCAGGGCCTGGCCAGCAGTGCAGGGCAGAGTGGGGTGCGGCTCCTCTGGTCCCCCCTCTCTGTCCGCGCCCAGCTCTGCTGGGGCAGGCCAGGGGCCAGAGAGGTGCAGACGGAGCATGCAAGGCGGGCCGGGGCATGCTGGGCCCACCGGGTGCCAGGCAGCCAGCCCAGGAGCCCTCAGAGGGCCGAGTGGGCGGAGTCTAAGGCTGCTGTTGCTGCTTCAGTCTGTGGGGGCTCTGGGGAGCCGGGCAGCTGGAGAAATTCGGGGAGGACCAGGTCCTCCTTCCGCAGCAGGCCCCTCTGGTCGTGAGCCCCGCTGCTCTGTACCCGGTTCAGCAGCTCCACCAGGCCTGGAGGCAAAGGGGGAGCACAAGAGTCAGGGGGAACCTCTTAGCAGGTTTATCTAGCCCACCCTAGTCCCACCGACCTCCCTGACTCACAGCATCCATGCCCCCTTTTCCGTCTCAACCCACCTCTAGGTCCGCAGCCCTCCCACGCCAATACCCTCCAGACCGCCGCCTGAAATCAAGCCCCTGAAGGTCCCCACTGTACCCCCCTCCCCGCTGTTACCTTCAATATCACAGGTCTGCCGCTTCCCCGCAACGCCACCTGGCACCTCGGCCAGCGAGTTGGGTGGAGGAGCGTGGGCGGCCTTGGTTTGGCTTCGAGGTGGGCCACCCTGGGAGATTGGGGTGTCAGAGCCAGAACTTGGAAGTGGGGTGGGGGGAGGGGAGGCCGCGGACAGCAGGGGACGCCCCATGCCTTGCTCACCTGGCGGTGGCCCTGAGATGCATCTCCGGCTTCGGGGATTTTCACACCTGCGACAGAGGGGGGGCCACAGATCGTGCTCACTTTCCGTTGGCACCCGCTGCCTCCAGGGGCCAGACGCGCCAGGGGTACGACGTGGGGCAATGTCACTTACCTGGGAGCGTGTCCAAAAGCAGTCGCTGGGCCGCCACGGAGCTGACTAACTTCCCCAGGTCTAGTGCTTCCTTCTCACCTGGCTGCAAGGATAGGTCAGACGCCCCATTCCCAGGACAAGCCCTGCCCCTGATCCAGTCCTGGTTCCCAGGGATGCTGGGCCAGGCTCCTGGCCGCGCCCACTCTCCCTGCCCCAGGGCAGACCCCGCCCCGGACCTTTGCCACGCCCACTCTCCCACCCCACGATCAACCCGCCTCTGAACGCTGACCACGCCCACCGCCTCACCCCAGTACAAGCCCCGCCCCTCACTGGTCTATAGGCCACGCCCATTACCCCCCCAAGGTAGACCCCGCCCCTGAATCTTGGCCACACCCATTCTCCCGCCCCACGACCAACCCACCTCAGAACGCTGGCCACGCCCACCTCCCCGCCCCAGCAAAGCCCCGCCCTCACTGGTCAATAAGCCACGCCCATCCCCTGCCTCCAGGACAGAGTCCGCCCCCAGGCTCACCCGGCGCAGCTCCACTTGCTGCAGGCTCAGGCCGTGCTTGGCCAGGACCGGCTGCAGCGCCTCCTGCAGCAGCTTGGTGGGCTTGGCCGAGATGCGTACGACACGGTCCAGCGCCGGCGACTCCAGCCTAAGCGGGACCCGGGCGCTGGGGCGGGAGGCAGGCCGCCACCGCGCCTCTGCCCCGCACCCTTCCGAGAGAGCCCAGCCCCAGGCCTGAGAGGCAGCAGGTGGGATCGGATGGGATCGGATGGGTTCAGGGGCGGGGGGGGGGGCGGGGGAAGAACCGTCACCCCCCCACCCCTCGCACCTCAAGACCCCAGCCTGGGCACACTCCAGCACTCACTCGAAGGTGATCCGGTTCTCTAGTCGCACTTCCTGGTCGGCCAGCACCGTGCAGTCCTGATCCAGGACTAAGGCCTTCTGCAAACAGTGGGCGGGGGTTCAGCGCCCTCACCCCCACCCCATCCCTGAGTGAGGGAGACCCCTCAAAAAGCTAGCAGGCACTCCTTGTTGGTTTTTCTTTTTTTTTTTTTTGGCTTTTTGGGTCATACCTTGCTATACTCAGGGGTTACTCCTGGTTCTGCACTCAGATAACCAGATTAGATGCCAGGATTAAACCCGGGTTGGCCACATGTCAGGCAGACACCCTATCTATCGGTCCAGCCCCAAGGATACCTTGTATGTGAGGCTTGAGTTTGCTCCCTGCCCCCCAAAAACAGCACTGGCCCTTGACTGCAGCCTTTTCCCCAGCATTACTGGGAAGACGCCCTTCCAAAGTCCCCCCTCCTTGTCTCCAGTCATTCGTGGTAGGTGTCCCACATACCAACCACCTTTGCTTCCTTCTCTACCCACCAACTGGGCCCCCGGATGTTAGGTACTATGGGATGCCAGGGATTGAACCTGGGTCAGCCACATGCAAGGCAAATGCAGTCCCCGGTGTGCTACCCTTTTGGCCCCTGTCCCACCATTTAAGGGAACATCTTGTGTCACTGTAAACAGGACCCTTCTTCAGTGTAGACCAGAGGACTGTGAGGACTTACGGAAGGTGTATTAGCTACTTGTACTCGTCCGGCACACAGTAGGGACATAAACAGTGGCTGTAGGAACTGCCACCCCCAAAGGCCCCTCTGTCTGCATCAGCCCCCGCGTGGCTTACACAGCCTCTCTCCCACAGGCCCGTGTTGCCACAGAGACAGGTGGGGTGTGGGTGGCGAGGTTATATTTAGCCCAAGTGTCAGCTCAGTTGGGGCTGGTGCAATAGTAGAGTGGGGAGAGTGCCTGCCTTGAATGCAGCCGACCCAGGTTCGATCCCCGAGATCCCACAGGGCCCCTTGAGCACCACCAGGTGTGATCCCTGAGCGCAGAGCCGGGAGTAAGCCCTGAGCACCTCTGACTGTGGCCCCATGAACCACAACCCCAAAACAAAACAGAGTGTAAGGCCTTCTGGGATACGGTGCTGAGAGTAGGCACAGCACTGCTCACTGCTGTCCTCCCTCTCTCATACTTTGACCCTTGACCTGGGCCTGCTTCTCACCACTTCTGCTTCAATAGGTCCCTGTCCCCGAATGTCCCTTGACCACACCCAGGTATCTACAGGCTCTGATCCTCCCCACACTTGGCAGTGCTCAAGGCTGACTCCTGGCTCTGTGCTCAGGGATGACTCCTGGCAGTGCTCGGGGGACCCTATGGGGTGCTGGGGATTGAGCCCAGGTCAGCTGCATGCAAGGCAAGCACCCTCCCCTGCTGTATTATCTCTTCGGCTCCCACCCTTTAAAAACATTTTTTAAAGCTCCCAATGATTTTCAGGGGTTACTCCTGGGATTACTCCATGCAGTGCTCAGGGTATCCTATGGGATGCTGGGGATAGAACCTGGGTTGGCCACATTCAAGGCAAGTGCCCTCCCCACTGTATTATCTCTCCAGGTCCCTTATATACTCCTCTCTTTAGCTCTCCACTGGCGATACTCAGGGCTTACTCCTGGCTCAGTGCTCAGGAATTTCTCCTGGTCATACCTGGGAGACCTCCTAGTCCTGTGCTCTGTGCAAGGACCTAATGCAATAGCAGTGATTGAACTAGGACTGGCTGTGGGCAAGGCAGGCCCCCTTCCTACCTGCTGTACTATCTCTCCAGCCTCTAGACTTTTTCTTTCTCTTTTTTTTTCTTTTTTTGGCCACACCCAGAAATGCTCAGGGGTTCCTCCTGGTCCTGCGCTCAGGAATTACTCTGGCGGTGCTTGGAGGACCATAGGGGATGCTGGGGGTTGGACCCGGATTGGCCGTGTGCAAGGCAAATGCCCTGCCCGCTGTACTGTCTCTCTGGCCCCGCCTCTAGACTTTTTCAAGCTTCACAGAGACTCATTTGCACCTGCGGGAAAGTTGGGTGCCATGGGGTGGTCCCCGAGAACAGGAGAGGTGGCAGCTCCCCCAAATGGCCATTTCAAGGTTTTGATTTTGGCTTCTGGGGTCACACCCAGCAATGCTCAGGAGCTAATCCTGGCTCTGCACTCAGGAATTACTCCTGGCATTACTTCAGGGGACCCTATGGGATGCTGGGGATCGAATCTGGGCCAGCCGCGTGCAAGGCAAACACCCTACCCGCTGTACTCTCGTTCCAGCCCCCAAATGGCTGTTTTAGAAACTCCAGGAGCAGGGAGGCCCAGAGACGTGTGCAGACGGGATTTCGGGGAACAGTGGCAATCAAAAGTCTGAGCCGCAAGAGGGCGCTGCGTTGAGAGGCCTTAGACCTGAGGGAGGGGCATGCTGGGAGTGAGGGTGGGGGCGGGGGCGCACCTGTTCGTTGCCCACCAGGTAGACCTTGATCTCAGGTAGGGAGAGACCTCGCTTCTCACAGATGCCCGCCAGCATGGAGCGGATGGTGAGGCCCGGGCGGGCCAGGGCCAGGGAGGCAGTGCCATCCGGTAGGTACACGCAGCAATACTTTCCTGACTGCGACCGGCCTTCGCCGTCCCCTTCTGAACTCCCCAGGCTCTTCCGGTGGCTCTGAAATGGGGGTGGGGGGTTCAAGTATGAGAGTATCAGGGGTGCACAGCCAGCCCTGGCTCCAGGAGAGACGGTGTGCACCCACACACACGGCATACCCCGTATTATGTTAGGGTTAGGGACGGTGCGTCTTCTTGCCCTTATTGGGGTACGCTCACACAGGTGTAGGTGCACCCACCAACCTGGGCACCCCACGTGCCCAGGTAGGCACCCACCTGAGCTGCAGGTGGTGTTCCTGAAAGCCCAAGGTGGCTGTCGTTAGGATGGGAGGTCCCAAGGGAGCAAGGTCAGAACGGGAAGGGGTGGGGCCTTATTTTGTTCCCACACTCCCCACACACCCACATCTGGGGCTTACCTCAGATTTGCTGCTGACGAAGGCAAGGAAGCCCAGGTCCAGACTAGCAGAGGAGTTGAGGGATCCCTGGGATTCTCGGCGCTGGCTGGCCGCACCCCCTGCCAATTCTAGAGGTGAGGGGGGCACTCAGCAGAAAAGCCCAGTTCCTATACGTAGTCCTTTTCTGAGGGAGCCTCACGCACCCACATAGACTCTCTTGCAGGAGTCTAAAGTGATTGAGAGGGGCTGGAGTGACAGCACAGCAGAGAGGGTGTTTGCCTTGCGCGCGGCTGCCCCGGGTTCGAATCCCAGCATCCCATGTGGTCCCCTGAGCACCGCCAGGAGTGATTCCTGAGTGCAGAGCCAGGAGTAACCCCTGTGCATTGTCGGGTGTGACCCAAAAAGCAATAAATAAATAAATAAATAAATAAATAAAGTGATTGAGGTCTCCAGGAGCAATCCCACTAAGGGGGGGCTGGAGGGGTTTCACCAAAATTTAGGGTCTAACCTGGAAATCCGCAAGTGTTGGTCACAGAAACCTGCTTTTTGGGTTTGTTTTTGGGCCACCCTCGGCAGTGCTCAGGGCTTACTCCTGGCTCTGCGTTCAGGGATCACTTCTAACGGGTTCTGGGGTGCTGGGGATCAAATCCAGTCTGTTGCGTGCAAGGCAAGCGCCCGCCCCGCCGTACTATCTTTCCTGCCTTGGAACCTGCATTTCGGCTTCTCAGACTTACAGGCTGGGGAGCCCGGAGGAAAAAGGGAAGGGAGAGCGTGTTTCCCAAAGTCTAAGTTCCCGGGGCCCATGCCCTCACCCCTCCTCACCCCTGCGGAAGGACTTGCGCAGGGAACGGCTCCCAGGACCCTCAGTGGCCGGCAGCTGCCCCAACTCCTCCACGCCCAGCGGCAGCGACTTTCCGGGCTTCAGTTTTGGCTTCTGTAGTGGGGAGAAGGGGTGCAGGGCAAGCGCTAGCATTCAGCCCGCAGACCTGCTCCCGGCTCTCCCCACCTGTCCCCAGCCACACCTTCCTTGTGGCTTCAGGGCTGGCCAGGCGCAAGGACCCAGGTTCCCGCAGGGGGCGGCCTTCGGCCTCTGCTCGGAGGCACTCGTGGTATAGCGGAGACTTGACAAAGCGCGCGTAGCTGTCAAACTTCATCAGGTTGAAGATCTGTGGGCCGGACGGCGCGGGGCGTGTTATCAGCGTCCCTAGCAACGGCGGCAAGCCCCGCCCGCCCGCGCCAGGTGCCGGCCCCGCCCCGAGCTAGGCCCCGCCCCTCCTCGAGGTAGGCCCCTGCTTCCCGCCCCGTATTCTCGCAGCTTCTAGGACGCCCGGGGCCCGTGACATGCCTCTGCTGGTAGCTGGTTCCCCTGTCCAAATTTACTCCCTTACACCCTCCCAACTCCCTTTTCCCCATGCTCTCCACTCCCCCTTGCAGCTGACTCCGCCCCTATATTTGGCCACGCCTTCAAAACCGCCCATTAAGTCTCCGCCCCACCAAGCACCAAGCACCCGCCCGCTGGGTGCCCCGCCCACAAAGGCCCCCGCGTCTCTCAGGCTTCGCCCCACAGAAAACCACGCCCCTGAGGACACGCCTCCTCTCAGGCACCGCCCCCCGGAGCCTCACCTGGAGCTGCTGTGCCCGGAACATGTCCGGTCGGGGCTCAGCCAGCACCTCCTCGCCCAGCCATGCCTGCCGATCGATGTTCACCGGGCTCAGCGCCTGGCTCGACAGGAACTCCTGGTAGATACTGCGAGCCTCGCGAGCTAGCTGGAAGGCAGCAGTGCCAGGAGGCGATCCATCAGTGGCGCGGCTCGCGCCCTGATCCCCAAGCCCCGGGCCCTTCTTCTTCCTCCCACCTTCCTCCCCCGCCCCCAGCCTCCAACCTGCTGCGTGTCGCTGGCCGGAATCTGCTGGAAGCGCTCGCAGGCCTTCCAGAAAGTCACGTTCTCGGCGCTGAACTCCTTCTTCAGGAACTCCTGGGGTGGGGGGGTTGGGGGCGTGAGGGGTGAGGGGAAGAGGGAGCCAGAGGGGGGAGGAGGAGGAGGAGGAGGAGGAGGAGGAAAAGGGCAGACAACACAGCAGGATGGGACTGAAGTGACAAGGGGGCCGAGACCGAGCCAGACAGGCAGCCAGATGGCCGGACCCAGAGGCACAGGAGGAAACAGACGATGAGATGGGAGGCAAGTTCCCAGGCACCGGAAGGGGTGCCGGCGACAGGGGGAGGCGGCAGCAGACAGGGAGACTTCTGCTCAGCCCTAGGTGCACCCCATCTTCACCCTCGGTCCCCCCGCTGTCCCCTCTCACCAGCCCCCACCGCAAGAGCTTACAGTGAAAAAAGCCAGACCCAGCGGGTCTTGCAGAAGCCGCTCGAAGGACAAGGCCCAGCTGGCCACGGGCTGCTCATCGCTGGGGAAGGGGCTGGCCGGGGCACTGGGGAGGCTGTGGACGCTGAGGGAGCTGCCCCGGCTCTCACCCTGGCCCTGCGGCCCCTTTGTGTTGCTCAGCTCTGCAGGGGGAAAGCCAAGTGCCCGGGAGTTGGGGGGGGGCTGGGGCAGGGTGGGGTGTCTTCCCCTGTACCCCCCAGCCCCACTTCAGGGGCACGTCCATGCACTCTGCAAAGACAGTGGTGGCAGGGCTGTCCCCAACCTACCTTGACCCTCCTTGGCCCGCCTTACCAAGTAAGGGGGTCCCCTACTCCCCTTTCATTCCTTGTCACTTACCTCCATCAGAGACAGCCACAACCTATGAGAGAGAGAAAGAGAGAGAGAGAGAAAGAGAGAGAGAGAAAGAGAGAGAGAGAGAAAGTATGTCAGAGCAGCAGAATGGGGGTGGGAGCAATTCTGGGTGCAGACCCCCAAGCACTGAATCTGTAGTAGCTCCCAGCATGGCCTGGTAGACACCCCTTCCCCCTGCCCTGCTATCAAGGAGGGGCCAGGGACAGCTGAAAGGGCTGGAGATGAGTTTTAAATGCGGGAGCCCCAGGTTCGATCCCCACATGGTCCCACCCAGTACTGCCCCAACACTAGGGGACAGGGTCCCGCCAAAATGAAGGAAGATTAAATAATAGGGATTGGAGAGACGGGATGGCGCTTGCCTTGTGTGTGCTCAACCCAGGTCTGACCCCTGCATGTCATAGGCTGTCCCCAACCCAGCAGGAATGATCCGTGAGTGCAGAGCCAGGAGTCAGCCCTGAGCAAACCCTCCCCCGCCCCGACGTGTTGCCCCCAAACCCAAACAGAGACAACAACAACAAAAATAAAACCCTGGGAGGCTATTTTATGGGTCTGGGGCCACACCTGGCAGTGCTCAGGGCTTCCTTCCGATTCTGTGCTCACGGATCACTCCTGGCAGGGTCTTGGGGGACCCTCTGTAGTGCCGGGGATCAAACCTGGGTGGGCCAAGTGCGAGGCAAGCCCCCCTTTTAGAATGGGTTACTCAGAGCTCCTAATTCTGTCCCCACTCCGGCCCATTGCACCTCGGCTGTATTAATCATTGACTAGAGTGGCACGTAGCTTAGCGACCGCTGTGTACGTCAGATGAGAAACATTCCCATAGTAACTGATATAAGGTCCCGGTGACCTGCACTCAGGCCGGACTCATTCTGGCAGAAGTCAGGGTGAGTCTGAAGCATCTAGAAAGCTGCATCTGCTGCTAATCTCTTGTGTGCTTGTGCCTTTTTTCTTTTAATTTTTTTCGGGGGGTCACAACCCAGCGATGCTCAGGAATTACCCCTGGCGGTGCTCAGGGGACCCTATGGGATGCTGGGAATTGAACCCAGGTCAGCCGCGTGCAAGGCAAACGCCCTACCCGCTGTGCTATCACTCCAGCCCCCTTTCTTTTTTTTCTTTTAATTAACAACAACAACAAAAAAGAGGGGGTTGGCGGGGTGGTGGGCACACCCAGCTGTGCTCAGGGCTGACTCCTGGCTCTGCACTCAGGCATTACTCCTGACAGTGCTCGGGGATCCTATGGGTTGCTAGGGATCAAACCGGAGTCTACCCTGTTGTATGCAAGGCAAACACCCTCCCTGCTGTGCTCTAAGTGGCAGGTGCCTCCTATCAGCCGCTGGCTCAGCCCTGTACCAGTCCCCTACCGCGGGGTCATGCATAACCCTGTTTTCGGGGCATGTAGTCCTGTTTTGGGGGGCTCCGGGTATTTCTGATCCACTCACCCCCCTCGCACCTTCAACTTGAATCTACCCCCTCACCTCTGCCCCAGGCTTTGGAGCAGGCCAGGAGTCCGTTCGGAGGCCCCCAGGTGCCAGCCTCTCCGCCCCGGGTTTGCTTCACGCCCTGCCTTCTCCCCAGCAGAGATGCGGAACAATGCATTCGAGGCCCAGGGTCCCTCTGGCCTCGTTTCCCGGTCCCCCGCCCCCCCGCTCTGGGTGACAAGTCACCTATGTGACTAATGAGTCCCCCCCCCGCACCTCCCCCACAGTCCTCCCTCCACTGCACCCTGCACTCAATTCATCAAACTTCCCCCCCTACACTCCCCTCTGCGCTCCCCTGTGTGGGGGCAGCCCCCATTCTTCAGTGGTTACCTGTCACCCTTTCTCTGAGTACCTGAAAACCCCCCACCCACTCCTTTGGCTGGGAGCTCCTTCTGCAGACCACAGTCAGGTTTTTTTTTTTTTTGTGGGGGGAGGGAGAGGCAGGGGGTCCACACCCGCCAGCACTCAGGGATCACTCCTGGTGGGCTCAGGGGACCCTATGGGGTGCCGGGGATCGAACCCGGGTCGGCCACATGCAAGGCCAGTGCCCTCTCTGCTGTCCTCTCTCTCCAGTCCTCTCTTGCAAAGTTCTTAGCTCTGAAATCATCTGATCTTCTGCTATTCGTAACAAGCAATACAAAAGAGAGTATGGGGGAGGTTGTCTGCCATAGAGGCAGGGGGAGGGTTGGGATGGAGGAGGGGGGATACTGGGGACCTTGGTGGTGGTGTGGGAGAGGTGCATGGGTGGAGGGTTGGGTGATCGATCGTTGTATGACTGAAACGCAAACAGGAAAGCTTTGTAACTGTATCTCAAGGGGGAAAAATAAATCATAAAATAATAATAAAATTAAATTAACATTCTGGGGGCTGGAGCAATAGCAAAGAGTTTCCCTTGCACGCGGCCAACCCGGGTTTGATTCCCAGCATCCCATATGGTCCCCTGAACACTGCCAGGGGTAATTCCTGAGCGCAGAGCCAGGAGTAACCCCTGTGCATTGCCGGGTGTGACCCAAAAAGCAAAAATAAATAAATAAATAAACATTCTGAATTAAAAAAAAGTCATGTGGAGTTCATGCCCAATTCAATCAGCTAAATAATGGCTGAATAAATAGCAGTACTCCTACATTATAAAATTAAAAAAAAAAATCTTTGATGCTGATGCTGCCGTTCCTGCCTGACAGCGTTTGACCAGTGTTTGCACCCCCTGTTTTCGTCCCATTTTTTGTGGGGGGAAGGTGGTGCACACCTGGTGATACTCAGGACTGACTCCTGGCTCTATGCTCAGGGATCATTACTGGTGGGCTTGGAAGACCTGGTGCAATGCTGGGAATCGAACCTAGGTCAGTAAGTGCCCTCCCTGCTCCTCTCTCGCTCCGGAGCCTGCAGATCTGGTTTGAAGGAGGGACTCAGAAGGAGGTGGGAGAGATGGTTCAAAGGGCTGGAGCACAGGCCTGGCATGCTGGTGCCTTGGGTCCCGTCCCCGACACCGTGCAGTTCCTGAGCACTGCTGGGAGTAGCCCCTGAGGACTAGGCAGGGAGGAGGAGGTCTTGGGAGGTGGGAGGCGGGTGTAGCTCACAGGGAGAGTATCTGTCTTGCATGTATGCAACGTGGGGTCAATTCCTGGCACCATCAAAAAATAAAACATGAGGCTGGAGCAATAGCACAGTGGGGAGGGCGTTTGCCTTGCACACGGCCAACCCGAGTTCGGTTCCCAGTATCCCATATGGTCCCCTGAGTGATTCCTGAGTGCATGAGCCAGGAGTATGCATCCCTGTGCATCACCGGGTGTGACCCAAAAAGCAAAACAAACAAAAAATAAGGGGCTGGAGCCATAGTCCAGTAGGGAGGGCACTTGCCTTGCACACGGCCAACTCGGTTACTATCCCTGCCATCCAATAGGGTCCCCGAGTATAGTCAGGAGTGATCTGTGAGCACAGAGCCAGGAAGGAGCCCTGAGCATTGCTGGGAGGGTGGGTCCAAAGCAAATGAACCAAAAAAAAAAAAAAAACCTAAAAAACCACCCACCCACCAAGGCACCAAGGGGCTGGGGAGACAAAGCAGGGGCACTTGCCTTGAGGGAGCTGACCTGGGTTCAATCCCCGGCATCCCGTAAGCCTTCCAGGGGTAAAGTAATCCCTGAGCACCACCAGTGTGCCCCCAAATCAAAACGAAATAAAAGAAGGCACACAGATCCAGGTATTTTTTTTTGGGGGGGGGCAACAGGCAGAAATGGAGCCTAGTTTCAGTGGGGCAAAGGCTGACCTTCCTTTCCAGAGAAGCAAGGAATTCCCCAGCCCTCAGAGTCCCCCTGGGGAGACCCTCCCTCCCACACACACACACTCAGGCTACATTTCTCAGGTCCAAGCTCCTGGGGCTTCCAGGAAGGGTGGATGAGGGTCGGATGGAAGGGGAAGCTGCGTCCCTGGGCACCAGACCCTCCCTGAGGCTTGGACCTGATCAGGGAGGGGGGAAGTGGGCCCCACCCTGGCCAGTCTGTGGGGAAGAAAAGGGGAACAGAGGATGAGGAAGGGCGTGGTGCTCCGAGTTAGGGTGACCTTACTGGGTTCCCAGGACCCCAGCCAGGGGTGGAAGCGGCTTCTCCTGAACCCCCCAGTGTGTGGCAGGTATGCATTTGGGTCCTGTACCCCACTTCTGCTGGCTGCAGGCCTCTGCCCCATTGTACAGATGAGAACACTGAGGTCCAAAGGCAGGAAAGTGCCCCAGCTGGAATGAGAGCTCAGATGTGTGCAGGGATAGGCCCCTGATGGGCAGGGAAGAAGATGAGGGTTGCTGGGAGATCTTTTCAGGGCCCATATTTTTTTGGGGGGTGGCAGAGAGCATATCTGGCAGAGCTCAGGGACGACTCCTGGCTTGGGGGTTAGTCCTGGTGGTGTCTGAGGGGGCGTGCAGTGCTGGGGGTGGGTCCGGGGCTCCTCCCTGTGCTGAGACCTTTCCCTGACCCCCTTCAGGAGAAACTTCAAGGGGCCGAAATGACAGGACAGCGGGGAGGGTGCTGACCTTACACCTGGCCCACCTGGGTAGCACCCCACAGGGTCCCGCAAGACCCCTTCTAGGAGTGATCCCTGAACACAGAGACAGGAGTCAGCCCCTGAACACCACCAATGTGGATTCCTCACATGGACCCCCTCCCCAGTAAAAAAAAAAAAAGAAAAAGAAGAGCACTGGTGCTGGAGCAATAGCACAGCTGGTAGGGTGTTTGCTTTGCAAGCAGCTGACCCAGGTTCGATTCCCAGCATCCCATATGGTCCCTGAGCACTGCCAGGGGTGATTCCTGAGTGTAGAGCCAGGAGTAACCCCTGTGCATCGCCGGGTATGATCCAAAAAGCAAAAAAAAAAAAAAAAAACAAAAACAAAAAAACAAAAAATAAACCACAGTCTATAGCACTGTCCTCCCATTGTTCATAGAGTTGTTCGAGCGGGCCCAGCAGTAACCTCTTCATTGTGAGACTTGTTGTTACTGTGTTTGGCATATTGAATGCATCACGGGGAGCTTGCCAGGCTTTGCCATGCGGGTGAGATACTCTCGGTAGCTTGCCGGGCTCTCCGAGAGGAGCGGAGGAATCAAACCTGGCTCAGCTGGGCTGGCTGCGCGCAAGGCAAATGCCCTACCGCTGTTATTGCTCCTAATACTAAAAAAAAAAAAAAAAAAAAAACTAAAAAAAAAAGAAAAAAAGAAAAGATAAAAACAGGGTTTGGAGAGTACAGGCAGGAGGGCGCAGCAGCTGACACCAATTCCATCCCCGCCACAGGGTCCCCCAAGTCCACTAGGCGTGATCCCTGAGCGCAATGCCAGGAGGAAGCCCTGAGCACCGCCAAGGGTGGTGGGCTCTCCCGTAAAGGAAAAAGACCCTGAATGAGAGGAAGCCTGAAGGGCATCCTGTGGGAGGTGTCGCTCCTCAGTGGCACAAACAGGCACCTCAAAGCGGCGAGGCCCGAGGGAGCTGACAAGGGCCCCAGACCCAAACCTACGATGGTTCTGTCTCTTTCCCGGGGTCCAGCTCACCACCAGGCACATGGCGGGTGTCAGGGAACGTCGGTGAGAAGGGGTCAGCCCCCTGGGAGTTTCCCTTTACTCAAGGGAAGGATGAAATGGGGCGATGTGTCCCTGCTATACCAGCTGCCCCCCAAACCCCTGCTTCTCCCAAACCTCCCGTTTTCCTTCTCAGACAGAAAAAGTGAGTTCAAGTGTCAGGGATCATGCCTGCCTGACGTGAGGCCGAGTTCAACCCGACCCCCCCACTGCCCCGCACCCCAGCACTGTGGCCTGTGTTCCCCAAGACCCCTGATGATGACTAGGACCACCCCCTCCATTTCATTTGTTTGGGGAGGGGTTACAACATGTAGTAGAGCTCAGGGTTGACTCCTGGCTCTGTGCTCGGGCACCACTCCTGGCGGTGCTCGGGGGACCCGATGGGGTGCCGGGGATCGAACCCTGGTCTACTGAGTGCATGGCCAGTGTCCTCCCCGCTGTGCTATCGCTCCAGCTCCAAATTCAGGGTCTGTCTGAGTCTGCCCGGGGCTGGCCCTGAGGGGAGGAGCCCCCATACCCCACCCCTGACACCCAGTGGCGGGTTCAATGCAGCTGCCTGACAGGCGTGGGGGAAACTGGGGAGACACAATCGCTGTGAGGAGAGGCAGTGGGGGTGTGGCTGGGGGAGTGTGTGTGGGGACAGGCAGAGAAACGGTGGGGAGGCACCCCAGCCTGGAATGGGGGGTGCCAGGGTTAAAGACGGGGCTCTGAGCCCCTCTTAGCATTCATTTATTTATTTATTTTGGGGGGGGTGATGTTGGTAGGGGCAGACCCGGCCGTGCTCAGGGCTTCCTCTTGGCTCTGCACTCAGGAATTACTCCTGGAGGGACTTGGGGGACCCTATGGGGTGTTGGGGATCGAACCCAGGTCAGCTGCGGGCACGGTAAATGCCTTCCCCGCTGGACTATCGCTCCGGCTCCGCCTCCGAGGATTTGGCTGCAGGAGCGGCTGGACTCTGGGCGGGCAGGTGTGTCCCCAGGGCCCGGGCACCAGAGAGTGACTCATTTCTGGGATCCTGGGGCGTCCGGAGTCAATCCGGGAATTTGGGGGGTGGGCTCAGGTAGGGCACAGTAGCTGAGGGAGTTGGGGGTCTGGCGGGAGCCAGGGTGGCGTGGAGGGGGGGCGTCCCTGAATGACTCTGGGGTACAGGCATCCCAGGGTGCTGTGGGTGGGACAGGAGCACCCCCACAGCTGCTGGGATGATCAGCTGCCCCCCAGACCCCCATTCCATTCTCCCAAACCTCCCATTTTCCTTCTCAGACAAGAGGTTGTTCAAGTGTCCGGGTACATGCCTGCCTGATGTGAGGCTGAATTAGCCCAACCCCCCCTACAGCCCACAGCTCCCCACCCCACCACTGTGGCCTGGGCTCCCGAAGGCCCCTGATGATGACTAGGACCACCCCCTACATTTAATTTCTTTGGGGGCCACATCTGGGGTGTCCCTGGAGTTCTGCAGAGACAGCCCTGGGGTAGGAGGGGCCGGCCTGCAGGTGCTTGAATTGTCCAATGAGGGGCAGGCTGGGCCAGCTGGGGGCGGGGGTGGGGTGTGGGAAACTCTCCCCTGACCCAGCTTGTCTCGGGGTTGGGGGGGCACAGAGAGGCTGGAAGCAGAAGGATGGAGGCAGGTCTCAGGAATTAGAAGGGAGGGGGCCGGAGCCATGGGATGGCGGGGAGGGTGCTTGCCTTGCCAGGTGGCTGACCCAGGTTCGATCCCCGGCATCCCGTAACTGTCCCCCTGAGCCCTGCCGGGAGTGACACTTGAGTGCAGAGCCAGGAGTTGGCCCTGAGCATGGCTGCATGTGACCTTAAAACCAAAACGACGAAAAAAAGGAATTAGCAGGTGGGAGAGTGTGTGTGTGTGTGTGTGTGTGTGTGTGTGTGTGGGGGTGGGGGGAGGCTTAGCTCCTAGGTGAGGCAGGGGATCTTGGAAGCGAGGGGTAGAGAACAGAGGGGTGCAGTGGGTTGGCATTCACCGGGACCCCCCATGGCCCCCGTCCCTCTGGTTCTCCATCCACAAGCCTCTTGAGTACCCCTAGCCTGATTTAACCCAGGAGGAGGAAATCGAGTGTCTGACAGGCTGCAGAGCGGGTGGGAACCCACCCTGGGCCGGTCTCGACCCTAACTCTGTCCACCAGCACTGGCCACCTTGAGGGTTCTGAGGCTGGCTGGGGTGCCCCAGGGGGAAAAGGGGGACCCGCCCAGAGCAACCTCCTGTCCCATCTGTTGAGTGAAAACAGAAGCCAGCCATTCAGGGGGAGGGGCAGCTCTGACCGGGGTAGGGGTGGGTGGGGGTTAGCGGCAGGGGGTTCCCGTGTGCTGGGCTTCCCCCAGCCTTTCTGGGGGGTCCCACATCTGAATACTCGGGCACTGTTACACCTGGCCAGGGCCCCGGGCTCGGAACCGGGGTCTCCCTTTTCCTCTCCGGCAGGAAGTTCTGAGAACCGGTTGGGGAAGAGGGCGGGGCGAGGGTTGCCCTGAACCCCGCCTGGGCCCCAAAGGGTGGGGTGCAGAGGTCAGAGGAGACCTGGGGGTTCGGGCGACCGCTGGAGGGTGGGTGACGGAGAAGGAGGGGGGTCCACACCAGACGGTTCTGTCGGCTGCGCTCTGAGATCACCTTTGGGGTGGCCCCAGGTTCTCCTCAGGGTGATCTGGAAAGTCCTGGTGCATGGCACCACGCCCCCCCCACCGCCCTGGTACTGCCCGGCCCCACCCGCCCCACCCACCCCACCCCGGGGTGCCCCCCCTCGGCCCCCCCACCCCGGGGCCTGGCCCCAGCCCACACTCACCATGCGCCCGTTTGGGACGCCCAGGTGCTTGGGCTTCCCTGGCATGCCGGCGGGGTTCAGAGGGCCCCGCTGTGGGGGCTGCCCACCATGAGGGCTGGCGATGGCAGCAGGCGGCCGGGCGAGAGGGCGGGCGGCGGCGAGCACCCAGCTCACATCCTGAGACTCTGCTCACTACCTCTTTCCTCTGCCACAGGAAGCGTCTCTATAGAAACCAACCACAGAGAAGCAGGGGCTGAGGGCGCGCGCGCCTCTCTCCGCACACGCGCGCCCCACACGCACCCGGGCACACACGCACACCCCCACACGCTGGCACGCGGACACACACACACACACACACACACCGACATCCCCCCCACGCACACCGGCACACACACATACCACACACACATACACACATACCAGCACACACACACACCAGCACACACATGCATGCACTCACCACACACTCATACACACACCACAAACACGCGTGCACACACATACACATACACACACACCACACGCATACACACACCACACACACGTGTGCACACACACCCACACACCCCAGCACCCAGGCATGTACACAAACTGGCACATACACACACCCCAGCACACCCACACACCCACGCACACTGGCACACACACATACACACATATGACACACACGCATACACACACATACCAGCACACATACACCACCCACTCATACCAGCACACACACACAAGCACACACATACACACACCAGCACACACACGCACATGCATACACACACCACACACACTCATACACACACCAGCACACACATATACACACCAGTACACAAATATGCAGACGTGCACACATGCACACACACACACGCACACTGAATTATTATGTATACAGGCACACACACCAACACACAGACAGACACATGCAGGAACGCATGCCCTCCAGCACACACTCACGCAAACACGTGGCAGGAATGCATGCCATACCAGCACACACACACACACGTGCGCACACACACACACCCCAGCACATGTACAGACGTGCACACAGACACACCAATGCACACCAGCACACCAGCAGGTACACACCTCTACAAGCACTGCCTGCGCCCTTAGGAACACGCGCTCTCAGGCACCAACGGTCATGCCGGGGCTGCAGCCTGGGGGGAGCCCCAGCAGTGAAAGGCACATCCCCGCCCCTTCTGCCCCCAAAGCTCCCAGCACATGGCAGTTTCGGGGTTTTTTTGGGGGGGTGCCACACCCCACGATGCTCAGGGGTGACTCCTGGCTCTGCACTCAGGAAATCACTCCTGGAGCTGCCAGGAATAGAGGGCAAGTGCCCTCCCCACTGTGCTGTCACTCGGGCCCCCAGCTTGGGTTTTGATGCCTGGCACAGACTCAAGCAGAACTTTGAATACTGCCGGATGGGACTCCCCAAAAAAGAAGCACAGAAACACACAGGCGCTTCCTGCTAAGATCATCATGATAGGGGGACAGAACAAAAGGACACAGGGGAGGGCACTCGCCTTTTATGCGGCTGACCCGAGTTTGATCCCCGGCATCCCATAGGGTCCCCCGAGCACCATTAGGCTTGATCTCTGAGCGCAGAGCCGGGAGTAACCCAAGTATTGTCGGGATTATGTTAAACAATGCCCAATCCAGGGACTCCCTGAAGTGCTTGGCTCAGGCCCACCTGGGCAGGTGCCTGGGTCCTGGCCTGGGCGGAGGTCGCACTGGACCTCCTGGGGTTAAGACACTCACTGTTGCCCTCGAACAGTTTTGGATTCGGAGGCTGAGAGAGCGCCCCCTTGGGGCCGAAGCGATAGTGCAGCCGGAGAGCACCTGCCATGCACGTGGCTGAGCTGGGTTCAATCCCTGACATTCCATATGGTTCCCCTGACCCTCGCCGCGAGTAATTCCTGAGTGCAGAGCCACGAGTAACCCGAGTATTTCCAGGTGCAGTCCCAGAATCAAAAACAAACCCCTCCCAACACTGCTGAGTTGCTTATGTGATTGGAGGAGGATACACCCCAGTGGAGGTCGTTGGTCCAGGGAGGGACTGACCTGACTTGCTGCACACAAAGCCTCTGGAGTCTTTTTTTTTTCTATTTTCTTTTTGGGTCACACCTGGTGATGCACAGGGGTTACACCTGGCTCTGCACTCAGGAGTTACTCCTGGCGGTGTTCAGGGGACCATATGGGATGCTGGGAATTGAACCCAGGTCAGTCGCGTGCAAGGCAAAGGCCTACCTGCTGTGCTATTGCTCCAGCCCCTGGATGCACCCCAGCGGAGCTGGAGGGTGCTTATGGGTGCCACTCCCAGTGATGCTGGGGATGGAACCTGAGGTTCTGCATGCAGTCTACAGATTTTGGGCCCTTGGCGCCATGTCCCCTGTCGCTCTCCTGCATTTGCAGGAAAGTCTCTATCCTGCTGTAGAGACATTCCACTTTTTCATCATTTCCTCCTCTTTCTTTATGATCCCCTTTTAGGATTGATCAGAATGGACAAACGTTCCCTCTGAGTGGGGAGCAAGGTCCATGTCACAGAGGCCTGACATGCAGTAGCGACCAACTGACAAAAGTCCCAGGTCTGGGGGACCGGAGCCATAGTACAGCAGGGAGGGGTGCTCGCCTTGCATGCAGCTGACCCGGTTTCCATCCCCAACACCCTACAGGATCCCGGGAGCCCCACCAAGGGTGATCCCTTGAGCACAGAGCCAGGAGTAAGCCCTGAGCACCCCACTGGGTATGACCCACAATCAAACAAAAATCCCAAGCCTTAGACAGGGGTTATGGCTGCAAGGGCTGGTGTGCACGCCTAAGGGTGCCACCTCTGGCATCACATGGACCCCTGAGCACTGTAGGGAGGCTCCACCCCCACACCCTCCCTCCAAAAATTAGTCCTAGTATCCTGATTTGGATTATTTGTGTGCGTGTGTGTATGTGGGGGCAGGTAGTGCCACACCCAGCGATGCTCTTGGGTTACTCCTCGCTCTGCACTCAGGAATCATTCCTCGTGGTGCTTGGGGGACCCTGGGGGGGATGCTGGGATCGCTCCTGGGTTGGCTGCATGCAAGACACCAGCCCCCTGGTTTGGATTTATCTGCATCAAGTCTCCTAATCTAGACAAATCTTTGGGAAGAAGGGTTTCTTGACTCTCTCTAGACTATGTAACTGTGAATTTAAAAATAATGAGAAGGCTAATTCAAAACACGTATGGCGCAGAGGCGATACTATAGCTACGGTGGGTAGGGTGTTTGTTTTGAACGCAGCTGACCCAGTATCCCATATGGTCCCCTGAGCACCGCCAGGAGTGATTCCTGAGTATTGAGTCACGAGTAACCTCTGAACATCACTGGCTATATCGCCACGTTTTCCCACCCCGCCAAAAAAGAAAAAAAAAACAACAGTATAATCAGGGGCTACAAAGCTAATACAGCAGGGAAGCACTTGATCTCTGGCATCCCTTAGGGTTCTCTGAGCCCTGCCAGGAGTGATCTCTAAAAAGATATCTCAGTATCTAATCCCGCAGAAGTTCATTCATTCCACTAGGTCCACGAGGCAGCAGCCGGTCTGGGTTTGATGGTCCAGCGAACCCTGCCAGGAGGGAACCCTGAACACAGAGCTCTGAGCACTGCTGGCTGTGGCCCCCAAACAGAAAAATAAACCGCACTCAGCGAAAGGACAGATCCCCCGGGATCCCCACCCGCCAGCGCCCCTGTCATTCATTCAAAAGACAAGGCAGAAGAAGCAACCGCGGGGGGCCAAGTGTGCCGAGATCTGTCTCAGTTTTGCTGAGAAACCAGAAAATCCGATTTCTAAATGTGGCCGCGAAGTGTCCTGGTTTGCAAGGACCTGTCGTTAAATCACGACTGACACCGAAAAAAGCAGAGAGGGGGAAAAAATAAAAAAAAGAAAAAAAAAAACGGGAGCTCGGCTGCCGCTTTCCACCTCTAATCCGACAAAGCGCTTTCCCGGATCTCTCCAGGGGCGTGACGTCCCCGATTGGGTCCCCACCTTCACGGGGGGACCCCCGCCCGGGGTCCGGGGCTTGCTCCTCCTGCTCTAAAATGCGAGTCTTGCACGCTCCAGACGAAGCGGCCCCTCCAGGCGTGGGAGTTGCCGGGCTAGAGGTTCGGAGTCCGGGCGAGGAGGCCGAGGCGGCGCGGGGGGTGGAATTCGGCTCGCCGCCTTCGAGGATGAGCTTCTTGGTCTTCCCGGGGGTGGTAAAGGCTGCTCCAGACCCGCGGCGGACGACAGGCGGACGACGGCTCCAGGGGCTTTGCAGGCTTTGCCAGATCTTTCCAGACGACGCGCCACTGCCAAACTATAAGTCCCAGAATGCCTCGCGCCGCGGGCCGCCCCTCGCTCTGTCCCGCCCCCTCAACTTTTCATTGGCTCACAAGCCTAACGTGCTGTTCCGCGATTGGCGGACCACCCTGTCGCTCCTAAGAACCGGTGGCCGCGGCTGACCGTCGGGGTGCCTCGGAGCCTCCGAGGAGAGGGAAAGGCAGTTAAGCAAGCATGGACGGGTGGGGGGGCTGCTTGGGAAATGAGGACACCGCCCCCTGCGGCGGCGAAGTTGAGTTGTTGAACGCCCCGGTGGCCCTGGCGGTGATGGGTTTCCGGCCGGAGGCCATTCGAGGGGACACCCGGAAGGCGGAAGTGCCCGGCCGGAAGTGCTCGTGCAGACCAGAGAATGGCGGCTGGAGGCTGGATTTGGCGCTGGGGCTGGGGCCGGCGGTGCCCGGGGAAGCCTGGGCTTCCCGGCCCCGGCCCTGGCCCCGTTCCATCTCTGCTGCTGCTGTTTCTCCTGTCGCTGGGGCCGGTGGCTGCAGACATAACCGACGGCAACAGCGAACACCTCAAGCGGGAGCACTCGCTCATCAAGCCCTACCAAGGTGAGGCCCGGGGCGCGGGGTGGGGAAAGCGAGAGGGGTGGGCTTTTAATTGTTATTATTATTTTTTAAATTTGGGGGCGAGGGCGGGGTCCCCTCTCCCGGGAGCCGTGTCCGCGCTCGGCACCCACGCCCGCGTCCGCGTCCGTGTCCGCCCGCAGGGGTCGGCTCCAGCGCCATGCCCCTATGGGACTTCCAGGGCAGCACGATGCTCACGAGCCAGTACGTGCGGCTGACCCCCGACGAGCGCAGCAAGGAGGGCTCGATCTGGAATCGCCAGGTGAGCGCTGGCGGGCACGCCCCCCACCCCCCACCCCCCACTTGCCGGCCGCGGGGGACGGAGGGGCGGGAGCGCGCGGGGACCGGCCCCTCCGTCCTTCCAGAGCCGCGGGAGCGAGTCTGGTCCACCCCCGTGGCTGGGGCTGGCTGGCTGGCTGGCAGTGGGATGCAGAGGCACGAAGCGTCGCCGCGCCAGGGTGGGGGGCCCCCGACTGATAAGCACAGCGGGCAGGGCGCTTGCCTGGCACGGGGGCCGAGCCCTGCACCCGTCGGGCTCTCTGAGCACCACCAGGGGTGCTCCCTGAGTACTGCCAAACGGAAAACCTCACGGACTTAGGTGGAGCCTGCATTGAACACCCTAAAGGAATAAGGGGGAGAAAGGGGGCTTTCAGGGGGGGCCCAGAGAGGTGGCTGATCGTGCTAAGCACAGGCTTTGCATGCAGAGACCCAGGGTGCCATCTCTAGATTCGAATGATTCCTGAGAGCAACCCCAGGGCACTGAGCACTGAGCTGGGAGTAGCCTCCAGGCACAGCTAAGGGTGGCTCCTATCACACACACACACACACACACACACACACCACCCCCAAACTAGCCTCCAGGCACAGCTAAAGATGACTCCTAACACCACACACACACACACACACCCCCAACCCCCCCCCCCAACTACAGAGGCTGGGGAGCTAGTACAGTGAGGAGGGTGTTTGCCTTTCATGTGCTGGACCCAGGTTCAATTCCTGACACCTCATCAGTCCAAAAAACCCCAAACCTAAACAAGCAACATAAAAAGGATACCCACCCCCCGAAATCTTGACCCAGGTCTTTTGCTCTGGGTGGGACTCACTGGGATTAGCTGTCAGGGGCTGGGGAGATGCACAGGGGCGGGAGGTGCGCTTGGGCCTCTAAGCAGTGGGCCCCTAGTAGGGCCCCCCCAAACCCTAAAGATACATTTGGAATTTGCTCAAATCGGCTGTTTCAAGGAGATGGCCATGAGGAATTTTTGCAGGGCCTCACTTTCAATAGGACCCATGGGGTGTGGGGTGGGGAGGCACATAGGTGGACAGCTGTGGGGGGGGGTGTCACCGTGACGGGCGGGGGATACTGTGGACAGTTCTGATTTTTTTTTTTTTTGTGGGAGGCGGGACACACCTGGCAGTACTCAGGGCTGAGTCCTGGCTCTGCGCTCTGGGATCACTCCTGATGGGGCTGGGGGGGCCTATGTAGGGTGCCAGGATCAAAACCCAGCTTGGCCATGTGCAAGGTAAACGCCCTCCCCGTGTCCTGTCTCTCTGGCCACCCCCGTCTTTGAGAGCGACTCCCCATTGGCAAGGGGGGGATGCCGGTTTTGCTTGGGTAACCTTTGCTCTGGAGGCCGTGGGCTCGGGTGTGGGCAGTACCCAGCTAGCTACTCTCAGACAGCTGCGGATGAGGGGGTCCAGGTCAGGGAAGGGGGAAGGGTGGGCCTGGGGCAGAACAAGGTCCCATCCTGGGTAGGTTCTGGGAGCCCTTACCAGGCGGGAGGCTGCTCAGCCCTGCTCTCCCTGCCTCTGCCCCTGCCCTTCCCTTCTCCCTCCCTCCCTTCTCCCCTTTCCCCTCCTCTCTTCTTCCTTCCCGCTGGGAGTAGCCTCCATGCTCAACCAAGTGTGAAAACACACACACACACACCAGGACATTACTCCTGGCTCTGTGCTCTGGGATCACTCCTGGTGGGGCTTTGGGGGAACCCTGTGGGGTACCCAGGTTGGCCACGTGCAAGGCAAACGTCCTCCCTGCTGGCCAGAAAGGGTGTGTGTGTGTGTGTGTGTGTGTGTGTGTGTGTGTGTGTGTGTTCGTGTGTGTTCGTTCGTGTGTTTGTTCATTCTCTCCCCTTTGTTCTTCTCCCCTTCTTTCCCTCTCTTCCCTCTTTTCCTCCTCTCCTCCCTCTTCCCTCTCCCTGGCGATGCACAGGGGTTCCTCCTGGCTCTGCACTCAGGAGTTACTCCTGGCACTGTTCAGGGAACCCTATGGGATGCTGGGAATCGAACCCGGGTTGGCCGTGTGCAAGGCAAACGCCCTCCCCGCTGTGCTGTCGCTCCAGCCCCTCCCCCTTCCTTTCTCCCTCTCCTTTTTAGCTGTGCTCAGGAGACCCTGCCACCCCCCCAGTCCCCCAGCCAGTGATTTTCCACCACCTGGGTCGGCAGTTTGCTGTGAAGCTCTGTTCTGGGGTGCCTAGGGGATTCCTAGGCCACCCCAGTAATGGGTGGGGAGATGCACAGGGGCGGGAGATGTGCTTTACATGCGGGAGGCCCTGGTTTGAACCCCAGCACTGCATGGGCTTCTAAGCAGTGCTGGGACCTCCAGGGAGCGTGTGGGAGGGGGCGGTTCTGTGTGGTGCCCGGGATGCAGCCACGCATGCGCCCTGTCCACTGTCCCAACTGGCCTTTGACACATCCCCCTTTTTAGTTTTATTTTCTTGCCCCCCCCACCCCTCCAATCCTGTCCCTCCAGGCTAGGCTTCCTTTTACTCCATCACGGAACTCCCAGAATTTCCCGCTCTGTGGCTCCTGAGGACGCCCTCTTCCGCAGAGCCAGGGAGGAACTTGCTGGGTAGGGTTTGGAGTCACACCTGGTGGCGCTCAGGTGTTGCAGGGGCTGGAGGGAGAGGGCAGCGTGGGGAGGTGCTCCCCTTGCAGGCAGCTGGCCCGGGTTCGATTCCCAGTTATCCCTTAGGGTCCTCCGAGCTGGCCAGGAGTGACCCCTGAGCACAGAGCCAGAGGTAAGCCCTGGGCACCGCCGGGTGTGGCCCGCTCAGAGAAACCAGAAACGGAGCACGCACGCCAGCCCCGGGCAGCAGCTGCCTGGCACGCTCCCTGGTATGCTCCCTGGCACGCGGTGCTGTCTGGACTTTGCTCGGTTTCCGTCCCCTCCTTTTGCTCCCCTGGGAGAGGCACCCTGGCTGCAAACACTGGGAGCCCCAACCTGCTCTGCCCTTCCTCAGGGCCCGAGACTAACCCAGCGGGAGGGTGCTTTTCTTGCACGCGGCCAACCTGGGTTCCATCCCCGGCACCCCAGAGGGTCCCCTGAGCACTGCCAAGAGTGAGCCCAGAGTGCAGAGCCCTGGGGAAGGAAGTACTTTCTTTGTTAGTTTTTCATTTTTTTTTTATTGTAAAGAAAGGTTTTTAAAATTGAATCATCGTGAGATACACAGTTACACAGTTGTTTGTGCTTGGGTTTCAGTCATAGGATGCTCTAGTACCTGTCCCTTCACCAGGGTACATTTCCCACCATCAGTGTCCCAGTCTCCCTCCTGCCACTCTGCCCATCCCCCACTCCTGCTCCCGCCTGCCTCTATGGCAAGCACTTCTGTCTGTCTGTCTGTCTGTTGACCACCCCCTTCTGGGTATTATGCTCTGACAGATATGAAAGGTTATCATATATGCTCTGCACTCAGGAATCACTCCTGGCCGTGTTCGGGGGACCCTATGGGATGCCGTGAATCGAACCCGGGTTGGCCTCGTGCAAGGCAAACGCCCTCCCTGCTGTGCTATCATGTGTGTCCCTAACCTACACTCAGCCTTAGGAGTAAGTTCTGAGCATCGCCAGATGTGGCTCAAAAACCGCCCACCCCACCTCCGCCCCCTAAATGGACAGAATCAAAACTTGTCAGTTTTTTTTTAATGAATTTTTTTAAAAAATTTTATTTATTTATTTTGCTTTTTGGGTCACACCCGGCGATGCTCAGGGGTTACTCCTGGCTCTGCACTCAGGAATTACCCCTGGCGGTGCTCAGGGGACCATATGGGATGCTGGGAATTGAACCCGGGTCGGTCACGTGCAAGGCAGACGCCTTACCCGCTGTGCTATTGCTCCAGCCCCAAAAGTTGTCAGTTTTAAATATCTGAGAAGGTGGGGGGACTCAGTAGGAGGACCCCCTCCCAGCGCGCCCCCCCCCTTGCTGCGTGAGGTCCTGACTTCCGGCCCCAGTCCCTGCAAAAAGAAAGGGTGAGGCAGAGAAAGCTCGCAGGTCTGATGAGCATAGGCTCTTTTGGGTTTTGGGGCCACGCTCGGCGGTGCTCAGGGCTGACTGACTCCTGACTCAGGGAGCACTGCTGGCGGTGCTTCTGGAATCCTAGAGGATGCCGAGGCTTGAACCCAGGTGGGCTGTGGGCAAGGCAAGAGCCCTCCCCGCTGTGCTCTCGCCCCCCATTCTGTTTCCTGACTGCCCCCACCCCCGCCCCCCTGCTGTTGTTTTTGTGTGGCTAAGTGAGGGCAGAGGTGCACCCTTGTGATAAACTGGGTCAGACTGAGAATCACCGTGGCGCCACCTGGTGCAGGCGCTGTCTCAGCGCCACCTCTCCTGGCTTTTCTTTATCTTTGCTAATTGGGGATGTTTTGGGGTTGGGGGCTACACCTGGCATTGCTCAGGGGTGACTCCTGGTGCAGTGAATCCCCCCACAAGAGTCCTTCCTGGTGGAGCCCGGGGGCGGGGGGGACTGACCACGTGGTGCCAACTTTCAACCCGTGGGCTCCCACATTCAAAGTCTGAGCGCCAGCCATCGTTCCTGGGGCGGGCTGGTTCAGTGCCAAGGATCCAACCCAGGTGGGCTGGCACCTTCCCTGCCCTACTATCTCCACGGACCCCAGGAAGTGTGTCTTCTGGGCTGGAGTGATAAGTACAGCGGGCAGCGGGTTTGCCTCGCAAGCAACCGACCTGGGTTCTATTCCCGGTGCCTCACATGGTCCTCCGAGAGTAATCCCTGAGCACTGAGCCAGGAGTTGTCCTAAAGCCAAAAGAAACCCCAGCAGACAGACAGACAGGTGTGTCTCTGATAAATGGCTGTGGCCCGGTGAGGTCATGACACCGCACTCCTGCTCCCAGCCCGGAGGATGGTGGGGGTGGTGGAGAAGGTTGCCTGGTGACCCCTAGCCTCCTCCCTGCCTGGAAGGCGGGGGAGGGGGTTCTGTGATCACTGCTCCCCCTCCCCCCAGGGCCCCATGCTGCCCAGCCGTGGGGACAAGGCGTGGGCTGGTGGGGGATTCTGAGCCCCGTGTCCCCCTGTCTTCTGCAGCCCTGCTTCCTCAAGGATTGGGAGATGCACGTGCACTTCAAGGTCCACGGCACAGGCAAAAAGAACCTGCATGGGGATGGCATCGCCCTTTGGTACACACGTGACCGCCTGGTGCCAGGTAGGAGGTGTGTGTGTGTGGCAGGGACACACACACACACACACACACACACACACACACACACCTGTGACCAGCTGGTGCTGGGTGGGTGGATGGGTGTTGCCAGGGATGCTCCTGTCTGCTGCTTCTGTCATCTCCCCCCACTTTTTTTTTTAAAGTCTTGGGGCTGGAGCCATAGCACAGCACACGGCTGACCTGGGTTCAATTCCCAGCATCCCATTGGAACCCCTGAGCATCGCCGGGTGTGACCCAAAAACCAAAAAAAAACCAAAAACAAAGTTTTGGGGCCACTTCCTTCAGTGCTCAGGGCTAATTTCTGGCTTTGTGCTCAGGGATCATTCCTGGCAGGGCTTGGGGGACCGTGCGGAGTACTGGGGATTGAACCCAGGTCTGCCTGAAAGGCAAGTACCCTCCCCACTGTGCTGTAGCTCTACCTCAGTAAAAAATAATTAAACCAGTGCAAAACCAGTGGCCCGAGTGATAGCACAGTGGGGCGGGTGTTTGCCTTGCACGCAGCTGACCTGAATTCGATCCCCAGCATCCCATAGGGTCCCTCAAACACTGCCAGAGTGATCCTGAGTGCAGAGCCAGGAGTAACTTGTGAGCATTGCCAGGTGTGACCTCAAAAAGAGCGAAAAGGAAAAAAAAAAGGCAAAACCAGTTTGGGGGAGGTGCCTCAGGTGTGGCCTGGTACCCCACCTGCCCGAGAAGCTTCACCTCATGGGACCTAAGCATTGAATTGTCTGACCTGATTGTTTAAAAAAGGCACAATTGGGGCCGGAGCAATAGCACAGTGGTGAGGGCATTTGCCTTGCACAAGGCCAACCCGGGTTCGATCCCCGGCATCCCATAGGGTCCCCCAAGCACTGCCAGGAGTGATCCCTGAGTGCAAAGCCAGGAGTAACCCCTAAACATCGCTGGTATGACCCAAAAACCAAAAAATCTATAAGAAAATTAAAAAAAAAATGCACAGTTGGCACTGCACTTATGCTGCCCAAGCCCATGTGCTGCTCGTGCCCACGTGGCCGAGCACATGTGGTGCCCGCATCTCCCTCTGGGGATGGGGACGTTCCTGCTTCCATAGCTGACACTGGGGTCTGTGGAGGGGTCTCTCTGCCCTCTGGGGAGCCCGCGCTCTCTCTTGAGCATATTACTGCCTCTCACTTCTCCTTCCTCCTCACCTTCAAACACCTTCACATAAAATCTGTTTTACTTAAACAAGTGGCACAGTTAAGAAATGAATAAGCACAGTGGAGGAAGATGTGCTCCCCAGGCCCCAGTAGAGGCTCAAAGGTCAGTAAGTTTCACCTCTAGCCAGGAAGGCAGCTGGGGGGAGAATGCACACAGCAAGCGCAAGACCCCCGGGCTTGACCCCCAATATGTGTTCCCCCCTCCCTTTCTGTCCTTCTGAAGCAGGCTTGCCCTGGGTACACATTTGGGTCAGCGTTGATAGCGGGTTTTCATAGTGTGTGTGTGTGGGAGGGCAGAAGGGCCAGTCACCCACTCACTCCATTTGGGAGGTCTCCCTGCTGCTGGCAGGGCCCCCTCTAACCCCTCACAGCACCCTCATCGCCCTCATGACGAAACCCCCTCCCCCTTACCCCGTGATGTCCTGCCCCAGGGCCCGTGTTTGGGAGCAAAGACAACTTCCACGGCCTGGCCATCTTCCTGGACACATACCCCAATGATGAGACCACCGAGGTACGCTCCTGACCCCAGGCACGGAGGAGGTGGGGGGGGGGGACTGGAGGGGGGCGCCCCGTGCCTGTTCCCGCCGACTCACGGTGTCTCGCTCGCCCCAGCGCGTGTTCCCCTACATTTCGGGCATGGTGAACAACGGCTCGCTGTCCTACGAGCACAGCCGGGATGGCCGCGCCACCGAGCTGGCTGGCTGCACAGCAGACTTCCGCAACCGCGAGCATGACACCTTCTTGGCCGTGCGCTACTCGCGGGGTCGCCTGACGGTGAGTTGGCGCGCAGAGAGGGAACACCCCGGGGCAGGGATGCTTGGTGGGACCCGCTGGGCTAGGCTGGGCTGCGCTGGGCAGGGTGGGGGGGGGCGTGGCCCGGGATAGACCACAGGTGGGCGGGGCCTAGTGTGGTTTGTGGGCGGGGCCTGGGCGAGGTGGGTAGAGCCTGGTGTGTAGGAGTGGGGTGGGATAACGCAATGGATAGAGGGTGTTCTGGGGGGCGTGGCCAGTTCCGCTCCTAGTGTCTGATGCGCTGCCCTGGGCCCAGGTGATGACTGACCTGGAGGACAAGAACCAGTGGAAGAACTGCTTCGACGTCACTGGGGTGCGCCTGCCCACCGGCTATTATTTCGGAGCCTCTGCTGGCACCGGAGACCTGTCGGGTCAGTGGGGAGCTGGGTGCTGAGCTAGGACACGGGGCGCCCTCCCCCTCCCTGTTCCTTGCTTCCAGCTGGCCTTTCCTGCCTCTCCATCCCCAGTTCTAGGGGTCCCAGGGCCCGCAAAGACAGGCGCCTCCCCAGTGGGCTCAGACACACCCCTTTGTACTGGCTTCTTTTATTTCCGGTGTCCGCTGCCCACTGAGGGTGATTAGACCCTGTGTAAGCCTTCGGGTGACCCGGCCCCTGTCCAGAAATTCCTTCCTGACCACGGGGCACTGGGGCCCCCTGGCTGGGAGTTTTAAGCTTTTTTGTTGTTGTTTGGGGGGCCACTACTGGCAGTTCCCAAGGCTGACTCCTGGCTCCAGGCTCAGGGGTCACTCCTGAAGGGGCTCGGAGTACCCTATGGGATGCTGGGGATTAAATCCGGGTTGGCTGCATACAAGGAAAGCACCCTCCCCACTGCACTATTGTCCTGGCCCATCAGGCCTCAGTTTCTTCGTCCACTTAAGTGGATCTATCCATAATGATTTTAGAAGCTTTAGGGCTTGTGATTCCTCCTCCCCTCTCGGAGAGCCTGGCAAGCTACCGAGAGTATCTCGCCCGCATGGCAGAGCCCAGCAAGCTCCCCGTGACATATTGGATATGCCAGACACAGTAACAACAAGTCTCACAATGGAGACGTTACTGGGCCCGCTTGAGCAAATCGGTGAACAATGGGAGGGCAGTGACAGTGACAGGGCTTGTGACAGGAGCTTAACTCCCTCCTGTTTTACTACTTCCCAAGAACTCACTGCCAGGGACCCCCTGCCCACCTGCCTCATATCCCCCTTGCTTCAGGACCTGTGTGTGTGGGAGGGAAAGCAGCCTGAGAGAGGGTGCAGACCTAGGAGTTTAGCCCAGGGGCTTTGCCTGCCACCCCCTTTCTCTCTTTCCCCTCATCCTCCTTCCTCCCAAGAGCCTGAGCTCAAGACGTTGTTTGGCCTTGGTGAAACAACCTGCGGGATGTATGTGGGGGTACCTGGAGATGGCTGGGGGTGGGGGTTGTCTCCCCTCTGGAGTGGGCCCCTCACAAGCAACCTCTTGGCCCACAGACAATCACGACCTCATCTCGGTGAAGCTGTTCCAACTGATGGTGGAGCACACGCCCGACGAGGACAGCATCGACTGGACTAAGATCGAGCCCAGCGTCAGCTTCCTCAAGTCACCCAAAGGTACATGGCGATGGGGGCCACGCCCGGAGACATCTGGACTGCAGCCTGGCCCAGGAGGAGATGTCCTGGGCTGTCTGAAGAGCGCCCCGGGATTCCCCAGGAGCCTAGCCGCTCAGCTCAGGTGGCGCAGAGAGCACAGCTAAAAGGCACTGGCCTTGTACGCAGTTGACCCGGGTTCGATCCCTAAGCACAGAGCCAGGAGTCAGCCCTGAGCACTGCTGGGTGAGGGCCAACAGAACCAAGTGCCAGGTTCTGTTTGGACACAGGAAGCCCTGCCTAGAATCCCAGTGTTGTGCTTCTGGGTCCACTAAGCAGTGGACACAAGTGGGACAGCTGGGGGACCCTATGGCATCTGTTAGGTGGGCCAGTGCAAGCCAGAGGGAGCCTTTGTTGTGATGGGCTTCAGTGAAGACCCCGATTGCTTTTTTAAACATTTGGCGGTGTCCATGCAGAAGTTCCCTAGAGAGGTCCCCAAACGTACTGGGCCTACCACCCCCTCTTCAGCAAGATGATCAGATGCTCCCCCCTCAAAAATTGACCATCTCTAAAGCATAGAAGTGCCCCTCGGTGGCTTCTGAGGGTGTCTGAGTGGATCCAGGCCAGGCCTCCTGTTGCCCACTTCCAGGAAGGGTTTGCTAGCTGCCTCACAGCCCAGCTGGCCGGCAAGGAAGGGACTAACTGGTTTACAGGCTCATTGACGCATTTGTACCCGTAGTTGGAAGTTCTGGAGCTTCCACACTGCCCTGCAATGGGCTGGCCCCTGCTTGGAAGCTCTCAAGAGTGACTGAGGCAGAGAAACCCAAGCGGAAGCCCCGTTCTCCCCCAGGGGTTGCCCATCCGCTGGGCTGTGTGGGGCGGGCTTCTGCTGGGGTGGGCGGGGCCTCTGAGGGCGGGGCTGAGTGCTCATTGGTGGATCTCTGCTGGGGGCTGGGCCTCCTGCTCTCGGGCAGAGCTGGGAGAGGCTGTTAGGTGGCTGGCCACTGGCTGTCTCAGTAAAGAGTTGAGAAGGAAGGTCAAGTTGAGAAGCAAGTTCGGGGGCAGAGGCCAGCCTGGCAGACGGCTTGCGGGGCTGGGGTTGGGGCCGGGGTCCAGTGGCTCCCCAGACTAGACTGGGAGCTGCAGAGGTTGCCCTCCCGGGCGCCTCCAGCAGGGGTGGGGACTCCCCAGCCCCCTGGGAGCTGATGCTCCACTGTCAGTAGCGGGCAGAGGGGCAGGTGTGGGGTCCGAGAACCCCCAGGAGCCCCGCAGCAGCAGGTAGGTGTGCGCTGGTTAGGACCAGGGGCAGGGCCGGGCCTGCAGACCCCCGCCGCGGGCCCAGTGGCTCTGGGGGCAGGGATGCAGCCTGAGAACCTCGGCCAAAAGACACCCCCCCCACCCCTCCCCGCGCCGCTGGGGTCGGAGGGGGGGGGGGGGCCCAGCCGAGCCGGGTGCCCCACCGTGCTCTCTTCTCCCGCAGACAACGTGGATGACCCGACGGGGAACTTCCGCAGCGGGCCCCTGACCGGGTGGCGGGTCTTCCTGCTGCTGCTGTGCGCGCTGCTGGGCATCATCGTGTGCGCCGTGGTGGGCGCCGTGGTCTTCCAGAAGCGGCAGGAGCGGAATAAGCGTTTCTACTGAGCCCTCCCCGCGCATGTGTAATGCGCATGCGCCCACCTGCCGGAAGTCGGGGTTGTTTCCGTTTTGATTTTCAAACCTGGGATTGTAAACGACCCCCGAGCAGCCCGCCCGCCCGCCCTTTCGTAACCCGTTTCAAAGAAATCATTAAAGTATTTTCTTACACTTGGCTTCTTGCCCGCCAGGGGCTGCAGGGCGGAGACGGAGGGGTGCAGGGGGAAGTCAGGAGCGGCGGCGGCAGCCCCGCGACGGCGAGGCGAGGCGCTGGGCAGTGCAGGCGCCCAGGAACTATGGGAGTCGGTGGCCGGAGCTGTCCGAGGCCCCCGTAGGCACTGGCAACACTGGAGACCCCCCCCCCCACTCTTCCGAGGATGCTGCAGAGCGTGGGGTGCTACAGGGGAGAGCCAGGCCGCCCCCCCTCCCCGCTCCCCCTCCGACCTCCCTTCCCCGAACCAGACCCCCTCGCAGGAGTGCAGCGGGATCCGCGTAGTGGCGTGTGCGTGTCTGCCCAATAAAGAACTACCAAACTCCAGCGCCTGTGCTCGGCCCAAGATGCCTCGCTTTTTGTCTTTCCTTCCAGCCAGCCCCCAGGGCAAACCAGATCTGCCACTCGGGGTGGGCATCGGGCAGGCTGTGGGGAGTGGCCAAGGGCGGTCTCCGCTCACAGAGCGGTGGTGGGGGCGGTGGGCTGTGTGGGCAGAATGACCTGTTTTATGTGTTTTTTTGTTGTGGTTTTTGTTTGGGCCATTGGTGCTCAGGACTGATGCCTGGCTCTGTGCTCAGGGGTCACTCCTGGTGATGCTCAGGGACCATATGGCCGCATCAGGTGCTTGGGATTGAACCCAGATCAGCTGCACGCAATGCAAGCACCTGACCCACTCTTTATCTCTTGGGATTCTTGTTCTCTTTCTATGTTTTGTTTCTTTTTTGGGCCACACCCAGCAGTTACTCCTGTTGGTGCTGGGGGAACCCTATGGGATGCTGGGGATTGGACCCAGGTCGGCTGTGTGCAAGGCAAGGGCCCTACCCACTGTACTATCTCTCTGGCCCCTGCTTTTTTTTTTTCTCTTATGGTTTTTGGGCCACAGCTGGCAGCGTTCAGGGCTTACTACTATCTGCGTGCACAGGGATCACTCCTGGAAAGGGCTCAGGGACCCTTTGGGGTGTTGCAGATTAAGTTCGGGTGCAAGGACCTTAACCTCCTGTTCTCTCTCCCTTCCCATCCTTCATTCCATGTAAAGCCCCCTGCTCTGTGGCCTCCTCCTTTCTCGCGTACCTCCGGATCCTCACAGCCCTGTGTCTGCCTCTGCCTTCTCTGCCCTCCTGGGTTGCACCCCCTTTTCGGTTGCCCCCATCCCGGATCCCCGCCCTTCACTCCCATGGCAGGCTGGAATCCACACTCAGCGTGGGCTTGGGCTGTGGACTTTTTCCTGAGAAACGCGAGGCGTTCCCAACTGGAAGAGAACTCGTATCCAGCGTCTGCCTCGCCTGGCACGTGTACCCAAGCAGCTCCCACATACGCAGACCTCTTGGGCATGCTGCAAAAGACATACCTCAGGAGAGGGGGGGGCTGGAGGGCGTTTGCCTTGCATGAGACCGACTTGGGTTCGATTCCCGGCATCCCATAGGGTTCCCCGAGCACTGCCTGGAGTAATTCCTGAGTGCCGAGCCAGGAGTAACCCCTGAGCATCCACTGGGTGTGACCCAAAAAGCAAAAAAAAAAAAAGGGGGGGCGCGGACTAAGCACCAGCCTTCCAAGCTGGAGTTCATGAGTGATCCCCAAGGCCACCCACTCAGGATCCTGGCAGTAAAAGCAGTTTTGAGGTGCAGCATCTTGGCCCTGTGGTGCAGAAGGGGCTTGATGACATCTAAGGGGGCAAGCGCCACCTAGAGTCTGGGTGTGTGAACATCAGGACCTCACGTTTGATCCCCAGCGGGACCCACAGCCGAGCGCAGGCCCAACCCCATCCTCACCTCAACGGACGGTAGGGAGAGCTCAGGAAAGCTGAGCTTTTGTTTTTTAATTGAATTTTTTGGTTTGGGACCACACTTGGTAGTGCTCAAGGCTTACTCCTGACTTGGCAACTGGGGTCACTCCTGGTGGGGCTTGGCAGTGCTGGCATCAAACCTGGGACTCCTGGGGATGGAATAGTAGTACAGAGGTAGGGTGTTTGCCTTGCATGCCGCCCACCCAGTTTCGATCCCCAGCATATCAGAGTTCCCAAGCTCTTCCACCCAGGGGGTGATCCCTGAGCACAGAGCCAGGAGTAAGCCTTCAGCAGAGCTGGGCGTGACTCCAAAACAAAAGTTTTTGTCATGCCTGGTAATGCTCAGGTCTGACTCCTGGCTCTGCACTCAGGAATTACTCCTGACAGTGCTCAGGGGACCCCATGGGATGCCAGGAATTGAACCTGGGTTGGTGTAAGACAGACACCCCCCCACTGGACTATCGTTCTGACCCAACAAAAGTCTTTTTTTTTTTCTTTTTGGGTCACCTGGCGATGCACAGGGGTTACTCCTGGCTCTGCACTCAGGAGTTACTCCTGGCGGTGCTCTGGGGACCATATGGGATGCTGAGAATCGAACTCGGGTCAGCCGCGTGCAAGGCAAACGCCCTACTCGCTGTGCTATCTCTCCAGCCCGCAACAAAAGTCTTTTAAGGGGCTACCCCTGTGGTGCTCAGGGGACCCTATGCAATGCTAGAGATCCTCGAAAATGTGTCTCCGGCTCCTGCTCTCCTAAGAGTTATATGAGTCCTAGTTTGGGAGAGGATTTGCCTTCTAAGGTGAGGCTCTGTGTTCCTCAGTTACCTACCCCCAACCCAATCTATAAATACACATCACCCCCAAAAAACAAGATTCAGAAGGTAGAGAAAGGGGTCTGCAGAGATAGTTGAGCAGGCAAGGCCCTGTAAGCAGCCAATCTGGGTTCAAATCCCCAACACTAGTGCCCCTTGAGTCCCGCCTGGAGTGACCCCTGAACACAGAGCCAGGAGGAAGCCCTGAGCATCGCCAGGTGTGGTCCCTCAAAAATTAAAAAAAAATAGGGGCTGGAGCAATAGCACAGCGGGTAGGGTGTTTGCTTTGCATGACTCCCGGGTTTGATTCCCAGCATCCCATAGGGTCCCCTGTGCACCACCAGGGGTAATTCCAGAGTGCAGAGCCAGGAGTAACCCCTGAGCACCGCTGGGTGTGACCCAAAAAGCGAAAAACAAAACAAAAAAAAATAGAAAAGGGAAAGGATGTGGTTTATCTCTCTATATCCCGGGCAGGAGATCCTTTCTAGAAATGACTCAGTGACCCCTCTGCTGAGGACAGACACCCACAGCCAGTCATGCCTTATCCTTCCTGGGGTTTGGGTTTGGGGTCTCCACCAGCAGTATTGACTCTTGGCTCTGTACTCAGAGATCACTCCTGGCAGTATCCTATTGGATGATAGGGACCAAATTCGACTTGGTCAAAGTCGAATGCACTAGTCAAAGGCACTACTACTTGGACATCCCCCCGCCCCCGTTTTCTTTGTTTTTTTAAATTTTATTCCACACCTGCAGTGCTCAGGGCTTACTCCTGGTTTGGCAGTCAGCAATTAGTCCTGATGGTCCACGGGGGATGGTATATGGGGTGTGGGGCATCGAACCCGGGTTGGCGTCTTGCAAGGCTAGCGCTTTCCCTGCTGTGCTATCCCAGCCCCTCCACTTCATTTAGTTTCCCACGAACCTTGCTCTAGGCTGGGAACCTTAGCCGCACCCCACAGAAATCAGCTGGGTTAGGGGGCAGTGCCGCCTCTCCATGTTGTGACTGCGGTTCAGTGAAGATGCTTTTAGCCACACAGTATGGGGGCCCAGATGACACTGCCCAGGTGTGGTAGAAACGCGCTGACTTGGAAATGACCATCAGGAGGTACAAGTGGTATGGCCGGAGCAAGAGTCCAGCGGGCAGTGTCCTCACCTGTACACACAGCCCACCAGGGTAGGATCCCCAGAGGCCGTATGTCCCCTGAGCCCACCAGGAGTGATTCCAGAGTGCAGAGCCAGAACTAACCCTGAACATCGCCGGGTATGGCCCAAAAAGCCAAGAAAAAAAAAGCATCCCAAAGTTTGGGAGACTGCCTTGGGGGCTGGAGAGATAGTACAGCGGGTTGGATATTTGTCTTGCACTCTGCTGACCAGGGTTCGACCCCCGGCATCCCATAGGGTCCCCTGAGCACCATCTGGAGTGATTCCTGAGTACAGAGCAAGGAGTAACCCTTGAGTATCAACTGGTGTGGCCCCCCGCCCAAAGAAAGTGCTTGTCTTGCACGTGACTGACCGACGCCTTTCGAGTCCCCAGCAACGCCAAGGCACTGTGCCAGGAATAGCTGTATCGGAGGGTGTGGCCCCAACACCAAAACAGCTCCACTCCCAAATTTGTACCTGCGATCTGGACGCCTGACAGTCACGTGCCCGTCTTTCTCAGCGGGGACTTGTCGTTTCGTTTCCGGAGAAAGCCCAGTCCCGGGCTCCACCGCAAACAAACAGCTGCTTTCAACTTCCTGTCTGCAGCTTAAGTCGCTGTCCTTCGCTGTCCCCACACCTGCTAGGGCGACCCTAGTAAGTCCGCGCAGCTGCTCGCACCCCCGCGCTGTTCCCCCTGGGAAAGTGGGATGAAAGGGGCTCCCGGGCAGGCTCCGAGCAGCGCGGGCGCTTGTGGGACCGAGTGGCCGCCGGCTCCGGCCCTTCCCGCCCCGAAGACGCTCAGACCTCGCACGGCCACAGGAAACGAGCCCGTGTCCCATCAGCTCCGGGAAGGAGGCCGATCTAGGAAGCCGCTGCCCGGGAAGGGCCCGGCTGCGAAACGGGGATGTCATGGTAGCAACACCGACGGCGAGGAGGAGGAGCCTGAGGGCAATTCCCAGGTGACACTTTTGGAAACTGAGACCGGGGTTGCTTTAGAGAGCTCCAGACAAGTTAGACGCGGAGGATCGGACCCGCAGCGCTGCCCAGAGCATCGACGACCCCCTCCCCGGGCGCCTGCGCGCCGCGGGCCCGGGACCCCGCCAGTCCCGCCCTCAGAACCGGGGTTTTCAAATTTGAAACCTGCCGCGTTTCCCGCCCGGACGGGCGGGCGGGGGCGGGGCCGCGCGCAGCCAATAGGCGCCCCGGAGGTGGTCTCGGCTCCGCCCCGGTGGTGACGCCACGCGCGGCCGCCGGGGAGCGGCCAATCAGCGGCGGCGCCCGCGCATCCCGCCCCCGCGGCGCCCACGTGCAGCTTCCCCGGCCCCCCGGCCAGCGGCCGTCACTGCGCGGGCCCGGGAACGGCGGCTGCTGCACCCCCGAGTAACGGGCGCCCGGGCGGGAGCAGAGCAGGAGAGACGTGGCGCCCCGCAGCCCCAGGACTTCGTCCGCAGGCGGGGTCCGGGGCCGGCGGCAGGTCCTCCCCGCAGGGCCGAGGGGGGCGCTGCGGCTGCCCAGCAGCGCGTCGCCGAGGGGCGCGGCCAGGAGCTGGACCGTCCCCCGGACGCCCCGCCTCGGGGGCGGGCCGGCGCCTGTGTTTGTTTGCTCCGTGTCAGTTACATTGTAACAAAAGTGGGGCCGCCTCAGCTCCGGCCCGCAGCACCCCACGCCCGCCCGCTGCCAGCTGTCGCCGAAATGGAACCGGTGGCCAGCAACATCCAAGTCCTCCTGCAGGCGGCCGAGTTCCTGGAGCGCCGCGAGCGAGGTGAGGCTGAGCCCTCGGCCGGACCCCCCGGGACCCCGGCCTGGGCGGGACTGCACCCCCCCACCCCCCCAACACCGGGATGGATGCAGGGCTTTGGGGCGTTCGCCCGGGCTCTCAGCTCCCGATGGCTCCGCCGGAGGCTGGGCTAGCGGGGGATGGACGGCCAGAGGCGTCCATCTATCTGACCCTGCCGTGCTAGGGGCACCCCCTGGCACCAGCCCCAGATTGACGCGGCTCCCCGGGCGGGGGGGACTGTCCCTGGCAGAGGCCGAGCATGGCTACGCGTCCCTGTTCCCGCATCGCAGCCCCGGCGCGCTCCACCAGCGGAGGAAACGACCCCCGCAAGCTGCGGCCGCGCAGGACAGTGGGCGGTAAGGAGCGGGGCAGGGTCCCCGGGCGGTAGGGGGAGGCGGGGCGCCCCTCCCAGTGACTTGGTTACCTTCCTTCGTCTCCCAACACCAGCCCACCTCATCCAACCCACCTTCTTCAATGCAGGCAGCGGCACAAGACTGAGGCTTGTGCGCACTTGGATGTCGCCAGGCCCCTGCTCGGTCATTTCCCCGCCAACCTCCCCTCCCCCCGCCCCGACTTTCCGCTCACTGGCCTCTGCTTTTTGCACATGCTGTTCCCCCAGTTTGCGTGCCCTTCCCGCCATCTCCAGCTGGGGGAGTGAAGGGGAAGGGACCTTGGGTGCGCGCTCTACCTCACCTCAGCTGTTTCTTCTGCCCGGGATGGGTGACAGTTTGCCCCGATGTTGCCCCCAGGGCCAGACTTTTGGCTCCGTTTGGGGGTGGGGAAGGACTTTGCGATTGAGGGGCAGGGACACGACCCTCATTTGCATCCTCCCTGGCCTTGGCAGGTCGGTGCACAACGAGCTGGAGAAACGCAGGTGAGTCCTTCCTCCGGCCACCACCCCGCACGGTGCCCCAGGCCCCTGCCTGCCCGCTGCCCCCTCTGAGGCGAGGCTAGTGCCCTCCAGAAACCACACCGCTCTCCCCCACGCCCCCGCAGGCGCGCCCAGCTGAAGCGGTGCCTTGAGCATCTCAGGCAGCAAATGCCCCTGGGGACCGACTGCGCGCGATCCACCACGCTGAGCCTTCTGCGCCGGGCCCGGGCGCACATCCAGGTGAGGGCCGTCCCCGGGGTACCCCGCTTGGTGGGGCCGCGGGGTGCCTGTGCTTCCAGAGTGGTTCATGGACTGGGGTCGGGGGCTAGAGGGGAGGGGGGGGAATTGCCGGAATAATCTCAGGAGCTGGGCCGCAGATGGCTTCAGTGCATTCCTAGCGTGCATGAGACGCTGAGTTCGGCCCCCCGTTCAATTTCATCCCCGGTCACTGAACTGGCAGGTCTGTGTGTATTTTTGTTTTTGTTTTTTCCTTTTTTGGGGTTATTGTTTTAGAGCCACACCAGCAGTGCTCAGGGCTTACTCCTTACTCAGCGCTCGGGAATCACTCCTGGTGGGTTCGAGGGACCATATGAGATGCTGGGTATGGAACCCAGCTTGGCCGCGTGCAAGACAAGTGCCCACCTCGCTGTCCTATTGCTCTGACCCCTCTGCTGCCCGAGGGCCCAGGAGGTGGCAATTCCCGGGAAGGCGCTTGGCGCCCCCTGGTGGATAGGTCTGCGCGGTGCAAAGCCCTGGAGCCGGGTCTAGTTCCTGTTCCCTTGGCGGAGGGGGAGAGACTGAGGGCTGGGCAGTTGGGGGACCAGCACCGGCCCCACTCCTCCCCCCACTCCGGGCTTGCTTCTTGCTCGTTACTGTGGACCTGGTCAGGCCTGCACTGGGCAGCGGGACAGTTCCCATAGGTTGCATTTTCAGCTGCCCAGCCGATAAGCCGGTGTGAGAACCCCCCAGGTAGGATGTTTGCCTTGCAGAGTGGTTTTTTTGGATTTGATTCCCAGCACCCCCATAGGATTCCCCAAGTACCGCCAAGAGTGATCCCTGAGGACCGAACCAGGGGTCAGCCCTGAGCACTGCCGGGCGTGACCCCCACCCCCAAATCAAAGAAACCAGTTGCCCAACAGAGTTCTGGGGTGCTGACTGATCAGTGAGGATGACCTGAGGAGTGATCACCGCCTTTTTATTATTATTATTATTATTATTTTTTGGCCAGAGTTCTCTGCTCTGGCTCTATGCTCAGGAGCGCCCCTAGTGGTGCTCGGGGAACCCTAGATCTACAGTGGGGGTTGGCCCAAGAGGTCACAGGCCAGGCAAGCCTCTAACCTGGGGAGCTCATCTTCCCTTTTTTCGGTCCTGGAATCTTCTGGACAGTCTGGAGATGGTCCTCCCGGGATCCCTCAAGGCTGCGGGGGAGCATGTGCGGGAGGGGGATGAGTAAGCATGATTTTCTATTTATTTATTTATTTATTTATATTTTTTGGCTTTTTGGGTCACACGGGTTTTTCCTGGCTCTGTGCTCAGGAATTAATTACACCTGGCGCTGCCCAGAGGACCGTATGGGATGCTGGGAATGGAATCCGGCTCGGCCGCGTGCATGGCAAACGCCCTACCCGCTGTGCTATCCGCTCCAGCCTCCAATTATGATTTTCTAGAAGCTTCCACCAGGCCATTTGATGCTTAAGATCTGGCCTGCCAGGGCGCATTCCGGGGCTGGGAGGGGGACAGGAAGGGGGGGACGGTGGGTTGAGCTCCCCTGGGAGCTGACCCCCGCTTCCCCCTCCCCTTCGCTCCTGGGTCCCCGCAGAAGCTGGAGGAGCAGGAGCTGCGGGCGCGGCGACTCAAGGAGCAGCTGCGGAGCCGCCAGCAGAGCCTGCGGCGGCAGCTGGAGCAGCTGCGGGGGCCGGCAGGAGCCGAGCGGCTGCGGGCCGACAGCCTGGACTCGTCGGGGCGCTCCGACTCGGACCCAGGTGGGGGGGGGGACCGGGGGAGGCAGGGGAGGCGTTGGCGTTGGCGTTGGCGGGGCAACCCGCTGACCCAACGCCCTTCCCCACCCCGCAGAGGAGCTGGAGGTGGATGTGGAGACGCTGGTGTTTGGACCCCCCGACGAGCTGCTGCGGGCGCGCGCTGCAGGCCAGGAGCACAGTTACTCGCACCGCGGGGCCGCCTGGCCGTGACACCCCGCCCGGGACACCCCTCCGGGTAGAATGGACTGAACGGATTCTTGAATGGGAAGACACTCCCCCAGGGTGGGGGTGCGCACATGCGCGCGTGTGTGTTTCAGGGCCCCCTGAAATTCCTCAGGTCCGGCCAGCCACCTTGGGGTGGTTTGTTTGTAGCACTTGGGTCTGTGACCCACCAGGGCCTGGAAGCCCGCAGCCGTGCCCCCTGCCCTTCCTTGGGGGGGCCGAGCCCCCTGGCCCCGCCCCCACATCATATTTGTACAGTATTTTCATTAAAAGCCTCTTTTCTAAGTTCCTGTCCAGATCCAGGGAGTGCCCTGGTGAAGTGGGGCCATGGGGGAGGTGCTGGCCTCGGTCATCCCCCAACACAGCCCTGAGCACTGCTGGGGGTGGCCCCATCCCGAGGCCGGGCAGAGGCCTGGAGGTGGGTGAGGGCTCAGGGGGTGTCACCCCCCTGAGACCCAAAGCCAGAAGCTGGAGCTTCTGGGCTCGGCGCGAGGGAGTAAGCGGGGCCGCTTGAATTCAACAGATATTTATTGAGTGCCTGTCACGTGCCAGGGATGGGGACACAGTCTAGCTGCCTCCAAGAGATGGGAGATGGGGGGATCAGCGTGGGGCAGGGGGACCCCCCCTCCAGCCCAGCCGCAGACAGGAGATAGGGCTGAAGTTGACTTTTAATGAGCAAGTACAGGGGGGAGGGGTCCGCGGCTACACCAGCTGTTTGGTGGCGGCCTTGCTGGCCAGGCCCTTGGCCTTCTCGGTGGCTGCCAGCGCCGTCTCCTTCGCCTTCTCCTTGGCCTCCTTGGCCGTCTCCACCAGGGTCTTGGAGGGCGCCTCACCTGCGGCCAGACAGGGGTGTCCACGGGGAAAGGTGAGGGAGGGCGCTGCCCCGCGCTGTCCTCGGCCCGCGGTCGTGTCATCCTGGCTCTCACCTTGCAACTTGGCCAAGATGTACTCGAAGCCCTTCATCGTCTTGGTCACGTTACTTTTGAAGCGGGCAAGACCAAATTCCTGGGGAGAGGTAAGAAGGTGGAGCATGTGGAGCCGCCCAAGGACCCCCCCAAAAAAACCCCTCTCCCGGGAACGTGTCCAGAGACAAGGACTCACCTGGACAGCTCTGGAGACGCCGAAGAGGCTGGAGGACACCCAGGCCTCGCGGCGGATTTCGGTCCAGCCGCTATTATCAGGGTTCACGCAGTAAACACACCGCTCCTCCACAACCTGAAGGAGCCACGCAAGGGGGTGTCACAGCCTCACCTCCACAACCAGACACCACCCTGGGCCCTCACCAGGAGCGCAGGGATTGGGGGGTGGCCAGGCTTCTGGCTCTGCGGGTCCGGGGGCATCAGCCCCACCCTCTCCTCACAACCTGCTCAGCCTTGGTCTGTCCAGAGCTCCCCACCAGGTCACAGCAAAAGGGAAACCCCGAGGGGCTGGACAGACGGGAAGGCGGGGAGGGCGCTTGCTTTGCGCATGGAGGCTCCTGCATGTATGACCCGGCATCCCATATGCTCCCCCCAAGCGCAACCAAGAGTACTTCCCGAGTGCCCAGCCAGGAGAAACTGCCGAGCACTTCTGGAGTGTGACCCAAAATTTAAAAAAAAAGGGCGTGGAACCCAAGGGCTGGAGCAATAGTACAGTGGAGAGGGCGCTTGCCTCTCACGCACCCAACCCGGGTTCAATCCCCGGCATCCAACAGGGTCCCCAGAGGCCCGCCAGCCGTGATTCCCAGGTGCAGCGCATGGAGGACCGCAAGGTGGAGCCCCCACAACCAACCCCCCCCCCAAAGAAAAAAAAAACCAGGGAAACTCGGTGATGGGCTGAGGTCTTGGGCAGCATCTCCAAGACACACTGGATTAGGAGAATCCAGAAAATCAGTGCAGGCTCCCTTCTGTGACTGGGGTGGGGGGGGCATGTACCCGTGTCTGCAGAAACTGTCCCCAGTATCTATTACCCCTTCCCCACCCTATGCTGGGAAGAACTGAGACATCAGAGAGCAGTTCCCGGAAAGCAGTCGGACAGTCACATTTAAGAAAACTGGCCTAGGACCGACCCTCCACGCCAGGTTCTCAAAACCATGGGGTCAAAGGGAAATTCTAAAAAACGCTTATTTCCCCAAAATCTCTGCTGGAAACCCATTACAAAAGTGAACTTCCGGGGCGGGGTGGGGGCTGCAGGCCCTGTGCAAACCACGCCCCTCGCTCTTTGTACATTACTGGGAGGGGAACCTATTTTTTTTTTTTTGCATCACACCCGGCAATGCACTGGGGTTACTCCTGGCTTATGCACTTAAGAACTACTCCTGGCAGTGCTCAGGGGACCCTATGGGACGCTGGGAATCGAACCCGGGTTTGCCGCATACAAGGCAAATGCCCTACCTTTTTTTTTGGGGGGGGGGTAGTTTCGGGGAGTGACAAAAGGGGAAGGAGTCCCACCATCAGCCGGGCATGGTTGATGTTCCAGGTGAAGGTGGTCATGGTCTGGTTCTGCGGGTCCACGATGGAATCCTCCAGGATGTACACCGAGTGGGCAACGTTGGCGGGGAACAGACGCTCGGCCCAGCGCGGCATCCTATTGGTCTTAGTCAGGAGTCTCCGGGAGAGAAGCTTCTGGTCCGGGGTCACCTCCCGGTGCACGATATCCTCCGTTAGGACATGTTTGCTGCAGCGGGTGGGGAGAGCAGGGAGGGTCCTGGGGAGTTCGGCCCTGGCAGTGCCTTGGTCTGGGCGGGCAAGGGCCAGGCCTTCTGCCCCATCTTTTTTTTTTTTCTTTTTGGGTTACACCCGGCAATGCACAGGGTTACTCCTGGCTCTGCACTCAGGAATTGCTCCTGGCAGTGCTCAGAGGACCATATGGGATGCTGGGAATCGAACTGCGTTGGCCGCTTGCAAGGCAAACGCCCGACCCGCTGTGCTATCTGCTATCGCTCCAGCCCCTGTCCCATCTTTTTTGTTTGTTTGCTTTTTGGGTCCCACCTGGCGTGGAGGACCTGGCGGTGCTCTGGGGTTATTCCTGGCTCCACTCGGGGGACCCTAATGGGATGCTGGGAACTGAACCCGGGTCGGCCGTGGTGCAAGGCAGACGCCCTACCCGCTGTGCTATATCGCTCCAGCCCCTTCTACCCCAGCTTGCACCGCGCTCCGACACGCGCGGCCCCATCCCGGGGGCAAATTCCAGCTTCCGCCCCCTCGCTGACCCGGATTCCTGGAGTCCACCCGCAAAGCTCCACGCCCCTGCCCCGCGCCTCCGCCTCTTCCTGCTTCTCGGCCCGAGCGGCCGATCCTCGGCCCCGGGGCCCAACGCCCAGCTAGCTGCAGGCCTGGCCACCGCCCGCCGGGTTGCCCCCGCCGCCGCCCCCGGCCTCTCCCCGCACCCCGGGCTGCAAGGCGCGCGGGCGCGGGGCTGCTCGCCGCGGGCTGGCCGCCGACCTGTAGGGGTTCGGGTAGCGCTGCCAGAAGGCGGCGAACACTTGGTCCCAGGAACTCCGGAGCACGCTCTGGCCCAGGAAATATTTCACCATCGTCCCGGCCGGGGCGGGCTCAGCGCCCGCGCAGCATCAGGCGTGCGCAGCCCGGGGTGCGGGGCCCGCGGAGGCCGGCTCGGGGCTCGGCACAGCGCCGCCAGTCTCGCAGCTCAATCAGCACCGAGCCGCGCCCCACCCGCCGCCGCCGCCGCCGCCGCCGCCGCCGCCATGAGGACTCGCCCGGCCGCGCGCCACTTCCGGCGCAGGGCCCCGCACTTCCGGCGCGCGGCCACGTGACCCACAGCCCCCGCCCCCTGCCCCTTCACCCCCACTCCTCGAGCGGCGGCGGCGGCTGCGCTGCGGCCCGGAGCGGCGCCCAGGGGTCGCCCCCCCTCAGGTCGGCCGGGGAAAGCCCAGCCGCGGCGACGCTCGGGGCCGACGCGGACGGCCGGCCCGACCCCGGGCGCCCCGGGACAACGATCGCGCGGGGGCCGCCGGCCGAGCTCTCCCAGCGCTGGGCGCGGGTCTCTCGGCCGGAGGTCGGCGCCCGGCGCTGCCCGGGCCAGGGGTCGGCGGTGCGGCGCGAGCCCGGGGGTCTCGGGACCCGGCGGCGGGCGAGGCGGTCGCGGGAGCATGAGCGGGCAGCGCGTGGACGTTAAGGTGGTGATGCTGGGCAAGGAGTACGTGGGCAAGACGAGCCTGGTGGAGCGCTACGTGCACGACCGCTTCCTGGTGGGGCCCTACCAGAACGTGAGTGCGGGGTGCGGGGGGGCGCCCCCGGCTGCCCCAGCTCTCCCCGCGCCTCTTACCGTCGCGCCCCCTCCCCTGCTCCTTGTAGACGATCGGGGCTGCTTTCGTGGCCAAGGTGATGTCCGTCGGCGACCGGACAGTGACTCTGGGCATTTGGGTAAGTAAGTGGTCGCGGGGGCGTCTCGCTCCCGGCTGTCACCGGCAGAACCGTGACCTCCCCGGGAGAGCGACTCCCTGCTGGAGGACCAGCCCGCAGCCGAGAACGGGGGTTTCCGGCGCCCTCGTTTCGGCTCGGGAACTGCAGCCAGAATTGAGCTCCTTGTGCTGTCCAGGACACGGCCGGATCTGAGCGCTACGAGGCCATGAGCCGCATCTACTACCGGGGCGCCAAGGCGGCCATCGTCTGCTACGGTAAGCGGGGGCGGCTCTGGGGCGGGTCCCAGGGGCGGGGGGGAGGGGGGGCATAGATTCTGACTCTGACCTCTGATCTGTTTCTACGCCTCCCCCCCACTCCCCAATTCCTCCTTTTACCCAGACCTGACGGACAGCAGCAGCTTCGAGCGGGCCAAGTTCTGGGTGAAGGAGCTCCGCAGTCTGGAGGAGGTAAAGGGCTGGACCCCGGGGGATTCCTGCAACGGCTTTGCTGGAGGGGGGCTCTGACGCCATCATCCATCATCGGCCTCTACCCCAGAGCTGCCAGATTTACCTGTGCGGCACCAAGCGTGACCTGCTGGAGGAGGACCGCCACCGCCGCCGCGTGGACTTCCATGATGTCCAGGACTACGCAGATAGTAGCTACTGCCCCGCACTCCCCTGGGGCACGGGTGGGCTTGGGAATGCAACCATCCCTTTGGGTCGGCCGTGTCCGGAGGAGCGCGGCCTCACTGTCTCTGCTCTTTGCAGATATCAAAGCGCAGCTCTTCGAAACGTCCAGCAAGACGGGCCAGAGTGTGGGTGAGTGCGGGGTAGTGGGGGAAATACGCGGGATCCCCTGGCGGTGAGGCCCTCACTGACCATCCCCTTTCCTGCCAGACGAGCTGTTCCAGAAAGTGGCTGAGGATTACGTCAGTGTGGCTGCCTTCCAGGTGATGACAGGTGCGTGCTTCCACAGCTTCTGGAAGCTTCCTCCAGACCTCGGGGGCCCCTGCTCTGTTGACGGAAGGGAGCTGAGCTGTCCCCCTTCTCTTTGACAGAGGACAAGGGTGTGGACCTGAATCAGAAGGCTAACCCCTACTTCTACAGCTGTTGTCACCACTGAGTAACCCCCCTGGCTTGAGGATTTCCCCAGAGGGCAGGACCCAGCAGCTGTCTGGGCTTCGGTGGCCCAATCACTGGCAGCAGAGGTGGCGCCGGCCGTGCTGGCCCCATGCTAGGCAGCAGTGGGCTGGCTGAGGGGCACAAGGAGGGCAGCTGTGACCCGTCGGCCCCCAGCGCAAGTGACATTTGTATCTACAGATGATCGAAGTGGCTTCTGATGTGTAAATAAAGTCGAATGCACTGTGACTGCACTCAGCCCCTGCCCTGCTGTGTGCATGGGGGGCCAAGACACCCCCTCCTGGATGAGATGCTGAGATCCTGCTGGAAGAACTGGAAGGGTCCTTTTCAGTTCTGGAGTGGGAAGGGTGGCCCAAGAGGCACCCTGAGGTCAAAGGGCTAGCAGCACCTCCAGCTCATACCGGTTGCTTCAAGTCCCTGAGTCACGCATGTCCTAACCCCACCCCACAGTGCCCCAGGCTCATGGAGAACTCCTGGGTGCCCCCACACCAGGGCTCAGGGAGGGGGAACACAACTCTTCTCTGTGCTGGCCCCTTTTGTAAAGGGGGGGGTTGCTCCCCAGCTGGCTGGAGGGCGGAGCGACCAGTTATCCTGGGCTGTTGGCTCGCCACGGGCTCTGAATGGCGCGGCCCCTTCGGGGAACACGAGTCTCCATGCCAATGGCTTCGCCTCTTTGCTTCCACTTCCTTTTTCTCAAAAACCAATTCTGCAAAATATCCCTCCTTGGTGGGTGACAGAGGCTTCCTTCCCTGTGACAGTGATGGCTTGAGGGCCGCCCTGCCACCCCCCTCCCCCGCCGGCTCCCCCTCCCACTCCATTTCCCACCCTTGAGGAAGAAAACAAAACACAGGGCAGGGCCAGAAGAGTAAAGTTAAACTTTACTTTACAGTAATTTTTCTATATACAAAGAATTACAGTACATATTTATGGGGATTCCTAGCACAGGGCTCCCCCCGCTTTTTTTTCACTAGGAGTTTCACTTACAACTGACAACCTACAGGGCCAGGGGTGGGGGGTGGGGCAAATAAACCAGTGATGGACCTCAGCGGGCCGCCCCCTCCCCAATCTCAAGGCTCGCTCGCTTGGCTGGGTGCTGTGTCAGGACTCAGCCTGCTCCCCGGCCGCGCGCTGCACTCATTCGTCCGCACGCACCTCACGCACACAGGCAGCTCCCAGGAACCTGGCATCTGCCCCTCCCTGGGAAGCTGAAAGCACCCTGACCCTTCTCCCTCCTGTGGCTGTCATTTGGGGCTCACTCCTGCCCACTAGCGCTAGAACTGACCACCGGGGAGGGGGTCACCTGCTACCCCCCTCGCGCCCCCCCCACCTCACCCCCACCCCCCCCGGAGTCTCTACACGTCCCACAAGAGCGGCGCTCGGCAGGGCACACCCATGCCTACATGTCACTGTGCGGAGCTGGGCTGAGGCTGCCCGGGCGCGCTCCTCCCAGCCTGTAGGCTGAAACACTTCCCCCCTGTAGTAAGAAATCATCCCTCCACCTTCGGAAGCCAGAGGTGCTCCCAGGAGAGACGGGGAGACGACTCTGCACCCCCGCCTGCATCTATGCCCTGGACCCCTCCGCCAGCCCGTTTTGGGAGTGGGGGTTGTGTGCATGCAGGTGGCAGGCGAGGCGCCACAGCCCAAGACACCTGTGACACCTTTCCCTGCTCAGGTGCTACAAAGGGCTGCATGCGGGCTTCCCCGGAGCTCCCCAACCTGGCAGAGAGCCTGGGGACACCTGTCTCCAGACACCCTCCTCCTCTCCAACAGGAATCTGGGGGTTCTCCAGGCTCTCGACCTTTGGCAGTGCTTGTTTGTACCAGGATATTAGCACCATCATTACATTGTGTGTATGTGTGTGTGTGTGTGTGTTGTATGTGTGGGTGTGTGTGTGTACACACAAGCAATTCCCTATTCTTAATTCAACTGATTTGACAGCCATCTCAGTCCCTAGGAGCCCGCCTAACACTAACTGGCCACAGCAATGCCAAGCCTCCCGCAGCCACTCTCAAGCTCTGCGTGATCTGGAATGTCACAGAGGACTAGGGCCACCTCCCTCCTGCCCTGCTCCCCAGCACAGAGGTTAGGGCTCAGGGGTCCTCTGCCCTCTGCGACCCCGGGGGTGGGGAGGTTCTGGGACACGTGGAGAGACTGGGTCTGCTGCGGGCAGAGATGAGAGCAAGAGGGTTTCCACGGCCACAAAGGATGCAGTGTGTCGGGGTTGGGGGGACGCAGTAGAGCCTAGGGAGGTGCCGGGAAAACCCAGGGGGGCTCTGAATTGACCAGTTCCCCTCGGGATGACTGCTCGGGGCTTGTCTCACACTCTCCGGAGACCTCTGCTCAGTCACCGTGTCCTGTCCTGCAGAGATGACGGGGTTGCTAAGAGAACACTCTTAGGTAGGCTCCAGGAGGCGCCCCCCCCATGCCCTCGGTTACAAGCTACCCACTGATGCTAACCAGGGGTATGAGCCCCCCTTTTCCCTTCAGTCCTGAGGAAATTTAAATAGCCCCCCAAGTCACCTCCCGGCACAGCTCCACAGACAAGTCTGGAGCCAAGTTTCTGGTGACAGTGAAGAACCGGAAGCCGGGAAGCACCAGACTGAGGGGGTGGGGGGCCGGTGCGCGAGGGGCAGCCTGTGGCTGTCACTTCATTCCCTACCAAAGCCCACTGCAGAGGTGACTGCTCCACTGGTAAAGAAAAAAAAAATTTTTTTTTTAAAGAAACACAGCCTGTGCACACCCCCCACCCCCCGTAAAGAGGAAAAAAAATTCACAGTTTATTTCATGAAACAAAGAGCTGCGGTAACTGAGCACGGCACGGCGCGGGGAGTCTGACAGTGCAGCGCGGGGGCTGTTTCTGCTCACAACTACGGCTGACAAGAGAAGAGGGACAGGACGGCACCAGGCAAACCCTACTCACACGACCTAAGGGACCTACGAGCTGCGGATGGACCGATTATTCTCACACATGATAAATACTTAATAGAATGAACTTCTCGGGCCCAGGGTGGGTGTCTTTAAAAATATCTTTCACTGCTTTAAAATTCTTCTCAAAGAAAATAAGCTTCTTCGTTTGCTCTCCCTCTGGGGCAGGGAAGAGTCCTGCCTCTCTTGGGAAGAAGAGAGGAGACGCGGGGGGGGGGGGGGGGGCCCCACCCGCCACTCCCCCCCCCCCCCCCCCCCCCCCGCCCAAGCCTCTGCCTCAGTTCAAGTGTCTCCAATAGCAGAGACAGACTTTAGGAAAACAAAAAAAAAAAGCAACTTCTTTAAATCTTTATATAAAGCGCAAATGCTTCTGTTAACGATTGTGCCCTGCTCCCAGGGCCGGAAGTCCCTGCAGTTGGAAGCAGGGAGAAGGGAACCGGGGTAGAACAGACTCCCGCTGGGGGCGTCAGGCCCTGCCCCACAGGACAGGGAACAGCCAGTTGGTGACAGTGGCTGGCTATGTTGGCAAAGCAGAGAGGTAAACACGTTTGGTCAGGGGCGAAGGCCGGCCGAGGCATGGGAAGGAGTTGGGCAAACAGCACTTCCTGTGGGCATCGGGGGAGTGGGTGGTAGGTGTGGGGGCAGGTTAGCACCAACAGACTGCCCAGCCCCGAGGCCCCCTCTCCTGCCCGGTGCCGCCTCCACACTGGGCCCCCCAGGCCTCGGGTCAGGGGAAAGGGCAAAGGATCATCCTTGGGCACGCCTGCACGGAAGGGCGGGGCCACCTGCTCCCGTGCCCGCTGTCCCCTGGGGTCTCTGAAATCTGAAAGCACCTGAGTGTCGAGGGCCAGCATGAGGCGGTCTGGAAAAGGAGGAAAGGCGGGGAGCCAAGGGGCAGTTCGCCAATTGCCTCGTGACACCACAGGAGCGCGGTGGGGCCGGGCAGACCAGCTCACCCCAGCTGCCCGGGCCAGCACGGACCTTCAGACTCTGCCCCGCACAGACCCCGCCCCCCGCACACACACAGGCCGGTGCCCACAGTGGCCGCCACCACAAAGGACATTAGGAAACAGGAGTTCTGAGCCCCGGGCCCCGCAGAACTTCCTGCCGCTTTCTGGTCCAAATTCTGACAAGAACCCGGGCTCCTGGGCGGCCTGGAGCTCTGGGGCACGGACCTGACCTAGCACACAGGCGTGTGCGGGGAGCCACTGCGGACCCCGCGAGGTGTACCCCACCTCCCCCAGGGCCGACAGAGCCTGCAGTGCCAACCTGCAACCTTCCAACCTGACCAGAATTGAATCCCATGTTTGACTCCAGAGTGGACTCTTTATTTTAAATCGACCATGTAAAGATGAGGGGGCGCGGGAGACCCAAGCCTGTCTGTCTCCTTGGCTGGGGCCCACTGGGATGTCCAGACACAGCTCACACAATCACAAGCCCCACTGGCTAATGTCACAAGAGTTCTGAGTGTTGGGACACAAGGGAAGAGGGACAGTGGGAAAGTGTTGGGGTCTGTTTTCTGCAGGGGGGAAGGAAAGACGAAAGAGCTCCCATTCCCCAAAGCCCAGGGACTGCTGGACTGGCCAGGTGACATGGACGCTATCATTTCTGCTCGGACTCTGCACACTTGTGACCGGAAGGAGCCTGGTTGAGAGCTGGGAGTGTGTTTTGCTCTGGCTTAGGGTCTTGCCCTCTTCCAAGGGACCAGCAAGTCTGTGCCAACGTCTGTGCACTCCCGGGGGACCAGCAGGACTGGGCCCGGTTCTGTCCAGACACCAGGGGCCAGAGTCCAGCACCCGGGGAGGCCTTGCCGGGGGCCCAGGGCCTCTGCTCAGAGGTGGGCAGCTGCTTCTCTTCTGTAGGGAGGGAGCCGGGGGCCTTCCCCAGCGGCCTGTGGGACACCCCGCTCTTGGCAGCGAGCCCCGAGAGCTGCTGGCCCGCGGCCATCTGCTTCACCTGCTTCAGCAGACCCGTGGCTTGGAGGGGAGCCCCGGTGGGCTCGGCCCCAGCAGAGGCGCGCCCCGAGGTCTGAGTTGCCGGCTCATACAGAAAAGCCTTGGCGGGGGGCTGAGGAAGAAGTCTGGCCTGGGTCAGTGACTTAACAGCTTGCCAGGGGTGCTCCATTGGGGCGGCGGCTTTTCCCGGGGCCTGGAGGCCAGGATCGGATGCGCTGCTCCGCTCGCCCCCAGCTCTACTGGCGGGCCAGAGGCCGGGCTCCAGCACGGGCATCTTGTCCCCGGTCGGCGGGCCGGCATCGGGCGAGGCTGCGCGCTCCTTATGGGCAGGGGTCAGGTCGATGAGGTCCATGACCAGCGCGGCTCTGTCCTTGGCCTGGGAGTTCTGATCCACGGGCCTCAGCGCTTTCTCCTTCGCCACCAGGCTCTGCACCACAGCTGATAAGACTTTGTCAGGAGGCGGCAGTCTCTGGGACAGGGCTGCGTGGGGCTTCTCGGGGGGCCTGTCGGGCGTCTGGAGCTTGGGCCCACTGGGGAGCAGCAGTCTGTCCGGCGGCCGCAGTCGCAGGCCGGCAGGGCCTGGGGGTTTCTCCAGGGCCGGGGGCCGGGAGCCGGCAGCACCTCTGGGTTTTTCCAGCCGGGAATCAGATGCCCCCGGAGGCCGTTCCAATGGCGGGGCTCTGACTGAGCTGGAGGCGCTGGGGCTGGAGACTGGAGCAGGTTTGTCGGAGGGCTGGGGCCGGGGTCCTGCGGCTGCGGCAGGGGGCTGGTCCGGGGCTTTCTGGCCAGAGGCCGAGGAGGGGGGTTTGGGCCCTGCTCCCGCTGAGTCCCGGTCCCTGTCCACAGACTGGGGCCTGCAGTCAGTCCTGCCTGGAGGCGGTCGGTCAGACTGGGATGGCCGTGGGCAGGTGCCGGGCAGAGCTTTTTTGGCCAGTGCAAGCGGCTGGGAGGTGTCGGCAGGAGGCTTCTCAGAGGCCGCGGGCCCCTGAGCAGCCGTTCCCAACGCGGGCCCGGGCGGCAGTGGCGCAGGTGGCGGCACATACTCACGGATCTCCCCGGGCTCCAAGGGGTTGGGCCCACAGGGGTCGTGCTCGGTGCAGGAGAGCCGCCCGTCCAGCTTGGAGATGAAGAGCATGCCTTCCCGATGCTGCTTGCAGAAGGAGCTGGGGCACATCTCACAGAAGGACGCCGCCTCCTTGCCGCAGATGTCACACTGGTGCCAGGGACACTCCCACTTCCCTGAAAGGCAGAGAGGAGAGGGGGATGACGAAGGCCACGGGGTCTGCCCCCAGCCTCCTGGCGGCACTGCATGGGAGAACAGCTCAGCGAACAGACATGGGTAGAAAGAACACAGCTCGGGGTGGGCCTGAGCTGAGCCCGAGTGCAAGCGCATAGCGGCTGGACGCCTGAAGGGCGCTCGGTCCTGACCGTCTGGCACGCAGCTCTCTGGAGGGCTTCAGCCATAAAATTCCCGGATGACTAGAAGGAACGGGGAAGGGGTGACACGGTCCCTTGCAGTGACTCAGCCTCAAGACCCTGGTGAGCTGAGTCCTCAGCACGAATGAGCCACAACCCTGAGTGACCCCCGAATACTACCCCGGCCCGGACCGACCCTCTCTCTGGCACCCGCAGGTAGTTGTGGGTGACGCCCGCTGGGTCAGGACACCCCGAGGGGAGAGGCTCTCCTTCCCTTCTGCAAGCTCTTTCAGATCCTGAAAACCTTCTGACCCGGAGAAAGCCGTCCCCTGCCTGAGGTCACCATGGTCTCCCCGCCATCACAAGTCCCATGAGCTGCTGCCAGGGCTGGGCACGTACCTTGACTTTCCTTGCAACGCAAGGAGCCCCAGAGAGCAACTGATGCCAACTTATTCCTCTTGACCAGAGTGATGCCCAAGCTCCCCTCGTACATTACTGGGGCCCACCTGGCAGTTCTGGGGACCCACCCCAAGGCCCCTGCAGAGGAAGCTTCTGCATTAGCCCTATGAGTGATGTCCTGGGCCCTGGTGGCAGGGGTGGACCTGGGACCCCATGATATGTGGCGTGGACGGGAGCATTGCAAGCCCCTGCCTGATCCCACCTCTCCTCCATCGCTCACGGCCTTGGGGGTCAGCAAGTCCAGCAGCAGCCCCGGGCCTCCACCTACACTCCCTGATCCTGTGAGGTGTCTCAGCCAACACCCGGTTTCCTGCTCTGCAGCTCTGGAAGATGAGACTGCCTCACCCCCACAGGAGAATCAACACAAAGGAAATGCCCAACCCTGGTAGGAAGGCTCACGTTTACTCGGAGATAACTGGGAGCACTCAGCATGGGTTCCAGGTATGTCAGTGGGAAAAAACCCTTGGGAACGGACTCGGCCACCCACCTGCAGGCCGCTTGGTGAGGTTGAGGCAGTCGGCGTGGTACACTTTGGGGCAGCCTGGCTTCTTGCAGGACACGAGCTGGCCAGCGTCGCCGCAGCTGAAACACTCATCCTCGCGCTCCTTGGTGACCTCCCCCTGGGTCCGGCGCTTGCCCTGCTGCTTCTTCTTGAATTTCTTGGACTTCTCTTCCGTGGCGATGGGCTGATTCTAGAGGCCAGACATTGAGCAGTCAGCATTCTGGTGACATGCGCGGAACAGGAGCTGGGTTGGGCTAATGAGTCCCCCGCTCTTCTGGGAGACAGGGTGAGTCACACTGCCACACGTGGCAGGAGCATCAGCTACGACCATGCGACCTCGACTCAGGAGGGAAACTTGCCTTTGGGACCATACAGGGCAGGACTGGTGCGAAAGCCGCTCCCTTTCCTGGCTGGCGGGATTTGAACGCTGGCTCACTCCCCAGGAGGACTGATGTGTGTGCGGGAGGGCTCGTGAGATCCGGGAGGAGGCAGTGGCGAGGGAGCTTGTGCCAGGAAGACAGCACAGTGCGTGCTGGGGCTTGTGCTCAGAAGCCCAGCTCAGATCTGAGAGCCGCCCACGCCTCGTTGGCAGATCATGTGCTTCTCCTTGCAGTGCTGACCTAGGAGCCCCAGGGCCCACATGAGAGCACGCCAGTCCCGCCAGCCCTTCGTGATTCCGCTTCTATGGATCTGTGCTCAAATTTCTTTCTTCCTGACTCCCACGGGAAAGGTAATCCTGGGAGGATCTTAGGGATGCAGACATGGACATTCCCAGTACATCCAACACCATCAACCTTGGGTTCAATAACTTTTTTTTTTTAAATAAAAAAACCCTTTTAACATACTAAGGCAACTGGATACCTAAGGAACCAAATCACTCCCTAAATAATAAATAAATCAAGGCCCAACTTAGAATAATGGCCCTTATTTATTAAATAATTGTGGCTGAAGAGCTAGTATAGCAGGTAAAGCAATCGCCTTGCTTGTGGTCAACCTGGGTTCCAACCCTGGTACCACATATGGTTCCCCTAAGAAAGAGCCCAAGATTAAGTGTGATCTAAAAACCAACACTAAAGACCAAACAGATTAACATTCACCTTCATGTGTAACTACTTAAAGTCATTTATTACTTTCTCTAGTATTGACTTCTATGCTGATTTACATATTTTACTTCCTTTCCCAGGGAGATTCCCAGATCTCAGGGGACCATAGTGAGCTAGGTATTGAACATGGGGCCTGACCCCTCTGAGCTCCCTGGCCCTTACTTTTAATATACGGCTTCAATACCATCACGATCACGAAGGACTACTGGGAAATACACACAATTGGAAGGCCAAGTAGAATCTAGTTTGGATCACAATTAAACACTAATCTGTGGGCCAGAGCTAGTAGTACAGCTAGGGGGGTGCTTGGTGTGCACATGGCCAACCAGGGCTCAATTCTTGGCACCCCATATGGTTCCCCAAGTCCACCAGGAATGCCTGAGTGCAAAGCCAGAATTAAACCCTGAGCACTGGTGAGAGTGGCCCCAAAACTAAACTTACAAACAAAACCCATCAAATCTGTAGTGTGATGTGACAAATGTTTTGTTTGTTCTGGGGGCAAAATCCAGAGATGCTCAAGAGTTACTCCTGGCAGGCTCGGAGGACTATAAGATGCTGGGGATCGAACCTGGGTTGGCCACATGCCAAGCAAGCACCCTCCCTGCTCTACTATTGCTCCGGCTCGCAAATGATCCAACAATCCTGAAGCATCTAGAGACTCCTCTCTGATGGTCCCTCCATCATATGAAAAAGTTAAATGTACTTAAAATGAGGGCTAAGCAGTAGTAATAGGACTATGTAATAGCAAGGAAAACCTTTTTTTTTTGGTTAATACTTAACAAAGGCATGACACAAACTTGCAAATAATTCTTATAGTTGCAGAACTCTAATTCAGTTCAAGTATACATACACAGAAATTTTAAGACAAAACAACGTTAAAACTGTTACCACAGCCAGACTAAGGATCCTACACCTATATAAGGTGTGAAACTGCATTGAAAATCTTAAAATTAGCCGCAGATTCTTTGATTTCTTTAGATTCAGGGAGAAAAAAGAGGAGAGGAGAGATAGAGATAATGGAAGGAAGGAAAAATTAGAAAGAAATGACATGGCAGGAACTGACTTTATAGATTCCTAGTGGGCAAATTCTTTTAGCCAGAGAGGTATTTGCAAGTTACACTGCTCAAAACACTTGCACAGTGTTACTGGGACAATCCTGAAAGAACTCCTGGGGGGCAGGCCAGCCTACAGAACACCAGAAAGTTCGCTCAGCAAACTGCCAGTGTCCCTATAGAACCTATTCAGTGTCACCATTTCACAGAAACCTCTTAGAAGACCATCAAGAAGCCCCATGTCTGGGAGGTAGGAAGCTACACCATTATTCCCGATGCAAACATTTGGAAGGTACCTTTGGCCTTACACCCAAAAAGCCACTGCAGTTTGGGGCTCCACATTTGCAAACGGTCTTTCCATTCCCAAGACATTCTAGGTTGTAGTTGAAGGTAAGTTCAGTGCCTGTATAACAAATGCGGCAAATATTAGTACCTATGGCTTTCACTTTCACACATTATTTCGTTATTCAACAAATACACAGTTGTGATTTTTTTTTTTTTGGTTCCTTTGTTTTTGGGCCACACCTGGCTATGCTCAGGGATCACACCTGGCTCTGTACTCAGAGGGTGCCGGGGATCAAACCTGGGTTGGTGGCGTGCAAAGTATGTGCCCTACCCACTGGACTATTGCTCCATCCCCAGGATGTTTACACAGCAACGAACATTCAGTGGAAACCCTCAAAACTCAGGAAGGCTTCCTACTGCAGACCTGTGTTATCACCTGTGAGGGGAATGAATCACTGCTGGGCTTGGCAGAAATACTAGGACTTCCTCAAGAGCTGTCCTCGAGGACTAAGAAGGAACTGAGACTGGGCAAGGGGCAGAAGGGCTGGGCCTTCCCTCAAGCCTACTAGGAAATCACCGAATGATGAGTGATTTTGTTTACAGTATTTTTTTATTAAAAAAAAAGCATGAGCACGGGATTGAATTTTCGTAAACTTAATGCACTTATACACAATTCAATTGTACCACAGAGTTGAGAGGAAGGGGCGGGACAGATAGGACAGTGGGGAAGGATCCTGCTGTGCATACGGCCAACCTCAGCTCACTCCCCAGCACCATCCTGGGGCACTCCCCTGAGCCCAGCAGAAGCACGCCCTGAGCACTGCAGTTGTGGGCCCAAAACCACAAACACATATACACACTCACACACACATATATACAAAAGACTGGAGAGATGCTGGACACACACACACACACACACACAGACTGGAGGGGTGCCGGACCGGATCTGGGTGTTAAAAGTAGGTACAGGGATATTCTTGATAATCTTTCAGTATCAATATTGCAAATCACAATCCCCAAAATAATGGACGGGATGTAGGGAGGGGGGAGGGGGGAGGAAAAGCATCTGCCATCGAGGGAGGCTGGGGGTGGGGTGTGATAGGAGGGAACCTGGGGACACTGATGCTAGGAACTGTACACTGGTGGGAAAGATGGATGTTGGAAAACTGTATGATTGAAATCCAATCATGAACAGCTTTATAAGGGTCTATCTCACAATGATTCAATAAAAAAGTAAAAATAAAACAAGACAGACTGGATGTGGACACATGCACAGCACACTCTTGGGGAGAGGAAGTGTACTGTGGATGTGAACAGCACGCAGCCAACAGAAGCAGCCAATAGACGCCGGGACACTTAATGGCGGGGACTGCCCAGTGTTCACCATCTGAAAGAGCTCGCTTACCTCACGAGCTTCACGTAGCCTGAGGGCAGACGCACTGGGTTTCCTGATAACATGCCCGACAGGGGTCTTACCTGCTTTGATGTCGCTCAGGGCAAAGAGGCCCACACGCGTGTCCCCGTTCACAGACCACTTCTGGGTTTCACAGTTGGGCTGGCAGCAGTGATTCATGAAGCGCGCGTAGTTTCCTTTGGGGCCCGCATCGATGATCCGGTCCTACAGTTCCAAAAGACTCTGCTCATCAGCAGCCCGAGAGCCCCGCCCGCCAAGACCTGGACAGCTGCCTCCTGGTCCCTACAGAGCATACAACACTCCGAGGCTCTCTGCTCTCCCAAAGCTGCCGGGGCAGCGGCTCTCTTATTTTTGACACAAGCTACTGTCCCATGGCAGTTCCTTTCCTGGCTTGGTAGCCTGAAGCCACTGTGCAGTAACCTGTCCTAGAGGAACCATCAAGGACGTCAGATACTGATGAGGGGGACCCCCGCCCCTGAACCAGCAGCTCTAGAGGTAAACCTCACCAAGTGCATGGGGACAAAGAGTGTCTTAGTTTGTGAAGCACAAGGGTGAAAGATGATTCTTTAGAGTTCTGGCTTCAACTTTAATCCTAAAAGACACTGTACAGAGTACAGAATGCCTGAGATGCATCGCTGCCGTGAGCCAAGCTACAAAAGCAGCCACGAGCCACTGTCCCTCCTGTATAGGCCCAGCCATCCAGACCGACATGCAGGCTGAGACACCCCTGATCCCACAAGGTGGACCCCTGGAAGGCACCAAGCAACTTACTTTGTCCAGAGTGAGCATGTAGAAATTAGTGATGTCGTGTTCCTGGGCATAACGGATTCGAGCTCTGCATTCCTCTTCATCGATCAGCTCTCCCACATACTCGTTTACAAATTCACCCTAGAACAAGAAAAGAGCGCTTGATTTTAGGGCAAAGAAGCACATCTCCAGCCACCAGCACTTTTTAAAAACAATTTCTTTTAAAAAATATTCTTAATGAAATCAACACAAGATAAAGCTACAAAGTTGTCCATAACTGGATTTCAGTCATACAATGTTCCAACACCATCCCTTCACTAGTGTACATTTCCCACCACCAAAATCCCCAATTTCCCTCCTTCCACCCCCACACCCTTGCCTCTCCCTGCCTTCCCTCTCCCTCTTAGAGAAGGCAAGGGAACCGACACCTGCTCCAGACCAGAAAGCCTGTGTTCCTGCTGGGTGCTGGGGGGTCATAAGGCCCCAGGTCCATAGGGACTCAGCCAGTCCTCTTCCCAGCTGCCCGAGGCCATGGGAAGTCTGTCCCCCTCCTATCGTAGTCTACCATCTCCGGTCTGCTCTCTCCCACCCATGAGCCCACGGCGAAGTCTCTAGCAGGCCCCAAGATATTCCGAGGACGAGCTCGTTTGGCCCTTGGCTGCTGCGGGCACTGCCCTGTGTGACTGCTCGCACTCCGGCTGGTCTGACTCGGTCTTGGTCTTTCTCCTCTGGAATGATGGGCTACCTCCACGCAGGCACATGGCTAACAGAGACTCTCCGACACCTGGAGAGCCCAGAAATAACGGGCAGAGGGTGGTGCACCAAGCCTGAGCCAAGCACAGTGTACACGATGGCAGATGCCTGCTGAGGCCACCCCACACCAAGGCATTCCCTAGCAATAGGCCGGACCCCCAGTTTCAGACTGAATCTTCCCTTTCCCACAAGCTCATGCTTCCTAATGAAAGGGTATCTAATTGTCTTCCTTCCTTCCCTCCCTCCTTTCCTTTTTCTTTTTGGGTAACACCCGGTGATGCACAGGGGTTACTCCTGACTCATGCACTCAGGACAGTGCTCAGGGAACCAGATGGGATGCTGTGCTGGGAACTGAACCCAGGTCAGCCGCGTGCAAAGCAAATACCCTATCTGCTGTGCTATCGCTCCAGCCCCTAATTGTTTTCTTTCCATGCTCCGTGCAGTAGAAATGGAACTTTGGGGTGGGAGTGGGGGCTGGCCATGGCTGGCCATGCTCAGAGGCCATTCAGGCCAAGGTGCTTAGGGTTTGTTTGCTCCCGACAATGCTGGGGGGTCACACGGGGTCACCTACATGCAGGCTATGTGCTCTAGTCCAGTGAGCTGCCGCTACCCTGAGTAGACGTGTGACTTGATTCGCAGGTTCTCAACACTTCTCTATCACCCATTCACTTCCCTCACTTAAGCGGAGGTCCCAGGAATTACACAGAAGAGCAAATAAGACCTCTGTGTCCTCTAGGAATTTCCCTTACTTTCCACGTTCATACACAGGGGTCAGCCATGTGGGCTGCGTGCAAGGCAAACATCCTACCGGCTGTGCTATTGCTCCACAGGGAACGAAATAAAAAATAAGGACCTTTTATTTTTGTGTGGTCCAGTATAACTCATATAATTTCACAAGATCCCCCGCTAACACAGTGTGCTTAATACCCAACAAGAGAGATATCAGATTGTGAAGAGATCATTGCATATTGGGAAACCATCACAGGGCCTGCGTTTGGGTGCACTTGACCCAGCATGGCCTCAAAGCCAGGTGTCTTTCTGAAGAGGCCCTGCAGCTCCTCGATCTGACTACAGCCACTGGGCCCCATTTCCTGATTGCAATTTCACAAATGTCTCCTCGGAAACCATTTCTCATTTTTCAGAGGGAACTCGAAAGTGAAAAGTCAATGTCCTCCTGAGGACTGCAGGGTGAGAGGAGACCAGAGGATCTCAAGCAAGGATGTCTCCAGGGAAACAGAGCTCTCTCGGTCCTTTTCCCTCAGTAAGCAATGTCTCACACTCATCAGAACGGGCTGAAAAGGCCTCTTAAGCTACAAGTCCTAGAAGACCAAAATGGCTGTGTGTCTGGGTTGGGGGGAGGGCGGCGAAGAGGGAGGGGGAGTCCCTTTCCCCACCTTCTTGATGTCGGTCTTCGTGCGCAGCCCCCAGCCCCTCTGCAGGGTGCGGAAAATCTCCACCTCGGGGTACTGGCGCTTGGAGAAGCACTGGTTCTGGCAGCGGCCCCCAGCGGGGCACACGGTGGGGTGGCACTCGTACAGCAGCATGCGGTTGATGCACTCCGAGTCGATGCCACAGGGGTTCTCGTCGGTCGCCTTGCAGTTGCAGCGCGGGATCTCAGACAGGTCCGCAGTGAATATCTGGACCCTGCCGATGGGGCGGTTCACCTGCAGGAGAAGCACACGCTTGCTAGAACACCGGAAATGCACCAAAAGCCGGCTCGGGGCCTATAACCGAGGCAGATCTATGGACCTCAAGGTCCCCTGGTGCGGCCAATATGACTCTGAGCTACGGAGATTTTGAGTACTGGGATAGGAGATAGAGCCGAGGGACACAGCATAGGCCCCAGCTGTGTGTGGCGCTGGCTCTAATGCCCGACACCAGAAGAATAAAATATACAAGTCCATCAATATTTGTCACAATAGCTAAAACAGGAAAACAACCCACTGTCCATCAACACATGAATTAATAAAGAAAAGTGTTACTGAGTTGGAAAAGGGAAAAGGAGGGGTTGCGGAGAGAAGACCGCAAGGAAGGCGCTTGCCTTGCATGTGCCTGATCTGGGTTCGAACCCTGACACCTGATAGGGTCTGCCGAGCACAGCCTAGAGTAATTCCTGAACACAGAGCCAGGAGTACTGTTGAGCAGCGCCATGTGAGACCCAAAAATAAACAAAAAATGAAAAGCTTTTTTTGCACTGGAGATCAAACCCTGTGTTTTCTCTTCAAGGTATCCCTTCCCCTCTTCTCTCCCTTCATATTTCTCTAAACCAGTCAAGACAAAGATCTGGCTCTCTCTGGCCAAGTAGTCAAAATCAAAGACAGCAGAACACGGGTTGCGAGGGGCCAGAAAGAACTGAATGGGTCAAGAGTTTCAGTTATATAAGCTGGAAATCCAGAGATGCATGCCAGGGAAAGCTGCAAGTATTATGAAGACATTTGACACCACTGTAACTGGTCTAAATGTCGGAGATGATAAATCCTGTTTATCTGTGTTCAACCAGAATTTTTTTAAAAAAAAATCGAAAACAAAGACTTAGCTTGAGATGGCTGGAAAAGAAAATCTCATTTGAATTCATGTTCTAAGTCTATCTGTGATGTAAAATCACCGTAACGACCAAAACAGGTACTGCGTGTTGTGTGTGCATGCGCACACACACACACATGTGAATATAGAAACCATGAGTTTCTGACAACAAAATGAAAATGGAAGCTTCTCGTCCAGAAATGTTGGTTTCAACATTCCAATCCCAACCTGGGGCTGCTTTTGGAGTCTAGTCTACAGGGAATGCTGGCGTCTTCTCTGTGGGTAAATTCACTACTAAGGCTGTGGTCCCAGAGGGGCAAACCCCAGATGCTGCATCCCGGTATGGGCTTTACGCTGCAGCCTTCCCTGGGTGTTCTGGCCAAAGGAACTGATTAAGCCTTGCTGCTGGGTCATCTTTAAATGACTTCTCACCTAGCGATCAGATCCAGGGTGACCTTCTAGTTCTTCCCAATACCACACGGTTTGGTAGGTGGGTGGAAACTGTTCCCAGACCACTAACAGGCTGTGTGCAAAAAGGGACATGTGTGTGAACACAGACAGTGACAGAAGCAAGGTGCTCCTGACACTGAGGTAGGCCGTTGGACCCACTCACTACCTGGGGTCATGTCCTGGATGCCCATTTCATGGCTTCCTGGAACCTTAACAGTGAGATGCTGACCAAAGAGACTGCCCATGCTGGGAGAAGTCCTCTGAGCAGAGACAATCAGTCAAGGCACAACTGGTGCTGTTCCTGCTCATGTGCCCGACTCCCGGGCCCCCAGCAGGGATCAGTCAGGCCTCTCGGGGTCACCTGTGGTTTCTGCTCACCTTAATGTGTTTGTAAGGAGGGGGCTTCTTGTCATTCTTCCGGTCCTCCTGCAGCTGTCGCAGCTCCTTCTGGGCCTTTAACTCCTCAAACCTCGCTGCAGCTTCTTGAAGAGCTAAGAAAACACAGCACAAGTCATGTCAGCATCTCAAGGTGGTGGAATAACTTCACCTTTTCCTCAAAAGATCCTTTAAATAGGGTTGTGTGTGTATGTGTGGGGGGAGGGGGAAGGATGGGGGGGGCGCACGGAGATCCATGCTTTTGTTTTTATTTACTTTTTTAAATTGTATTTGGCTTCTGGGGTCACACTTGGTGATGCTCAGGGGTTATTCCTGGCTCTGCACTCAGGAATTACTTCTGATAGTGCTATGGGATGCTGGGGATTAAACTGAGGTCGGCCGTGAGCAAGGCAAAAGCCTCACTTGCTGTACTGTTGCTCCTGCCCCCAAATTCGTGCTTTCAAAACAAAAAATCTACTAACACTATATGAATGGCTGGAAAGTATGTATGGCTTAATTCTGGAACAGGGGATCATCCTCAGTGTATTCAGAGAGAGGAGTTAAGACAAAACCCAACACACAGACAGATCACCAGTTCAGAAGAAAAAGGTAAGACAAAACCCAAACAGGTCAATACCTGGCAAAGCCCACATCTGTCAGCTCCTAAGGACGCAGAGACTGAAGCTGCTCTGCCAAGTCGCCACTCCACAAACAGAGCTCTCCTGCATCCGAACCCTCCCAGGTGTCCTGATGCAGGCCTGGCTTGATCCCCAACACAGCATATGGTCTCCCCAGCATCATCAGGGGTCACCCTTGAGCATGACCCCCCAGTACACACAAACAAAATAATCCAACTTTTTTTTTTGTGTGTTTCTTAGGTCATACCCGGTGATGCACAGGGGTTACCCCTGGCTCTGCACTCAGCAATTACTCCTGGTGGTGTTCGAGGGATCATATAGGATGCTGGGGATAGAACCTGCATCAGCTGCGTGCAAGGCAAATGCCCTACCCGCTGCGCTATTGCTCCAGCCCCCAATAATCCAAGTTTAAAGAAACCCAAAACCCAAGAACCTCAGAGGTGAAATTTGCTTCCTTCACTTGTCTCCTGAATATCTTTCCCTTCCTAGACTTTCTCTAAGTCCTCCTGAAAATATCAACTATTGACTACTGATACATGAATTTTATTTATTTTTTTGCAGGGACTGGGGCAGGGGGCGTGGGGGGGGGGGGGTGCGGCGGAGAGTGTGTCCACACCTAACAGTGAAGGGACCATATGGAGTGTTGGAGCAATAACCCAGGTTAGATGCATGCAAGGCAACACACTGCCTGCTGTACTAACTGGCCTCTGATACAAAAACTTTCATTATTAATGCACTATTAAGTTCGATATTTCCATGTACTCTTTGAAAGGTTGTAGCATATAGAAAGCCCAACAAAATCTTTAGCTTTCACCCCTTCCTTCATTCACCGACCTTACAAGCAGGTTAGAATTCCTGTTTTCTCTCTGTGGCTTCCCTCTGGGGCTGAGACCCCACATCTCCATCTCCCTGTAGTGATCTAGCAGAGTCTGGGCTGCCACAGTTCTGCAAACTGCAGACATGTACCGTCCCTGCCCGAGGCCTCTTCCTGATGACAGGGCCCGGCCTGGACATATGGCAGGCTTATCTGCTGGGCGCGTGGGCCCCCAACCCTGATGGGAATTTCTGAAACTACCTGGACTATGGACCCTAACTACCTCTCCAGGGAAACTGCCCCTGCACGGAAATAACTTTATAACTTTCAGGTGCTAATGCAGGGACTGAATCCAACACGCCTGGTGTTCTTGTGACAACACTTACAGGTCAGTACTGGGGTTAGGAGTTTGGATCTAAAGCTCAACTCCTAAGAGTTTGAAATATGCCTCCAGTAACTAACAAAGCACTTGGGCAAGTCATTTAAGCCCGATGTACATGGCCTTTGCAGATGAGATTAATGGCTGCTAAAGGACAACATTCTCTTGAAGGGTCTGACAAAAGGGGAAGAGGACTTGTTACAATGTCATTCTTCTCGGCTCACATGGGGAAGTGACTTGGGCTTGACAAACCTGATTGTCAATCCAGTTTTACTTCTATACTTCCTCCCAATGGTGATTTCTGTTTTTTTGGGGGGGGGGGGGCGGTATTGGGCTAAATATATGCAAAGCCAGCACTTCACCACTGGGCACTGCACCCACAGGCCCTGTCCCCCATCCTGCCTGGGGCACTGTACAGCACGTGCCTGTGGATCCCAACACTCCTTGAGAGCTGGTGTCCATGTGAGATTTCCACGTGTAAACATGCTCCCTGGGGTCAGGAAGGCAATTCAAAGGGCTGGAGCACATGCCTGACAGGGCCTCTGCGCAAAACTGCCTGGTCCAGTTGGCCAAGTACTGCCAGAAACTGCCCCCACATCTGCTGCACCCAGCCAAAAACAGAAGTATACCCTGAAAGCACAAACACCAATCAACTCAGTACTCACAGAGCAGAGTGCTAGGGCATTAGCAGGCTCACACATGCAGTTTCCCCACTTCACCTTCTCTCCCAGAAAAAGTCACTGTCTCTTATCAGTTGAGACCATAAGCCTATAGCCCCGCATTCCTGTGACACCAGGGCTGAGCCCAGTCAACAGAGGCTACACAGCGCGCAGAAAGGAGAGAACCTCTGGCAAGCACGTTCTCTATGGGAGTATTTCACTGCCCCCCACCCCCCCCCCCTCCCCGGCCAAGCTTCAAGTGTGCAGAACCCTCTTTGCCACTCCCACCCCTGAAGACAAAATTGCCCTTCCCAAGCCCAAGTAGGTGCAGACAGCAGGAGCCAGGGCTCAGCCTTGCAAAGGACAGCTGGAGAAGGCCCTGCCCGTGAATGCAGGATTATTCTGAGGCTTACAGTCAATTCGCAACGCCTTATTCTTTGGTTTTAGGGCTCGGGGAGCATGGTGCTGACGAGGTGACACACTCACTGGACTCCCTCGCAGGTCCGCCACCTTTACTCTTTTTGTAAGAGGACAACAGGCTCAGATCTGACTCAGACAGACAAGCCCACTCTGTCCTTACTCCACTGCAAGGCCAAGCCCCTGCCCAGCATATCTTCAAAATTTGGGGGATCACTCCTGGCACTGTTTGTGGAACAGTATGGGGATATCAGGAATCGCACCCAGGTTGGCCAGGTGCAAGGAAAGCACACTATCCGCTGCACAGACGCCCCCACCTGCCCCGATAGAACACGATTCTGCTGTGCGCCTTCTATCTCTTTCCACGAAGGAACAGCTGCCGCTGCCAGCACAGCTCTGCTGGATTCCTGCCGCACCACCGCCAACCAGGGTGAACCATGTAGAACAATCCCGAGCCCCGGCACTGGATGAGGGGTTCAGAAACATATGTGCTGTGCTGAGAGGGAGAAAAATGTCTCCCTGAAGGAAATTCCGGGCAAGGAAAGGTCAGGCTCAAAACAAGGGAGCTTCAGGATCAAGGTTCGCATGCAAGTGAAGGGCAGACTAGAACTCCCTGTGCTGAAGCCTATCGACCGACAAACAGAACAGGTCTGTGTTGGTTTATGATACAAGAGGGAGCAACTATTTTTTTGGATGGGGGTGGGAGCACGGAATGTCAGCATACCCTGGGGGGTTGGGGGACTGTATGGGGTGCAGAGGATCAAAGCCAGGTCGGATGGGTACATGGCAAGTGCCCTCCTGGCTATAGTATCATTTCGGTTGAAGTTACCTTTTTTATAAGTTCCATCCACGCCTTTGCCCATCTTATCCTTGCTGCTCACATCGCCCTCCATGTAGGGGAAGACCCGGGCCTGGTGAGTCCACAGATAGTCGTTGGAGCCGAAAAAGAGCACCGGGAACTCGCCCACATCGTGTCTCATTTTGTCAATGTTGGAAGGAACAGCGCGCGGATGGCAGATCTCTGCTGGCCACCACCTGTGAGTGGTGAGAACAGGACAGGAAATCTGTGAAGTCTGCACGACACGAAGACCAGAACCTCCTTCCAGAACAGGAAGGACGAGGCAAGGCCTGTCTGGCAGCAAACAAGCAGGGAAGGTGCTGGGCCTCCCCTGCTCCCAGGCACGCAGTCTCCCAGGGGTAATGCTCCACCCCACAGAATCTGCCTCTGATGCTTGAGGGAGCACTGTTTGCAAGGTAGAAACCCAACTAAACCCACCCTGGATGGGGTTGAGGCAGAAGCACACTCTGTCTCCCTGGGCTTGCCTCGTTGTTGCACATACACTGTGTGCCAGAAGGCAACAGTGTGTGTTCACTCTTGGAGTGTGGGCTGCAGCTTACTACCATGTATACACTGATTGTGAGGCTTCATGCCATTGTACACACTAAAGAGATTCCCTACGCGTATGGAAGGGCTTTTCTGCTCACAAGGGAACCACAAACATTGCACTTGCTGTCTGTTACTTTCACCTCTTCAAGAGAACCAAACACTACACCTCTCCAATGTGTGTCTGTTCAACTTTCAGTAAACAATGGGGCCGGGGTGATAGCATAGTGGGTAGGGTTGCCTTGCATGAGACCTGTGTTTGATCCTTGGCATCCCATATGGTCCCCCAAGCACCGCCAGGAATAATCCTGAGTGCACAGCGAGGAATTTCTTTGGCTCTCTAGCGAATGTTTTTGGTGCAGTGCTTGGTACTGCTGCCCTGTGCCAATGGATACCTGGAGCAAGTCATCCATCTTCTGTGCCCAGGAGCCTCTCTAGATGGCCTGTGGCTAGTAGAGCAGAATATCTACTTCACTTGCTGAAATCAGCTCCAGCAAAATTATCTTTCTAAAATGTGTGTGTGCTTTGAAGGAAAACTTAGTGTCATTGTTGTATATTCACAATGTTTACTGAAAGTTTTGGTGTCGGAATTTTGGGTTTTTTTGTTTTGTTTTTCCCTGTTGGGTAACTCGGCGATGCTCAGGAGTTACTCCTGTCTCGGCACTCAGGAATTACTCCTGGCGGTGCTCGGGGGACCATATGGGATGTCAGGGATTGAACCTGGGTTGGCTGTGTGCAAGGCAACTGCCCCACCCACCATGCTATTGCTCTAACCACAGCTTTTGTTATTTTTTAAAACCATGTCCCTATAACATTCTTTCATGCATCCCATATTCAAAGCAATGTTAAGAAAAAGCCAGACAATAGGCCAAAACTCTTGCTATCAATCACGCTGAGGGTGCCTGTGGAGTGACTGCATGTCAGTATGCCAAAAGGGAGTGATGTTATCGCCTTAGATGGTAAGATTGTGTTCATAAAAGGACTGTCTATAAGGAATGTGTCTCATTCCTCTACCTGCAGAGCAGTCTTTAATGGAAAATACAAGGGAGAGAAGCTCCCCCCTCTCTCTAGAGGATCCCAAGAGATGATAGAGAAGTGTCAGTGTCCTCACATTCACTCACCTGTAGCGTCCTACTTTGACCCAGACAATCTCCCTGTAGTGTGGCTTTTTGCCCGCCTTACAATCATTGCAATACCAGTTTCCTTCGGGGATGTCAATGTTGAGGCATTCACGATGAAAAGCGGCAGGGCAAGAATCACAGCACAGAAGGCTGCCTCCTACAGGAATCAAGAACCAGGCAGTCAGGATCAGCACGCCGCAGAGAGGCCGCTCAGACACAGCATTTCTCCTGCCTCAAAGCCACTTACCCCCCAGCCAAGGGCTGAGTATTTATGTCTTAGATTTTGACAGTGTTTAGGGCTTACTCTGGGTTCTGCACTCATATACCACTCCTAGCAGTGCTCAGGAGACTATATGGGGTGCGGGGACTGAACATAGGTTAGTCATGTGCACGGTAATTGCCCCACCCGCTATACTATTGCTCCAGCCACATTAAATTCTTTTCATTTTTGTCTGCAACTCCCTGGAGAAGAGCACAGAGCCAGCAGTATTGACCCTTAGTATTGACAGAGATGGCCGCCAATAAAGCAAAATCTCAATTAACATAATGTGAAGTTGTTTTCTATTTCGGCCACAGCAGGCTCAGTGCACCTGGATCGAATCCTCCCACACCGAGAAAGCATGGCCCGTGAGCTACTCGTCTCATTGTGCGGATCTTTATGAGTGGGATTAGCTGACGGGCTAGTTACTGATTTCTCATTTTGTGCTGGAGCTTCCCTCTTTTTTCCCCCTGCTAAACCAATGGAACTGTCACATGCAATGCAGAAGAGGACCCGGGGAGGACAGAGAAGGCCATTTCTTATCAACTTAAAACAATGCATTGAGGTGACGGGTTTTGAGGTCTACCTTGCAATTTTCAGATCTGTCACACAGTGTTGCTGACAATAGTTCCATTGGGCTATGCGCCTCTACCTCTAGCCACATTCACACAAGGTGTCCTCACTACTGTCTGCTGCTTCAACTGTCTGCTCTTCAGAGGAGGTTGTTGGGCCACACCAGGCACTGCTCAGGGGACCCTACGTGGTGCTGGAAATCCAACCTGGGTCAGCTGGATGCAAAAAAAGTGTCCTACCTGCTTTACTATTTCTCCAGCCCTAAATCTTTTATTTTGGTATAAAATCAGGCCAAGCTGAAGATAACAAAAAGAACACCCTCCTTTATAAAGATCAAAGAAAGCTTAAATATCCTAAGATACTAATTATAACTGGAGAAATCATCTCCGAATATAAGACATCTAGTGGCAACATAAAGAAAACAAATTTTGGTTGCAATTTAAAAACCTGTATAAAAAATGTGTATTGAGGCAACAACAGTATAAGTCATGTCTTACCCTCTGAGCACACAAAACACCAGCTGACATTAACATGTTCATGGTTCCGGCAGCCCCGCCGAGGAGTAAAGTGATTCGGGCAGATGATACTGTTAGAAGCAAGGATCTTTGACCCCGCAGCCAGACAGAAATCATTGGCATGGTAAGCCACAGGGCAGCGAACACAGCGCATCAGACGACCTAAAAAGAAATGGGAAGACCACGGAAGAGAAATGAAAACCAATGACTAAATGTTTTAGAGAGGTAAATCACTCTCATCTATGTGTAACCACTTAGAAAATGTCATAAACCTACTAAGCTTAGGGGTCACTCTACTAGGTCCTAAGGAAAACCTGTGCTAAGTTGAATCCAATCTCCAAACTGACAGTTTAATACTAACTCACACTCTTCGGACCAACGCTAAGCTCCAAACTGATATGAAGCCCTTACTCCCTGAGACGGTCCCGGATGACAGGACCAGGCAGACATCGTCACAGGGTCTGCCTGCTGGAAGACTGCTCACCGAGACTGCCTGCAACTCGGATTCTGAGTCTTTCAGGTACATTACTTCTTTATCCCCGACAGATGAAGCATACCCTCAGTGCACTTAACCAGCTAAATATGACTCAACAGCCACTGAGAAGAGGAAGCCAGCTGGCACTGAAGCTGCAGTTTCGAATATGAAATTAAGATATTGTGGTCAGGGACCAGAAAGAGAGTGTAGTGGGGAGGGCACTTGCCTTGCCTTGCCTTGCATGCAACTGACCTGGGCTTGCCTGGGCTCGAACTGAAGCATCCCATAGTGCCCCCGAGTGTGACCAGGAGTGATTTCTGAGTGCAGAGCCAGGAGTAAAACCTTAGCATCACTGACTGTGGCCCAAATACCAAAGAACAAAACACTGTATTTAAGACTGATGAACGCTGTAAGGCCAATAAGTCATTTTACAAAAGTGTGATTAAAAGAAGTCAATAGTGTTCCATTTTTTTTCTACTGGAGAAGTGTATGCGCGTGTGCGCATGTGTGTGTTGGGGAGGTGGGCATTTAGAGAATTTTAGTTCAAGAAAAATTAGTAACACCATTATGAAGCAAAAAGAAATATTTGTTTTTCCAGTGAGAATGGATTGGGGCGTGGTGATGGAGATCAAACTGAGGGCTCCCTCAGGCAAGGGAAGAGCTCTACCGCTGACCAAAATTCCCACCAGGAAACAGTTCCCCTAAACACACAGGGCTGGCGAGAGGAGCAGAGTAAAGGTCTTGCTCCCCAGCACAGAGCTAGGAACCCGCGAACCATCAGTGTGGCCCTACAGCCAGCCCCCACTCCATGAAAAATGAATAGCTGAGTCTTTCCCCTGATGACGTAACACCGTGAACAGGGAGCAGCCCACGCCCCTGGGCTTCTCTCACCAAGAAAGAGCCAGAGAGCGCAGAAGAAGCACGAGAGGCTGCACCCCAAGACAGGCCCGGCGCGAGCACCTCGTACCTTTCGACGCAGAGACGCTGGCCGGGTTAGCAGCGTGACAGGTGATGCAGATGTGGAGGGAGCACCGGAAGCCCTTGTTCTGCATGACAGTGGGTGGGTACTTCTGGACACAGTCTTCATGGTAGAACTTTCCGCACAAGGGCAGAAGGCACCTTTTAACATCCTCCCCACTCTGCTTACATACAAAACAGGTATGGATGCCTGGCAAAGAGGGGGAAGGAAACCCATGAATACCAGGTCAAGCATTGCCCTGGCCCTGAGACGCCAGGACAGAACTCTGGAGGATCCAGCATGCAGGTGCAACACCTCTCCCGTAGCCCCTGAAGACTCAACACCAGCTCCGTGTCCTACAATGCAGCCACTCCTGCCCTGCAGCCAGGTGCCACAAGAGACGTGCCCAGTGCTACAAAACCAGCCCTGTCACTTCCCGGCCCTCCCCATATAACACCTGCAATCCCAGTTAAAACTCCAGGTTGTGGCGTCTTTTGTTTTTTGGCCACAGCTGGCGATGCTCAGGGCTTACTTCTGGTTCTGTGCTCAGGGATGACTCCTGGCGATGCTCAGGGGATGCTATGGGATGACAGGGATCGAACCTAGGTCAGTCACATGACAGAGCAAGCCGGTGGTGTCTATCTCTAAACCCACTGCTATCAATTAGGCTTCCAAGAACATAGTCCCCTTAGATTAAATCAGTTGGTGATTGGGGCTCAGAGAACTCAAGCCAAGGACCTGACTGACTATATATTCCCTGTAGAGGCTAAGAGGCTAGAATTAAGGAGGCAAAGAGAAACGCAGATCAGGGATCCAATGGGAGTCTCTGCCTTCTCCAACCACTTGAACTGGGCCCACAGGTTCGCCGAGCCGAAAGCACTCCAAAGCCAGGCCTGCCGGGTTTCCCTGAAGCGTCATTCCACAGACATGGTGCACCAAGGGAGGGACACTGAGCCACTGGCCTAATGCAGCCTCCCCTTCCAAGGAGCTAGAAGGGATGAAAGATGCAGTCTCCTCATCATCGGTCTGTTCTCCAGGCAACCAGCTCCATTTGCTGGGGGATCTCTGAAAATTACTTCATTCACGAAAGCCCCAAAGGACACACTGACTACTCTCTTCACTAAGTCCCAAGGGTCAAAGGAGCTCCATGGTAAAAAAGGACCAGGTAATTTAGCATAAGTCAGAGTATTACAGAGAGCAGCTTCCAAACACAGCACAGACCCTGGAACGGTTCTTAAGCATCACCACCATAGCTCAACACCACACCAACAAAAACATGCGCAAAATGACAGCTCTGTGCTCACTATGAAACAGCTCCTTGCAGCCTGCTGACACAGATTCAATCCTCATCACCTCAAAGGGTTACCCAAGTCCTGCAGAATTAGGAGTAAAAAGTCCTGAGCACTGTCAAGTGTGGACTGAAAATAAATTAAAAAAAAAAAAAAGGGGGGGAGCTGGAGTGACAGCACAGCGGGTAGGGCCTTGCACATGGCTGACCTGGGTTCAATTCCCAGCATCCCATATGGTCCCCCGAGCACCGCCAGGAATAATTCCTGAGTGCAAAGCCGGGAGTAACCCCTGAGCATCACCTAGTGTGACCCAAAAAGAAAAAGAAAAAAAAAAAAAGATAAGAAAAAGAAATTACTCCTGGGGCTGGAGAAAGAATACAGCAGGTTGGGCACTTGCCTTGTGCACAGCTGACCTAGGTCTGATTTCTGGCACTACTGGGTGTTGTCACCAACCCAAAAAAGAAGACTCCCTGGGGTGATTATAAATGGAGGTGACATCCACATACGTAACAAAGTAAAGAGAAAGGAAATGAGTCCTACAGAAACCACAGCACGGGGACATACATTGGAGGCAGCGTCTGCATGCACTAGTGACACCGAATATGCTCTAGGCCGTGTTAGCTTACCGTGGGAACAGAAGTGAGAAGCAGCAGACAAAAGAGAAGACAGGACTCGGCTCCTTTACTTCATTTCACTCTGGTCATCTTTACTGAAACTAGCCTTTGACTCCATTTTTATGAAACTCATGACGGAGAAATCTAAAGTCTTGGGGCTGGAGCCATTATACAGTGGGGAGGGCATTTGCCTTGCATGTGGCCAAGCTGGGTTTAATCCCTGGCATCCCATAGGGTCCCAGAACCTGTTAGGAGTGATTCCTGAGCACAGAGCCAGGAGTATACCTTCAGCACCATTGGGTGTGGCCCCAAAACAGGAAGGAAGGGAGGAGGGGAGGAGGGAAGGGGGAAATTTCAGGAGAAAAAAGGAAAGTAAGAAAGGAGGGAGGTTAAAAGGAAGGGAGGGAGGCAGGAATCAACTGACTTAAAGGCAGCAATACTTGATTTCTGGCACAGAGCTAGGCTACCCTGAAATGAGGACACAGGCGTGTTTGTGCGCCTACAGTTTCTCCAAGTACAGGACAGAAGGACACCACTCCACTCTGATTGAGAGCCCAATTAACTACTCTGGCTTTTTTTTTGGGTCACACCTGGCGATGCTCAGGGGTTACTCCTGCCTGGCGCAGCACTCAGGGATTACTCCTGGTGGTGCTCGGAGGACCCTATGGGATGCTGAGGATTGAAGCAGAGTTGGCCAAGAGCAAAGCAAATGCCCTACCCACTGTACCGTTAGTCCAGCCGCCCAATGAGCTACTCTGTATCCCAGGCTTTGTTGCCGCAGTGGTGCGAATGAGAGCAGAGCTGTGATTCAGCCTCCCCGCATAGAGGGGCTTCTCAGGTCCGGAGACAATGCAGCTTTTTTTCCCCAACTCATCCTTCCAAGGCACTTTCTGGCATCGGTCATTATTACCTTCCATTACCCACCTGTATTTCCGCTAAAGAGTTATTTTTCTAGGGGGCTGAAGTGACAGCACAGCAGGTAGGGCATTTGCCTTGCACGAGGCCAACCTGGGTTCGATTCCCAGCATCCCATATGGTTCCCTGAGCGCCGCCAGGAGTGATTCCTGAGTGCAGAGCCAGGAGTAACCCCTGTGCAATGCCTGGGTGTGACCCAAAAAAGCAGAGTTATTTTTCTAATGATTATTTGGGGGCAACACCTAAATGGCAGTAATTAGGAGACTATGTGGTGACAGGGATAGGAAGCAGAGCCTGGACCTCCCGTATGCAAAGTGTGCGTTTAGCCCTATGCTTTTGGGCCATGAACAGCTGTGCTTTGTTTCATTTATTAGTTTCCCTATTAATACTTTTGGTCTGTCTTTCGGGGCCATACCCAGAAGTGCTCAGGGCTCACTCCTGGCAGGCTTGGTGACCACATGGGATTCCAGGAATTCAACTAGGGCTGGCTGGGGCCATGTACAAGGCAAATGGCCTAGCCATTGTAACGTCTCTCAGTCTCTCCCTAAATAATTCCTCACCTCATCTTAGGAAACTTTCCTTCCTTGCCTCTGTAATACCTCCCTGTGGCAGCTCCTGACCTCTTTCGCACTGAAGCCTAGCTTCTAGAAGAAAATTTCCTACTCATGAAGCAGGCGACAGTGGTAACTGGGGCACCTTCTCACCGTCAAACACAGCTGCTCTGCCCCAGCGGAGCCTCTTGGGTTACTAATGCCCCTGCTGACGCTCTCGAGGGGCCCCTGGCACTGGGCATGCCCAGGGACGGACAGTGGCACTCTCGACCACCCCAAGTAATGTGTTGCATCATGCACACGAATGGCCCGAGGACGGAGCCCAAGACCACAACCTTCAGCCTGCGTCTCTACTGCTTCGGAAGCAAGTAGGAAAAAACACAGCTCTTGTGTGTGTGTTTGTTTGGGGGCCACACCCCAGACATGCTCAGGGTTTCCTCCTGCCGGGGCTCAGGGAGGGGGGCTATCTGTGGTGCAAGGATAAAACCTGGGTCGGCCACAAACAAGGCAAGCACCCTGCTGGGGTACTACTGTTCAGCCCCTCACACAGCTTTTAAAGTGGTTTATAGGATTAACTAACCCGTCCCAGCTTATAGTTCAATTTGTATAAATTGTTCCCCAAATATTCTTCCTTTTTTGAAAAACGGTTTTATGGCAATTGGTTATTATTGACATATATGTCAATAGGCCCGGCTGGAGCGATAGCACAGCAGTAGGGCGTTTGCCTTGCACGCAGCCAACATGGCCGACCCGAGTTCGATTCCTCCGCCCCTCTTGGAGAGCCCGGCAAGTTACCGAGAGTATCTCGCCCACATGGCAGAGCCTGGCAAGCCACCCGTGATGTATTCGATATGCCAAACACAGTAACAACAAAATCTCCAATGGCGACGTTACTGGGCCCACTCGAGCAAATCGATGAACAACTGGAGGGCCTTTACTTCACTTACTTATCACAGTGAATAATCATCGAGGTAAAATGCTCGAGTACTTGGGGCTGGAGTGATAGTATAGTGGGGAGGGCACATGCCTTGCACAAGGCGATTGACTGGGTTCAATTCCTGGCATCCCATATGGTCCCCGAGCACTGCCAGGATAAATTCCTAAGCATTGCTGAGTGTGGCCCAAATCCACCCCCCAAAAGGGAGGGAGGAAGCTTGCTGATCGCCACTAAAATCAAGAAACCAAGCACTTCAACAGCTTCCTGGAAGACCTCCTTGTCACTCTATTGATGTGTCTTCCTTAAGCTTGAATGCTAATGTACTGGCCAGCTTCCTGTACCCCCAATTTCAAGGCCCTTTACTCCCCTCTGACCTCTCCTGCCCCACTTGAATTTCCGTTGCACTTTTAAGCCCACACTCAGAGGAGAGGAGAAAGCTGCAGAGGACGAGAGCTCCGGCTGTGCAGGTAGAGGCCACTGGTACCACAGGGTCCCCTAGCACTGCTGAGCGTGCGCCTCCCATCCCCCCCATCCCGGGATACACTTGTTCTTGTTCTCTGCAGCAGAGCTCACCACTGGCCGTTAGTAAATGTACACAGTGCTGCGACCATATTTCAACCACACCATTCGCTGTCCATTGGCTACACAGTGATCCCAGGGGTCCACGATCATAACAAGGGCTTTTACCTGGCTCAGCTTCCCAATGGCAGGAGGGCTCCAGTAAAGGACTTTACCTGTGCGACATTCATTGCAGATGAATTTCCCTCTGGGCATCTCGGTCAATCCAAGGCACTCCAGGTGGAAAGCGCCGCAGCACTGAGCCTCACACAGCAGCAGCTCCCCCAGCTTCTCACAGTTCTGCCAAAAGAAAGAACACAGAAAGGTCTGTCCAACGAGAAAACCCAAGGTCCCCGCGCAGCCAGTCATGAGAAAGCAGCTCTGGCAGAAACCAGAAACCCCGTCCAGTATTCAGGCCAACAAAAATGGCTCTCTCCACTCCAGCAAGGCCCTGCTCCAGGGCTCCTTCACGGGGCAGCCGGGCCTCTGAATGCCAAGTCAACTATAAAATGCCCACAAGTGCAGCAAGCGCACCGACAGGCTCCACAAGGAGAACCACAAGGAAAAAGAGACCACTGCATGGAGTAAAGGGAATCTGGCAAAGGGAAGACACAAAGTGAGAAAGAGGAGGCAAAAGTGAGCCATCAGAACCCCACCATCCTTTACCGAAGGCAGGCTGGCACCAGAGCTCTGTTCAAGCACAGATACATGATGGCTACACAGAATATGAGCTGGAGGCACAGGAGGTGACGGGCTGGGTGTGCGATTCCATAATGTCGAGACCTTTAATGCCTGAGTCCTCAATTCAACCCCATTTAATCCCAGGGCAGTCTCCTGCCCAGCCCTCCCGTCCCCCCAAAAAAGAGGAAGAAGGCAGCATGAGAAGCAATGAAGGAGGTTCTTGCAATGGTCTAGAACAGGCGATAACACACAGCTGAGCTGAGTTCGTGACAATCTCTGAAGAGCTCTAATCATGGCTCAACACCCCTTCAGATTGGGACTATTGTCACCTAAAATGCAAGAACTTTAAGAAACGGTTGTCACACTGAAAAGACTTAGACAAACCTATTTTTATAGACTTCCTAATATTTGTGACTTTTCACTTCACATTCATATTTCCCCACAGTGATCACCAAAAAAAATGTTAAAATGGGGGCAGGAGGGTGGGCTTAAACAACTTCTCTAGAAAGAAAAGGAGAAAGTGATTAGGTAAAGTAACCTCAGAAAGATGAAAGAAACTAGCCTTGACCACTTAACACGGGAGATTAATGAGGGGCCCCGAGTGTGAGCCCTGGCGCTACACGCTCTAGCCCAGCCCCTTCCTGACACCCTGTATGTAGTCAGGGTGGCACAACTGAGCACTGGACCAGGACAGAAACTAGAGCTAAATCCAAGCCACTGCCAGTGATCTTATTCAAAACAAACAAACAAAAAGTACTAAAGAGAAACAAAGCAGTAGGAAAGCTGTGGGAAATGGCCAGGGGCAGTCAGGGATTAAGGGGGTCAGGGCAGGAGCTAGCAGGAGGGCTGATCAGTAACCTGAGCCCGGGGATGTCATGTCAGGGTCTCCCATTTCCAACTAGTCACATACAAAGCAGACCAATGCCAAAGGGAAGGATATTCCTCCCAGTACAGAGAGCAGCAATGAGACCCACCCCTACACTGCACACAGACCACCACAGAACAGAGCATCAGGGGAGACATCCCCCAAGGCCCTGACTCAATGGTTCCACCTCAACTGGAGGTCGAACGGCCTCTTGACCCTGACCGTCTTTGAAACTGGGGTCCGTGTGGGGGAGCCATTCACTAACATCATAAAGGGCCCAGCAGGACAGCAGCACCCACAGGGTCACAAGAAGTTGTTTGGGAGCTGAGAGCAGAGACTGGGTCCACAACTCCTAGACTAACAGATTCTGTGGCCTGGGTTCATTTTTATCTGTCAGTTGCTTTAATAAAGGGGAATAAAGCATAACAGTATGTTCTACTTTCAGACTAGCGGCTTTGAAAGAACCGACAAAGGGAAATCAAAGAACCCTGAGCAACTAAGTGGCGGCTCCCAGGTTAGACCCTCCATGACAACAGGGCAGCCCCACTGACCTGGCAATCACCTGGCACGGCAGGCAAGGGCTTGGCAAGACCTCACCAAGCACCCATGTGCCAACACTAGGACCTCTCTGTGCCTGCCCAAGACTTTCCTCTGTGGCAAAGAGGCAACAACAACCTACAGCACCAACAGCCATCTACCTCAGGGGATTCTAGTGTCCTTACTGTAAAGCAGCCACACAACGATTACTCTGAACGTTTCAAAGTCATTTCACTTTTAGGAAAACACAGGTGGCGGGTGACTGCTCTCAAGCCACAAGGTAACGGGAGACATGGGGAAAGTCTCAATGCAAAAACCATCCTAGAAAACTTCTTTTGAAATGCAGAGCTTGAGAGCACAGCAAGGGCATGAAAGATGGTCCAGGAGATGGAGAGGAAAACAGAGACAGAGAGAGAGAGGGAAGGGCACCCACTGCCAGGGAATCCACACGACCCCCAGAAGGGAGTCGCCAACACAGAGTGCCCCTGACATCACCGGCAGCCAACCCCCAGTCGCGAGCGCCTACCTGGCAGACGTTCTCCTTGAGGGCAGCTCCCCCGCCGCGCTCCCCCTGCAGCTTCTTCGACACTGGCAGCTCCTGCTCCGCACCCTCCTCGGCAGGGTCCTTGGGGCTGGCCGCCGTCCTGAGTGGCATCAGCTCTCCCTTGCAGAGACAACAGGATGTCCGGCATCTGGATTATTCCCGTCTCCTCCATCTGACCCCCTCCCTCTGGGCTGCTATTTGTCTAGCCAGTGAGCACTTACAGATGTTCAGCCAATCACGCGGGCGGACTGCATGCAATGTTAGTCTAACCCTGCTGTGATTGGGCGGGAAGTGGGCGCCTCATGCCCTGCCACTAACTGCTCTGAGGCTGTTCCACTGGAACTTTTTGAGCTGTTCCATTTTAAGGATTCACTAAGGGAGAGAAAACATTCTTAAGTTTATTCGATTACTTCTTTGTTGTTCCAAGATCAGTGCTTCCTAAGCGGTGCCCTCACTGGGCATTCCATGCAAAGGGTCTTCTGTCACCTGCCTGACCTGGTCTAGTCTCTCGCAGCCCGAACTGGACAGTCAGAGACGACATCACTGACTGCACTCATGCTCCCTCCATGAGGAAATGGTTGAAAATGTTACATTTCCTAATAGCTGGTGCGGGGAGCATCACCCTAAAATGGAGACCGTGGTATGAGTATTCAAATAAGCCAATCAACTTCCCCCGACTCACAGGCATCTTTGCGTGAAAGAGCCCATGGCCACTCAGAACTGTGCTCTTGAGGCCTACGACAAGATAAAGGTGTGGAAGTGGAAACATCTCTCCACTGACCCCTGGACTGGCTCTTTAAGAAGGCCATTCCCACCACGCCAGAGGCGCCTGGACCGACTTCTCCTGAGGACCAAGCTCTCCTGCAGAATTCTTTCAAGCTATTGGCATTTTCATCAGGAAACTATCCCTGCATGGACCACAGGGAAGAAGGGAAGTGGCTGCTACTGAAAAGTAGCTTCACTTTGGCAGGTCAAAGGGAAGGAACTGAGTAGTACCTCTGAGCCTGGGGTTTCTTTTGATGAGTCATCACTTTTCACCTTCTTACACTGCACCTTGGCTGCAGCATGCCTCTGTCGTTTCCGCTTCCTCGGCTTATCAAATATCTTGGTGGTACCTACGCAAGAAAATAGGTGTTACCTGCTAGTAAAGCATGTGTATGTCCAAGACTATCCTCTATGGAAGGAACCTTAAAGAATTATAAAATGTCATCCGACAAGGGGTTGATATCAAGGATATACAAAGTACTGGTTGAACTCCACAAGAAGAAAACATCCAACCCCATCAAAAAATGTGGCGACGAAATGAACAGAAACTTTCCCAAAGAAGAAATCCGAATGGCTAAAAGGCACACGAGAAAATGCTCTACATCATTAATCATCAGGGAGACGCAGATCAAAACAACAATGAGATATCATTGCACACCACAGGGACTGGCCCACATCCAAAAGAACAAAAGCAACTGGTGCTGGCGCGGATGTGGCGAGAAAGGGATCCTCCTTCACTGCTGGTGGTAATGTCTACTGGTTCAGCCCTTTTGGAAAACAGTATTGACGATTCTCCAAAAATTAGAAATTGAGCTCCCATTTGATCCAGCAATACCACTCTTGGGAATATATCCCAGAGAGGCAAAAAAGTATAGTCAAAGTGACATCTGCACCTGTTTGTTCATTGCAGCACTCTTTACAATAGCCAGAACCTGGAAAAAACCTCAGTGCCCAAGAACAGATGACTGGATAAAGAAACTTTGGTACATCTACACAATGGAGCACTATGTAGCTGTTAGAAAAGATGAGGTTATGAAATTTACATACAAGTGGTACTCCATGGAAAGTATCATATTAAGTGAAATGAGTCAGAAAGAGAGGGATAGACATAGAAAGATTGCATTCATTCTGGGGAACATAAAGTAACAAAATAGGAGACTAACACCCAAGAGCGGCCGAGATTAGTACCAGGAGGTTTGCTCCATGGCTTGGAGAACAGCCACACATGCTAGGGGAAAAGGGAGCCCAGATAAAGAAGGGAGCACCAAATAAAGGGCGTTGGGAGGATCCTTCCAGGATGGGAGAAGCATGCTGAAAGTAGACTATAGACCAAACATGATTGCCACTCAATGCCTCTTTTGCAAACCACAACACCCAAAAGGAGAGAGAGAACAAAAGGGAATGCCCTGCTACAGAGGCAGGGGGGATAGGGGGAGGGGAAGGGGGGGTGGGAGGGATACTGGGAACCATGGTGGTGGAAAATGGTGGAGGGATGGGTATCTGATCATTGTATAATTGAAATCCAAGCACAAAAATTTGTAAGTCTACAACTGTACCTCATGGTGGTGGTTCACTGAAAAAAAAAAAAAAAAGAAAGAAAAAAAATCCTAAAAGAAAAAAAAAACAAAACTTGAGAACTGGAGGGACAGCACAGCGAGCAGGATGTTTGTCTTGCACAGAGCTGACAAAGATTCATTCTCCAGCATCCTGCATGTTCCCCTGAGCAACGTCGAGAGTAATTTCAAAGTGCAGAGCCAGTAGTTAACCCTGATCTATGTGGTTCCCAACCTCCCCGTAAAAAAAAAAAAAAAAAAAAAAAAAAAACAACACCAAAGCTTAATTCTTAAAAGACAAAGGGGTAGGAACAGAGAGCCCAGGGCTGCTGAGGCACCTTTCTTAGCTGGGCCAGTTCCAGTTGACTCCAGGCACCACTGCAGGATAGAGGTCAGAAGCCCCAAGCATTGGTGTCGGTGGTCACAAAAGCCCCGACCCCACAGAGGTGCCCTGGGTAATCTCAGCACCCAAGACTCCTCTCAACAAATATCCATGGTCCCCACTTCTCAGTACTGGGTCACGGTCACGGTCACGGTCCTCCCATTGTTCATCGATTTGCTCGAGCGGGCCCAGTAACGTCTCCATCATGAGACTTCTTGTTACTGTGTTTGGCATATTGAATACGTCACGGGTAGCTTGCCAGGCTCTGCCGTGTGGTAGGGATACTCTCAGTAGCTTGCCAGGCTCTCCGAGAGGGGCGGAGGAATCGAACTCGGGTCGGCCATATTGGCTGCGTGCAAGGCAAACGCCCTACCACTGTGCTATTGCTCCAGCCTCAGTACTGTGTGGGAAGGCCCTATTCCCCCAAAAAAAGTATAGGCTACAGGTTTTATGTCATAAATTACACAAATTGTTTCCAGGAAAAGAGCTGAGACCTATTGCAATTTTGAAAGCAAACTGGGCATCCTTTGTAATCTGATTGCATGACAGGTTAAAATGAACTGATGGCACACTTGGCTTGCTTGCTGAAAGACTTAGTTACCAGGGGTCAAAGGATTACATGCAGTTAGTGCTTCTGGGGTTCCTTTTTAGCTAGGCAGTGACATGTGGGATTTTCCACTCAAATCTGGGCTTAAATTTCAAAAAGGACCAAAGTCAATAAAGACACTTTGATATGAATGAACAAATAGACAGTAAGATGTGACATGGACCACATTTTAAAAAATAAAAAATATATTAAGTACCAGGGAATCAGTTCTCCCTCAGCACAGAGCTTACTCCTAGCTCTGTACTCAGAGGTCATTCCTGGCAGTGTTCAGCGTCCCAGGATTGAGCCCAGTATAACTATATGCAAGGGAAGGACCCTAACCGCTTACTATCTCTCTGGAGCCCAGAGAGACATATTTTCTCCCAATTTTAAAACAGAGAGAACTTTCCAGGACACTGAATCTAAATAATGGTATCTTCAATGATTCAATGCAAGCAAAGGAAAACAGATTTAAAAAAAAATGGGACTACATCAAATAAAAGAAACTTTTGCATGACAAAGGAAACAATAAGCAGAACAGAAAGACAATACACAGACTGGGGGGAAATATTTGCCTACCACCATCTGAATGTGGGTTAAAATCCAAGATACAAAAAGCACTGCTAAAACTAAACAATAACAACAAAAATCAACCCTATCAAAAAATGGGGAGATGTGATGAACTCATATGCCAAAAACAGTAACAAGTCTCACAATGGAGACGTTACTGCTGCCCGCTCGAGCAAATCGATGAACAACAGGAGGACAAAGGACAGTGGACAATGATGAACAGACCATCATCCAAGGTCACATACTCTGATGGCCAGTAGGGATATGAAAAAATGTTCTGCATCACTGACCACCAGGGAAATGCAAGTTGAAACAATCCTGAGATATCATGTCACACCAGTGAATCTGACCAGTGAACAATGTCAAACTTTTCACACATTGGAAAGAATGAAAACAACTAATGCTGGTGTGAATATGGTGAAAAAGAAACCTTCATCTGTTACTGGTGGGAATTTTGACTTTTTTCCAGCCCAAATTGGGAAATAATCCAAGAGTCTAAGAACAAATGACTGGATAAAAAAAAAAGCTGTGATATATATATACTACTCAGCTATAACAGAAGATGAAGTCATGCAATTTGCCCCTGTGTAGACGAACTAGAGTAATCATGCTAAGTGAGGTCAGCCAGAAAGAAAGGCACAGACATAGAATGATCTCTGTCACACATGGAATAAAGCTTAGCAAGGGCATTGTGCACCACAAGCAACAGAGTACAAACTGGTCCACAGAACGGAGTCTACCACGAGAGAGATGTAGGGAGAATGGAGGAGGGGTGGGGACGGGGAGTTGTGCAGGGGTTCCTGTTTCTGGGACAACAGTGAAGGGAAGCAGACAGTCTAGTGAGGAGGAAGGGTGGTGTTGCAATGCTGCATGCATGAAACCCTACCATTAACATTACTGTAAATCATGATGACTGATTTTTTTTAAAAGAGAGATATGATAGTTAAACATCCAGAGTCAACAACACTGAAATCATGAAACCCAAACTAACAACCAAACTGAAAAAGGTGCCTGTCAAGGGGCTGGAGCGATAGCGCAGCGGGTAGGGCGTTTGCCTTGCATGCAGCCAACATGGCCGACACAGGTTTGATTCCCAGCATCCCATATGGTCCCCTGAGCACTGCCAGGAGCAATTCCTGAGTGCATGAGCCAGGGGTAGCCTCTGAGCATCGCCGGGTGTGATCCAAAAAGAAAAAAAAAAAAAAAAAAAAAAGGTGCATGTCAAGACAGCAGGCTGTAAGGGGAGGGAACCTGGCAACCAGCAGGTCTAAAACCGAGCCATGAATAACTTTGCCAGTCTGTGAAAGAGATGGCATGGAAAATATCCACTGCAGTGCTTTAGATGCCATCTGGGTAATTAGAGAATTATGGAAAGGCGCAGTTTTTGCCTTCTAATATTACTACCTGTTCTTTTCCTTTGGGTTTTTTTTTTTTTTTATTGGGGTAGGTGGCACACCTGGCTGGGCTCAGGGCTTACTCCTAGCTCTGCACTCAGGGATCACTCCTGGTAGGTTTCGGGGACCTTATGAGGTGGCGGGGGTCGAACCAGGGTCAGAAGCTTACAAAACAAGTGCCTTACCGGCTCACTATACTAGTATTCTGGCCCCTGATGACTAAGACTAACACTTCTTATTGTCAATTACATTTAATTATTTGATATTGTCATGTGCAGCATTACAAAGACTATTTGGGTCATGTACATTTCAGGTGTGGTCTGTTTTACATACTTGACCAGGTGAAGCACAGGACCGTTTTACATTAAAAAAAAAAATCTCTTAAGTACTTACCTATACCATACTCTTTAGAATGAGAGGCAGCGCGTGATTCAGTTATGTTATTCTCCAGGTGGCCACTTTCATAACACTGGAAGGAAATAAAACATTACACAGTTTACAGAAGAGAAAATCTTTTATTAAATATTTAAACTAAACTAATTGTCAGATACTGAAGACTGGCAATTTTGGATCATCAAAAAAATAAATACCTGTGGTAATAATAAAGGATAAAGAACCAAATGGAAATTAAGGGGAAAGGGATAGGTTTACAGATTGTTTCCAAATCTAGAGATTGGCTTAGTGGCAAAACTGCCCTGTAACTGTGAGGTCCTAGGTTTCATTCCAGACAAGGCTGGGCACAATCCTCAAGCACTAAATCAGGGACAGCCCCAAAGCACAGTCAGGTGCGTATTAAAAACAACAAAACCAAACAAAAACTTCAAAAGACTGACACATATTCCATTCAAATAATAATAATTAAAAAAAAAGATACAAAATTCTGTTCACATTAAAGGGGAAGAAAATGAAGAGAAAGGACAAAGAATGCGCATCCAGAACCTACCTGCTCACTTCTATTCCACATTCTGAATATAACATTGACCTTCTTAAACTGTATCTTTTATTTAAAGTAATAACAGTTTATTAATATTAATACAAAAGACACATCACTTCCAATCCTATAGTCAAAATATGAAACAGGGTGGGGGGGTGGCTTAGAAGGGAGACTACATGCCACGTGCATGTGAGGCCCTGGGTTCCAGCCCCAGCACCACCTGCCATGGTCCTGGTGGCCACCAGGTCAGAGCACCCTGGGGAAGGAACTGAACAACAAGAAGCACAAAGTATAAAATTTACTCCTGGCTCTGCACTCAGGAATTACTCCCAGCAGTTCTAAGGGATGGAATGCCAGGGATTGAACTCGGGTCAGTCGTGTGCAAGGCAAGTTCCTTAGCCACTGTGTTACGGCTCTGGCCCTCATTTTTCTAAAAGTAAAACAGAAGTTAACACACCGCCACCATCAAATCTCATTACATGAATAAAAACCTGCCTGTGCTGCCAAGAAAGGAAGCTCACAGCTTTCCATTAAGGACTGGGACTATCATGCCATTAACTCACTTCCTAAATGGCAGAGTTAGGAAGCCCTTGCACCCTTAAGAAACTACTAAACCAACAGATCATCCCTCTCCTATCACTCACACACACTGCTGGACCAGTTACAGATATGGTGACGTTCCTAGTCCCAAAATTCACTAACCAATAAATAAATAAAAGACTTTAGAGTAATTAGGCACCCAACCACTTAGAGGGTGATGGACTAGCAGTAAGTGTCACTGTTCTGGGCCGAAGCAATAGCACAGTGGGGAGGGCGTCTGTTTTGCACACAGCAGACGTTGAGTTCAATCCCCGGCATCCCATACAGTCCCCTGAGCACAACCAGGAGTGATTCCTGAGTACAGAATCACTATTTAAGTCATCAGGAATGATCCCATGTGCTCCTCTTTTAGTGCCAAATTTAAGGTCCACCTCTCTAATCGAAGAAACTAAACTTTACCCAATGACCACTATTAATTACAGCTAATGCCCCCAAGAAAAGATTGAAAAGGGATAAACAGTGCTAAAGCAATTAGACATACTCTGAGGAGAAAAACCCATTCAATTTAAAACACTAAAGATCTAAGTCCTCTACTAAGATTCAGAACCTCACTCCAGAAGTACTCAGTGGGCTGGAGTAGTGTAATTTGCATGCCAGGCCAAGGGTTCAATTCCTGAAGCCAAGCTAGCAATAGTCTCTGAGCACTCCAAGAAACATTCAGGGGCCAGAGGGATAGCACGACTACTTGTGCTTTCATCACTATCCATGATCCTCTTTGGGGGAAGGAATGAAAAAATTAAGGGGCTGTACAGCGGGAAGGGGTCACTTGCCTTGCACACAGCAGACCCAAGCTTGATTCCCAGGATCCCATATGGTTCCCTGAGCCCACCAGGAGTGATCCCTGAGTGCAGAACCAGGAGTAAGCTCTGAGGACTGCCAGGTGTGGCCCACAAGCAAACAAAAAATAAATAAAATAAAAATAAAACAATCTATTTAAAGGCCAAAAAAGATAGTTTAAAGGGCTAATAACATGTTTTGATCTCCAACACCACGTCATCTCAGACATTCCCCTGGAGTAACCCGTATTTCCTGGGTTTAACTCTATAAAACTGAGTACATTAACATACCTTTTTAGAAAGTCCAAGATCACCTTTCTTAGGCATAAATCCAGGGTCTAAATCATTGGACTCAAGAAGTTTCTTGGTTGGTTTTCTCTGACGTTTACTTTCATAATTTCCTGAAATGCATGTATCTTTTTATTAGATGATTTTTAAATGGACACAGACTAGTTAAAAACATCTGTAGATCACACAAAGAATAAGCCACCCTATTTTTGGCATTTTCCTCATCCTCTTCTGGGGAGCAACACAGTAAGAATCTATTAATTCTAAATTATTTGTTGTGGGGGGGCAGAGGGGAACAGCTCCCGTAACAGACACAAAGGCGAGAATTTTTTGTCAGTATACATGTATACTTAATGTGAGATATAGATATATACACATATATATGCATACGTGTATACAGATATATATATGTCTATATTACAAAACAATTAAGGAAGAAATTCAAAAGGCGAATCCCCTTTAATTGATGACAAGAATAAAATGACAAATAAAATCCAGTGGGCTGTGATTCTGGGCTGAATTGTCCAGGGTTACAATTTCTATTCTGCCTGAAATATTCTTAATAACTCTCTGTGTCAACTAACAGTCGTTGATGAAATCGTTAACTTCCTTAACTAGTCTTTTAAAAGTTTTTGAATTCTACCCTTCTTGATTAAGACTAATTGGGGACTTCATTTCCTAAAGGAAGTTTTCCTGGGCTGTATATAAAGTCGATGGTCAAAGAGAGACAGTTAGAAAGTGGGTTTCTCACTAGGTGAACTATATACAAAGTCTGACGTGCACAAAGCAACGACCTTCAAGGGAGAGTCTCAGGTTGCCTCCCTAGGGATGGGGTGAGTGGCATCACCATGCTCTCCCTCACAGGGGCAGGATCAAGCCCAGAGTAAGAAACTTCCCAGGGCACACATGAATAGTGGAGCCAAGCACTGAAGCATCATACAGCACTATGTCCCTGCCAAAGCCCTATTAGTCGGGGTGAAGAGAAACAACACAGCAAGAAGAGCAGTTTTAACCACTTCTGGACAACACGCCTCCCGCTCCTGATTAGTGACTATAACCAGTTAGTCAACACTTTGGAATCTGGAGGACTTTAAAAATGGGTAGGGTTTGCTCTGTTCCCTCCGACTATCCAAGAATACACAGTAACATCTGCATCCACTACATCATCCCCCTGTACACACTGCGACCCCCTTGCATCTTACCTGGGGTTTTAACTAGCAATTCCTCAGACTCAAGGGCAGGCCGTGGCGAGACTTCCGGAGCCACAGGCACAGACAAGGTCAGCTGTGGCAGCTCAGCATGTCCACCTCCGAGTTCAGACTGAGCCAAAGGCCCTTCCAAAAATGGAGCCTCCCTTTCAAGAACCGGAGGCTCTTCTTTGGTTGAAATCAAAGAATTCTCATCCACCTGCTTGTTCTGAGTACTAGAGCGACATCGGGCTATAAGGTTTTCTTCTTCACAGCGGGAACTTACCTAAGAGGAAGCAGAAATAGAAGCCATAGGATGAAGTTGTTGCAAACTGAAGTCCAGCGTGAACTACACTCAGAAGCGAGGGGAACTCTAACAGGTGCATTAAGTGGACATCACACTAAGCATGATACATCAGACTCAAAAGGACAAACACTGTATGATTCCACTGACATGAAGCACCTAAATGATCATCATGGACACAGAAAATAGAAGAGTGGGGCCCAGGCGCTAAGGAAAGGGGGAAGAGGGTGACACTTTTGAACGGGTACAGGGTGTGGTGTTGGATCATAATGTGCAGAAAAACCCTGTCACTAACAGCACTGGAAATCACAGTGCCTAAAATAATGATGGTAATAAAGCCACCATAATAAATATTAATGTCAAAATAAACAAACATTAATGTCACTAAAGAGGCCAGGAAGGGGTCCATGCTTGGCATATGTGGGGACTACATTCAATCCCTCCTGAGCCCTGCACGCTGTAGCCCTGGCGGTTCCCACGCGCTGCTGGAGTAGTCTTGATGGTCCCTGGATCTCAGGGTCCAAGCAGCTTCACTTCCTCAGGCCCGAACAATTCAACTGCCAAGCATGGTTGGCTCACTGCCTCTGGAAGTGGTTCCCGGTTACCTTAACACTGTTTGGGAGCGCCCCCAACACAGAAAAAAACAAAAAGGGGGTAGAAACAGTAGTGTGGAAAGGAGCTTGCCTTGCGCACAGGCAACCTGGGTTCGATCCCTGGCACCCCATATAGACCCCCCAAGCCCATGGCATGATCCCTGAACGCAAAGAGCCAGGAGAAACACCTGAGAACCACCAGGTATAGCCCAAAACCAAAAGATAAGCACACTCAAAAAGTTAAACATTACTTTTCAATAGTTTAGGGATTTCACTAATTTCTAATATTTCTTATTAAAAAAAAAACACAAACCAGGTTCCAGTTAAGAAAGGAAATTGCTATTACATGAATATTGAAAGTACCAACAGCAGGGTCCAGAAAGCCCAAGAGACCGCATAATACTGGAACATACCTTGTGTACCTGTTCCTGTAACTTTTTTTGTTTTTTCTTAGGAGCAAAGATCTGATCATATTCTTCTGTATATTCCAGAAGCCACTTGCTTGGCTTCCTAAGGCGTTTCTTCTCTGTCCGAACAGCTGAAAGATTAGAAGTTAACATAAACCAAAATTTTAGAGGAAAGAGTTTTCATTCAACAATAGTCACAATCACAAGATACAGAAATGGGAAGTCATATATACCAAAAGACTGTCTTAAGCTAATAGAGAATAAAAATAACAAACTGAAAAAGGCACATCCTACGCAAAAGATGGAGAAGGGGGGCTGGAGCGATAGCACAGCGGGTAAGGCAGTTGCCTTGCACGCAGCCAACATGGCCAACACAGGTTCGATTTCCAGCATCCCATATGGTCCCCCGAGCACTGCCAGGAGCAATTCCTGAGTTCATGAGCCAGGAGTAACCCCTGAGCATCGCCGGGTGTGACCCAAAAAGCAAAAAAAAAAAAAAAAAGATGGAGAAGGGTTCTATCTCTTCTCTCCCACGTGTAAAACGTATATACACTATGAGATACACACATACATTTATATAACACATACACATATCTGTACATACATATAAAATGTACACATATATACAACACATACACAGTCACAGTCCTCCCGTTGTTCATCGATTTGCTCGAGCGGGCCCGGTAACGTCTCCACTGGAGACTTTTGTTACTGTGTTTGGCATACGAACACATCACAGGCTCTCCGAGAGGGGTGGAGGAATCGAACTCGGGTCGGCCATGTTGGCTGCGTGCAAGGCAAACGCCCTACCGCTGTGCTATCGCTCCAGCCCAACACATACACAAAGAACCATAAAAACTAAATTTAAAATGCATGATAAAACTTAGATTCAACCAAGGAGCTAAATTTCAAAAGACATGATTTGCATGCAAGAGGCCCAGGCTCAATCCCTGGGTACAAATAGGTGTGGCCCCCGAACAAGAGCAGAAACAAAATTGGGGGGTGGGGGGATGGCACAGGATACTAAGAAATATAAATACAAAAGGATTCATCAAACATAATTACATATGTCATAAAATGAATGTATAGTATTCCAAAGACATAAAATAAAAACGTAGAATTTGGGTATACAGAGGTCAAAGGAATAGTACAGCAGGATAGGGCATTTGCCTTGCATGCAGTCAACCGGGGTTTGATCCCTGACACCCCATATGGTCCCCAGGTCCACAAGTCCCCAAGCAGACTTCTGATTACATAAATGAACTTTTCTGGTTTGTGGGCCACCCCTGACAGTGCTCAGGGATACTCCAGGCTTGAAGTTTCAGGTTCACTCCCAGTGTTGGTCAGGGAACCATGTGGTGCCAGGTATGAACCCAGGGCTTCCCCCAGGCAAAGCCTGGCTCCAGTGCATCTCCCGGTTGGCAATGGTGTCTCTGCTTGAAAATATTTGAGGTGTCAGTCATTTTCATCCCAGGGAGCAGTAAAATCAAATAAATGCCCACACGGTGCAACATATGGTCTACTCAAGCAGGAAGTGGCAGGCCTTCCCGAGAAGCTGCTGCTGCTGCTGAGTCAAGCAATGTTGGTTCTCTGCGGGGCAGGGGCACAAAGGCTCAGCACAACAAGCTGGGGCCCTTCGCCAGTTATAGATATGGAAAAGATTCTTTTCCCTAACTATTGTAACTCCGGACTAGTAGAAGAAAATACCAAATTCATATTAATGAGTTGAACACCTATGACCATTTACAAACCTGCACACAGAGTTTTTTTTTCTTTTTGGGTCACACCCAGCAATGCTCAAGGGTGATGCTCAGGGGTTACTCCTGGCTCTGCACTCAGGAATTATTCCTGGCAGTGCTTGGGGAACCATATGCGATGCTGGAGATTGAACCCAGGCCAGCTGTGTGTAAGGCAAACACCCTACCCGCTGTACTATTGCTCTGGCCCCTGCACATGGACTTTTACAACAGCTTTATTCATTTTTACAGCAGCTTTAGTAGTCTAACTACTAAATGCCCAACGCTTGGTAGTCTGGGGCACCCTGGAAGGTGAGGCAGGTGAGCCCAACACCTGCCCAGAGTCCGGGCAACCAAAAACCTCCACACTTCACAATCACTGGACTCCACTACTCAGGACAAGCCTCATCCAGAAATTAATCTGTTGAAAAACTCAGGTATCCAGGTGTTTGTGACTGAAATATCCAGCCGCTCAAGGAGTCGGGGATGGGCTACCTCCCCCCATTTTTTCTGGCAGTTATGCTCAAGCCCCCTGATGCTACCTAGTTAAAGATTTAACTCCAGCTATATCGCCTCATTAAAATTTTGGACTTACTAGAGCAACACCTCAAACTCTCTAACACTGATAAACTGGGAGCAGCACACCAGATTGAATGGGATGTAATGTAGAAGGCATCCAATCTCAACAAAATATCAACACAAGAAGGTTTAACCTGTAACAACATTTTGTAATCTCTTACACAAGGACTAACTAACTAGCTCCATGATGAGATAGACATGGGGTTAGAGCGATAATACAGCAGGTAGGACATCTGCCTTGCAAGCGGCAGACCCGGATTCGACCCCCGGCATCCCATATGGTTCCCCCAGCACTGCCAGGAGTAATTTCTGAGTGCAGAGCCAGAATTAACCCCTGAGCACCGCTGGATGTGACCCAAAAAGCGGGAGGGGGGGGGAAATCTTCACTTTCTTCTGAGAAAACATTTTTTGATCATTCTTTTAGAAATTGTCATGAACAACTTCGTAAACCAGTGTTTACATAGCATGTAAGGGGAAAAAAATTTAAAGAAATAAATTAAAACAAAAAAGCAACCAAGACTGGGCTGGCGATTAAAGAAGTGAACAACATACTATTCTGGCAATGGAATATTATCAAGACTTGGAAAGGAACTGTGCCATTAAAGCCATGGGAATGCACAGGGAAAGGGAAATGCTCAGGAACAAGTAAAACAAAATTAAAGGTCCCTGAAGTAATAATTCCAAGTAAATGACATTCTAAAAAAATGACACAACCACAGGACAGAGCAGTTGGCAATGAAAACTGGCGTGTTGCTAGGCAGAATACAGGATGACCCTTGGGGCAGTGAAAGGCTCTAATGGCTACATGTCATCATGTACATGTCCAAACCCACCGACTCACAAAACCAAAGACAACCCCCAAGGTCAACTGAGGACCATGGGAGAGGAGTGGGCTCACTGGCTGTGACAAATGCATGGCCCTCTTCAGGATACTAATAAACGGGGGTGCTCTCAGGGAATACGTGGAAAATTTTGGTTTTACCTTCCCCAATTTTGTGATAAGCCAAAAACTGGCCTGAATACTAAATCCTACATCAATGACTGCTGGCCTTCAGTGGCCAGCATGTCTTTGCACTTGCATGGATCAAGGGTTTCATCCCAGCACCAACACCACCAGGACAATCTGAAACAACTATGTTGGAGGTAAGGCTCTTAACAGTCACCTGCAGATTTCCCAAAATCCTTGCAGGACCAAACCTGGCATTTTCCAGGACAATAAACAGGTCACTGACCCACATCAAAATTTTTTCCTTGCTCGTTATTTTAGAAGAAGTTAAAACCACAAAAGTCAAAATATATAAAAAAATTTCCAAGGAGTCAGGGAGTGGCAGACACACCAGGAAAGGAGCTAAGGAGGATGCATCAAGGACCAGAGGGTTCAACCCTGATGGCCCCCCAGCGCTGCAGGACCAGAGAGGATCCACACCCTCAGGTCCCAATAGTGAAGTGCCTGGCCCAGTCATTTCCATTTCTCCGGTGCATACCCATACCTTCCAAGTCCTAATAATATTCCACTGACAGAGAATCACTGGGAGTGGCCCGTGACCACCACATCCAGAACTGCTTAGGGTTACACTGGCTCTGCTCCCAGGAACTACTACTCTTAGAGATGCTCAGAGGACCATAAAGGATACCAGGGATCAAATCTGTGTCAGCCGCATGCAAGGCAAGTAAGTGCCTTACCTTCTGTGCTATCTCTCCAGCCCCTGAAACATCTCTTGGAGGAAAGAGACCATGTATGTGCATTTCTAGTGATGACAGCAGATGATGACTTAAACGCTATTAAGAAAGTACTCACAAACACAACGGCTCTTGTTAACAAAACCAAAGCAATGAGCAGCACCAGCAGGTTATTTGCACAAGGCACTGTTCAGCCATTACTGCAGCACTATCCTCACTTCCCCGCAAATGCAGTAATCAGATGCACACTTTATAAATAATGTGATAAATCTCCAAAGGGAAAAATGCTCTTCCCACTCATGGTCAAGTCAGTCCATTATGACCTGAAACAGGACAAGACTGCAATTCCAAACATATCTATCAAAACTACAAATGCACTGGACTCTTCTCACCAAACCTCTGCAATAGCAGTAACACTACCACCTCCCTCAAACCCCATTCCTGATCCCCGCTAACTGGACCCCCGCCCCAGAAAGGAATGGCAGCTCACTCCCTCGTCTTCCTGGTGGGGTCAATAAACTCCATTTTCTTCCTTTTGCTCCCCAAGCTGCTGTCCCGCATTCTGTCGTGGTGTCCACCTCTCTGGGTACCTTCCACGCTCAGCTCTGTATTTCCTTGAGTTCAACAAGAAAAGAAGCAAACAACAAAATCCTAGAACAAATGTGATCCTTGGTACCTGACCAACAATCAGGTGTCTGAGCACAGGTATTGCTCCTCAACAAAAATCACACTAAATCACCCTTGAAACTGCGGAAGTTCCACAAAATCCCAATGTGACCGGGATGCACATCATTTCTAACTGGACTACCCCCACGCTCACTTCTCGATGGATGGTCTGTGATTTCTGTGCCACAAAAGGCAGAACTGACTGTCAGATACTGCGCATGACAAAATCTCAAATTACTACTATTTTGCCCTTTAAGAAAAGTTTAGGCAACTTCCACCTTGGATGAGTGGGTACCACATGGTAAATGAAAATAGCCTGGTCACAGTGACTTCCAAATGAATGTGTAAACTGCCTGTTTCAGGCAACTCCTTCTGCCTTAGTCCTCTGCCACTCCCTTCCCCGAGCCTGTCATCGCTGAACCTCCACTGCTCATACAACCAATCCACTTCTGAGTGAAAAAAGCCCATAT